TGACTATTCTTTGTGCTTGTTACCTTTTCTCTTGTTGTTGTCATTTTTAATTTTTCCATTCTTCGCCCTCGCTAATCGTCGAGATTCGCACGTCGCCGATCCGTACGGCTGACGCAATGCGAGCGCGGCTACCAGCTCGCGCAATGCCCTGGCCGCGAAGCGGACACCCGCGAGCAAGCCGCGTTTCCGATGCGAAAAGTGCCGCTTGATAAAAAACTCCGCGGGCCGAGCCGGTCTCGGGACTGCCGCGCGAAGGTCCCGTCCCCGCGCGCCGTAAATATTGATTCGGGGCAGGAGGAAACGAGGTGCCGATCTATTCTTTGCCTCGCGCACACGCACGCACACACCTGTGGCCTCTTCCCTCCAAGGGAAACGCCAAGCGAGAGGGAGCGAGGCTGCAAATCGATTTTTTCAAGAACGCTCTGCGCTCGGCCGGACCTTTTTTTTATTTTTATTTAGAGTCCCGTTGTCGCCGAGTCATCGCTCGCGACGACAGCGCACGTTAGGAAAATTATACGACCCCCCTCCCCCTCTCTCTCCGGCCGGTCGTGTTATTGCTATACATAAATTACGATTCCATATGTGGTGCGTGCGCGGGCTTCCGGTTGCGAGGTATTATTGAAGAAATATTGGAATTTCACGGTTTTCTTGTGCTTTCGCTCGATTTCGCTCCCTCGATAAGCGAATGCGCGCAAAAGTTGTCATCATCCCAGACGCGTTCATTGGACGTTGGTCGTTATCTTCCGGAATAATGCTGTCTATTAATTCAGAGGCAATGTCGACGAAAAAATGTGCTCCTCCATCCCGTCCCCCTCAACGCGTACGTAGTTTGTCAGGAATGATCGATGAAGACGAAGACACGAGTTTCTCGTACTTACGCGTTACGAGGACACGACGATCGTAACAATGCGAGCCGACGGGACGGCGACGGGCCGCGAATTGATGCAGGGAAGGTGCATGGGAATTGGCGCGTGTTTGCGTTTCTGCATGCGACCGCGGGAAACGAAAACTGACGGAGTCGACGTGCAATCAACGAAGGCAAACCAGCTCCGCCGGCGAGACTTTGACCTCGGCGTTTTAACGATGCGCCGCGTGGCCCGAACGCACGCCCGAAGTCACGTCGACGCGGCACCCATGCGGAATATCCGTTGTCGACGAAACATCGGACGCCCGGCCATACTGGGCGCGGAAGGAACGCATGGCGCTCTAATATGCCGAGAGTCAAATGCTTTCCGCGATGCTAGGTCGCGCCGACGGAAGTTTCGCCACTTCGCTCCGCGCTCGGAACAGTCGATGCCTTATTCAGCCGGCGATCGGCCGAGCCAATATAAATTCCCGAGCATCCCGTCCTTGAGAAATTGATGGGGCGAACGGCTGATAAACGACAGCTCACCCGAGCAACTCTCTACACCGAACTAATTTTTTCCTCGCCGCGGCGAATTTGAATTGTACGCGGACGGCTTGTGCCTTCGCCACGGCGCGCCGTCGATTTATCTCGCTCGACGATTCGATTCCACCGAGTCGCCGACGCACAACGTCGTGGATAATAATTGCATCGACGTGGGTGACTCGTTTCCCGATTCTCTCCTCGTCGGCGTGACGTTGTACTGCTGTCATCGCGCGCTGCAAACATATTGTTTCTCTCTCGATGAATCTCCTTCGGCCGCTCGCGAGCGCCAATACCATCGGTTATCATTTTCTACGAACTCATCCTTCATTCTTGCCTCGTGAGACTCGCGTCTTTCATCGAACTGACGCATTCGTAGCGCGGATTATGCACAGCGATACAAGAAATCGCCGACACGTTCGCGAGCGAGCGAGCGACTCGTTCGTCCGTAGCTGCGATCAGCGCGTCTGCTCGGGTCTCGTCCGGCGACGGCGCTCCGTCGTCCACACCCGCGTCGGCAGGATAAGGCTCCGCGCTCGACTGCGCGGCGTGCCGTGGCTTTTGGACTCACCTCTCGCCGCCGCGTTCGATCTGGACCGCGACGGAAAGGCAGTCGGCGAGCGAATCCAGTGAGCCCTGGATGCCGCCGGGCGAGCTGTCGCGGGGCTGGGCGCCGTGCGCGGACGCGTTTTCGGCCAGGGCGACGCGCCGCCGGACGCGAAGGGCGGCGACGCTTCGCGATCGATGACGGCGGCGACGCGGGGGCGGGCGACCGCTCGAGCTGATCGATCGAGGAGGCCGCCGCTACCGCCGCTGCCACGCAGAGGCACAGTCCCGAGAGCGGCCCTATACGCAAGCGACGGCGTTTCGCCTCGCGTCCATCGTACAGTCCTCGCCAATTTGCGAGTGTCGACCTTACGGTCCTCGTTAACGCAGCTGGTATTCAAAGAAAGCCTCTTCTTCGAGCTCCGCGAGAGTCGTTCAAGAATTCCCCCCCTCGAGGAGATTGTTTTCCTTGCAGCTGGAGATTGCCAACAAGCGTGCGCCGAGTTTGCGCAATTAAGCGGCGTGCCAATGCGATTAGAATGATTCATCGGCGCTCGCGACTCTCTTCTTTTCTTTCTTTTCCTCGGCGAGAGGTGCGAACAAAAATGTCGATCGTCCCGAAAGCCACTCTCGGGAGCTCGGGCTCGAAAAGTAGTAGACGCGAGCTGGCGCGCAAGGGACAGAAGCGCCTTCCTCTTCTCGCGACTGGACACTCGGACGCTGGATTAAAGCCCGCGGCGTAATTTTCCACTGCCTCTCCCGCGTCGCGTTTTCACGATTGCGCGCTCTGATCTCGCCGCTTGGGCAAGGCGTCGCTTTGAGCGCTTCGAGGGCTCGACAGGCGAGGTCGGCGCCGATCGGGCCGGCGGCGCGAAATCGTCTGCCGGAGAGTCGCCGACGAGGGTGAGAGCAAAAGCAAGCGCGAGAGCAGGGGGCGCGCGCGCGTTGCGTTACGATATCGATCGCCGCGCTGCTCCCTTCCGCGTACACACGCCAGGCGCGAGCTCGTTCCTCTCTCGGACGGGGGGTTTGCCCACGAAGACGTCCTCCTCCGCGGGCCGCGAGGATCGCGCGTCTCGTCGTCGGCGAGCTTCCGAGATTGGCCGCGACGAATCGCGCGGGAGCGTTGCTTTTATCTTTCACCGGAGGAAGAGCGGCAGAGAGCTCTCTGTCGGCCCGGCCGATTGGTCCCGGAGGCAGCGGGGAGTTCCGCTGCTGTGCTTGGCTTTGCCGTTGCGTAAGCTTCGCGAATTTTGTAGCTTCGAGAACAGGGATCGATGAAGCGACCATCGGGGGCGGGGGGCGAAAAACCATCACGCGTCGATGAGTAATTAATCGGGAGAGCCGGTCGGACCTGCGGCTTTTCGGATGCATACCGCCGCGCTGTCCCTCTCACACGGATCGAGTGAGCGATCTCCCCCCGTGTGATTTACGCGAGCACACTTCGGTCGCGCGTTCCTAAAATTACCATGCCCCCGCTGGCTTATCGCCGCTGTCAATCGTGATTTTCAATCAAGCGGAGTGGCGGTTTTTTAAAATTGAACGCGACGATTATCGGGGATTCGCGGTGTTACATTTGACGAGGCTGGATTTTAGACCGCTAATGCGGGCTTCCCACGAAGCGGTCCAACGCGATTGCAGAAACGCGCGGAACGCCATCGCGCAGTTATCATTGAACGTTCTCGAAGTGAGCTAACGACAATGTTCAACAGGTGACGTTGCACAAATAACGTTCGTGGCTAACGTCGGCGAGTGCTCTTTTGTCCGTGTGAAAGCCGACGTGCGCTCTGGCGAATATTTATCGGCGCTCCGTGGGAGCACTCGTTCCTTCGTCGCGCGCGCACGGCCGAGGCGACGAGAGCCACGAGTCCGCGCGCGAGTGGCGTAGGTAAGCGCTCTCCCGAGGACGAAAATTCATTTTCTCCCCGGAGCGAATCGAGCGGCGCGAGCGTTATGGCGCCCACGTGGGAAGCTCCGACGGAGAGCGCGGACGATGTTTGTAAACACGCGAGCTCTTTCTCTTCTCAGCGGGCAGCATCCCGCCGCAACGGAGCCACGAGTCACCGGGGACGGAGGAATAAGCCGCGCGCGACCTCGTGATTTCGGCACCGCTCTATCGAAAACCATTTCTCAACGTCGGCGTCGCGACGTGGCTTTCCTTTGTTTCTCTTGCGGTCCTTCGAGTACGCGAAACACCTGCGAACCCTGTTCCCCGTACATGCACGTCTCTCTAGCTCCCCCCCCCGTCTTCAGGGGGAATACGACGCTCGTAGTCGACGTGCGATTTACAAAACCGATGCGCCAAATTGCCCCTCTTCGTTACACCGAGTTCGATTATGCTCTTTTCATTGCTGAAAACCGAAGAGCAACGGCGTCTTTCTACGCCTCGCGAATTTGCCGAGCATTCTCGTTGCGAGTGACGTCCAGCACTGCGCGAAATGAAACCTGATAAAACACTCGGAAATCCCTATTCTCGCGATCTCCCTTCTAATATCATTATCGAGATTCCTAGCCACGTATCGATAAAATTCTTCCTCCGTGATCGTAATTCTCATTGTAAGTGCACCATCCGAGCTTTCACAATGATTAAAAGACCAAAACTCTAACTCTATTCTGTTGAAAATCCGAAAATTGTCACTTCGCTAAACCCAACCCTCTAAAAATGAAACAAGAAAACATGCTCGAAAAAAGCTCCTTGTCAGTAGAGAGAGAGAGAGCTTTCACGAAGCAAAAAATGTGAAAGAGAAAGAGAGAAACTAAGTCACTAGGCAATAGAAAGAACACCCCGCAAAAGCGCGCGCGAAAAAGTAGGCTACTATATAATATTGTAGTGGGAGGTGGTTGGATGGTGGAAGCAGGTCGTCGTCGTCGGCTCTCTGGTGTGTTGTATATAGCGTATAAGTCAGAAGATGGCCGCCCGTTGATGTGTGCATGTGTGCGCGCGAAATATAAGGAGGGGGCGGAAAGAGGAGGGGAGGGCGGGCATTGAACGACGGGAGAGTAGCATGTTATATGTATACAGACAGACACACACACACACACACACAAACACACACACGTTATTTACCTTGGATCTGGAAGTATGATTTTCTTGCTAGCTCGCGCTGCCGGCGTACATTTGCTTTTTTCCATGGCCATGAGGTAACTCACATCCGCGAGCACTGCCTCGAGGTCCGCCATTTTTTATCTCTCTGTTTCTCTCTCTCTCTTTGTTGGTGTTGGTGTACTATACAAGCGCGCTTTGTTATTGTTTCCTCGCCACACTAATACCAAACCACACTTGACACTTATATAGAGATATACATATATATGTATAAGATACGTATATGCCAGGACAGTGGCAAAACCACGCACTTTGTAATAACTAACAGCCGAGCAGCAGCCGCTTTGTCGTCAGCGGCGCCAGCAGCAGACGCCTCCTTTCGAGGCAATGCATCACACGCTCTTTTTTTTATTTCTTTTTCCTCTTGTATTTGTGACACACCACTCTCGCTCGCGATTATTACTATATTATCGTAAACTATTCTCGAGTGTGTACGTCGACACTCGTCCACATGTCAATTATCGCGTAAAGTCAACGGGAGAAGATTCGTTTGCTTCTTTTTTCGCTCGTTTATCGCTTTTTGCTATTTTTTTATTGTTGATTATTTTGCTTTCTGGCTCGTTTGTTTGTAAATTCGACGCACGATGACAACAATGACATGAAAAGGTTCGACGCTCGGCTGCCGCGAGACGACTGATCGGCCGCCGCCGCCGCGGCAGCAGTCGCACGCATGTACTAGTGGCCGAAGAAGGTGGTGGAGGTGGAGGCAGGTAGAGGGGGAGGCGTCGCGAGCCCGCAAGGTGGAGATATTTTACCCCGAGCGGCGCCACTATATATGGCTAGCAGCGCAAAAGCCCTAAATGATTTTTTTCACGCTCCGTGCACGGGGACTTTGTGGATACTCGAGGAATCGAGCTGTTTAAAATCTCATCCCATACACGTTGCATTGAAAAATAATAAGTTAGATTCGTGTGCGAGAAATTGATGTCAGCCTCGCGTGGGTCCTCTTCACCCTCGCTTCGCTCGGGCGTAAACATCCACACGAGGCTGCTGAAATTACGTCCTCGCACTAGTATCACAATGTACTGTAAAGGATCATTTATATCTATATATATTATGCGATCGCAGGCAGCAAGTTTTGCGACCGTTGGTAATTTTCGCTTTTGCAAACAATTTTTCCTTCGCATTTCTAGTTCTAGACGTGCTTTGACATTCGTCGTCGGAACACTTGAACACTTGTTGCACTAACAACATCTCAACAACAAAAAATCCACGTAATCTAATTTGTGTTAACGATTATTATTAACACAATGAACTCGATTCCGAATTTTTAAATCGAACTCCAAAAATTCATAAAACATTAACCATTGTCAATAAATGTGATGCCATACGGCATAAATAATCACTTGAATGTGCGCATAACTCTCTCGCGCGAGCCTTTTGTATTCGGCTAACTGTACACATTTCCTTATACCACTTGTCGTTGGCAACTAGTGTCATTGACAATTCAACGCAAGTAAATTGATTTTACGAATGAGCTTCTTAACGCGCAATGTTAATGATATTTTCGACCAGAATTTTTCATCTTTCTAAAATTAGTTTTAACACGAATATTTTTTTTGTCTTTTTTTCTTCTTTTGTTGCTACAGATGCTCTATGAACTATCTATATACGTACACGCACAGCGGTCTTTAATAAAAAACTTTTATTTTTCGTTGCTACAACCTCTTCGAATTAGTACGACTAAAATTTGCGCGCGGCAAAATTGCAAATCACGCCAACGTATAATTCTACGTTTTTACTAACGGAAGCGATTTGTAAATTTGCTCGACGGCGTCCATTCTGCGCATTAACGCACGCATATCCGCAATATCAAAACCTGACAAATGGATGCACATGTTGGTTCAAGAAAATTCTGTGAAAAAGAGAGACGAGCGCACTTTGACGGTGAAGTCGTAAATAGCGCTAAGAGCATTCGCTGCTCAATTTTTTACGAGTTTCTTCTTTATTCGCGAAGCCACCCTGCACGATGCCCTGGCACACTTGCTGACTAACAAGTCATCCACCCGACATTCGAGTGCCGACCGAACAAACCGTAAAGGCTTTGCATTACTCATTAGTGTGTTGCAGGCTTCAATGAAATCGAGAAGTCATATTATTTTTAAGGGGCGAACGAATGAAATCTTAAGCATACCAATTATTTAAATTTTGATGCTTGGGTGCATTGTTGAAATGTCAATGAAAATAGTAGAAAAATTACTTAACGGTAATTGAAGATCGTTTTACAGGAGAAAATTATCTATGTTCGATTAGTTTCACATTCTCATTTCTTTTTTTTTTTTTAAAGAGCAGATCTGATATTCTGAATAATATCCGATAAAGTCAAATATTTTCAGATATACAGCGATATTTAAAAAATATATTTCAAGATGTATCTAAAAATGAAATCATATAAACTACAGAACTTTACGTTTTGATTTTAAATATTAGCGCGCAAACTTGGAGCGCAAGCGCAAAAAGTCACACGAAGTGCCTAAGAGCCGCGGTTGCTTAAATTAGTGGATAGATATAGATATAGATCGTAGAACTTCGGTCCGCTAATGCGGTAGTCTGGGGTTCGATTCCGGGCGAGTACCAATGGCTTTTTAACAAAAAATATATACCGTGCCTCTAATGGTTCGAATTCCACCTTACTTTAACTACAGCAGCAGCTTTAGTATTCAAGTTGGCAATCTGGAGCCTTTACATGGTTCCTGTTACTCTTTCTATAGAAACGATTAAGTAATTATGTTTAAGTAGTCCGAATGCTTCTCGAGAAGGGCTCTTCTCCAAATCTCCCTCACAATAGTCACAACATATATAATAGCAAACATTACGCGCTTGCGTATTGGCATATCGGCTAACAATTAAATCCAGAGAGCCACCGCGCCATCTACTAAAACTACCTTACGTATAGCAGACGACAAGATCACACATGGGTTGCAAAATGCCTTTTTATTTTGTTTGACTGAGAGATATTGAATAACATAAATAATATTACCATGTCCCTTGCATCTAAGTTAACACTCGCAACTAGTTGTGCTATTAGTGCTAGTATTATTTTATATGTTCATTACAAACAGGAATTTGATCGGTAAGTAAAGCAATCAAAGCAGGTTATACTTTTTTATAATAAGATTTGTGTGTTTTTGGTAACTATTTCGTTACTCAAAGATACTGAACTTCATTAAATTTTCTTTTTATTTTGTTTAGTCATCATTACAATAATACACATAAAATTAGAGAAATGTTAACTACCATATTATCACCGAATTCATTTTTAATTTCGATTCTTGATTGCTTTTTAAAGATATCAATTGCATTTGGGAGTAGTCAAAGACATAGAAAGGTCAAGAAGACGAAAGTTTGAAAATACCTATATTCTCCAGCAACAAGCAGAATTGACAAGAGAACTGCAAAGGGATTTGGAAGAAAAGAATAAAAATTCAAACACTTAACTTAAATACTATTATACTGTTATGCAAAGTTGAAAATGATATTTACATGTGATTTTAATAATTTAACAACACTCAACAGTGTTATTGTTAATACTGTAAAAATAAGTTTTAAATAAAATTTTTGTAAGTAGCTGAATAATTTGCTGAATTGTGCATCTTAATTTTTCTTTTTATTTTGTTTAATTGCGTAAATCTGGTTAAAAGAAAAAGAAACTATTATTTTGATTGGATCTCATTTATTAGAGACTTGCATTTCACCTCCTTTTACAGCATTCGGGCCGGAATCGTGGAACCATAAACGGCAATTTCAGAATCTGACGTTGCGTTATGATCTTATGTTTTAGTATAGGTTATGTGCATAAAAGTTTAGGCAACAACAAACAAAGGTACGGTCTGGTTATTGAGATTAAGTCGAAATTTTCAAGTTTGCCTTACCTTTAAATTAGTTTCTAAATATTATTTCATCAGAATAGATCATGGACTGTGTACCGAATTATCCTAATACTGACGATTCTTTGAGATTTTCTCTCTTATCAGAGAAATTGATAACTGTAACACAATCAAGAATATGTGATAGAAAATTATTGGATGGATATTTTAAAAACATAAATGAAATAGATTATAGAAAGATTTTAATTCGTGATAATAATGTAAGTTCTTTTATTATAATTTGTAGACTATGATGAGTCATTCAAAGAATCTATTTAACCATTTTGGAATGTGGATTTCAGGCTATAATGCTGTTGATAAACCAATTGTGTTCTATCATACAACCAAGTGAAACCTCTCTAGTCAAAGGATATTCACAATTTTTAACAAATTTGTTAAAGCGAGGAGTGGTTCTAAAAGATCGAACATTCACTGCTTGTAAACGATGGCTTCTTGAATGCTTAGAGTTTTCAGAGCCAGAAGCAGCAATAAACTTACTTTGTGCCTTACAAATTTTCTTCATTACTGGACCATTTGATAGTATTGCTCAGGTATATTTATCTTTTAATTAAATCAATGTATTTTTCATATGATTTTCATGACATAATTACAAATTTGTATCACAGGATCTCAGAAAATTACTTAGAGATAATTCAGTTTTACTTAAATATATTTATCCCAAAAATCTGAAATGGGATCAAGAAGAAATTTTAGCAGTCAGTTGTTTAAAAGCTATTATAATTAATATGGAAAAAAGTGAAAAATCTATTGCACCAGAGTTATCAGCAAAATTCAAAACAATTGCCTTACAGATATTGAGTAAATTACATTATGAAGATGTAGATAAATTATATTTTAATAATGTATGTATCTAATTTATTACAAATACATGAAATTAATAAGGTGTTTGAATATTTTAATTATTTAATTTTTTCAGATAACTAATAAATGTTTAAGAATATTACGTACTGTATTACCAGAAAAATCTTTAATTGATGATGCAGATATTATTGGTGAACTGTTAGGAGTAGTTCAAGCTTATATATTTCATGGTATTGATGGATATGCCATGATTACTCCTCAAATATTACGTCCAGCCACTATGAATCTGCCTGAAATGATTCAGCGTATGCCAAAGAATAAATACTACAGATATCACAAGATTAGAAACAAAAAAGCACCTTCCAAAAAAGTTGAAACCAAAACTACTTCACCCCCAGAGACAAAATTAGGAATAAAGTGCTCCAGTGATTCTGATACATCAGATACTGAAAATAACTATGGAGCTAATTCAGAGTCAGTAGTTCGTTCGCAAGCAGCACGATTGTTAAACACATTAATTTTGCAGGCGCCAAATCGTGCAATTTTTGGATTTTGGACGCAAATTGTTGCAAGTGGATCAAAAACTGATGCCAGAGTTTTGACCAGGTGCATATTGAAAGAGCCATTAGGAAAAAATCGTCAAATTACACTCAGCTCATTAAATGATTTATTGCTAGGTGCTAAAATGTTTTTAAGCCACGCTGAAGACGTTGAGAAAATGTCTTTTGTTACCGTTTTTGGTATGCTCAGCTCTGTGATAGAAGAATTACATTATACGCTCTCTTTAGTAATGTCTACTGAAAGAAATGTCGTAGTGCTCACGCAAGCAATAAAGTGTGCTAATTCGCTTGCTCAAGTAACACCATATTCAAGATTAAAACCAGGTTTAGCTACAAAGTTAGTTAGAAATTGCAGAATACATCTATTTCATAAAGGTAGCAATAATTAAATTATTTGTTAATCAAGAATTACATTTCTTATGAATGAATTCATTTCAGATCCTTCAGTTAGAGTTGGGGCACTATCTGTGTTTGAAACCTTAACTCTGTCAGATCCAACAACTCCCGAAATTTTCAATATTCTCACGAAATCGTCAAACTTCGATAACGAAATTGACATAGAATTGGCCAATTCTGGTTTCAATACTGCCAATGATACAGACACAGAAGAAGTCGTTCCTGGCGATTACGATGAAAATATTAGTCAAATTAATTTTGATACAAACGACGACGGTGAACAGACTCAAATCAGTGCTTTAGTAAAAGTCTGCCTCAAATATGCTGCAGACGAGGTAAGCCCAAGAAACTAAAATAATATTTTCTAATATTAATTAACGATCTCTTATATAGTCAGTAAACGAACCAGTAAGATTCCAATCACTGAAATTACTGGGAACACTAACATTCAATATAAGTAGCCTAATCTTTTCTCATCTGGAAACAATTACCGGAACACTCGTCAACATTACTAAACAAGATGAACCTCAGGTAGCATTTCACGCTTGTAGAGTGTTGGAAATTATGGCCAGCCGATTAGCCGATTCGAAATCGGAAGACATTTCCAAATTTTGGAACATTGCGTTTGATCCAGTTATTTCGTTGGTACAACATCCTCAGTTTCTTTTACGAGACGTAGCTTGTGATTGTTTAGGAAATATCGGTGACGAAATGATTGCTCGTCTTCCAGTAAGCATTGCATCATTAATATGCCGTTGCAGTCTGAATAAAAATATTAATGTTTATTTTCATTATTGCAGAGAAACAAAAGTATTCTCATAATCACGATTTTATTCGGAGCGACAAAAGACGAAGAATGTGCTGTCAGAGCTGCTGCTTTACGTGCCTTGGGATTGCTGGTCAATTTACCAACGTTAGAGGAAGATACTGGTTTCCTCATGGATATGGTCGACATTACTTGTACTGGCGCAGAAGACAGTAATCTTGGAGTGAGAGTCAAAGCCATTTGGGCTTTGGCTAGTTTATGCGATTGTCTTGTCAACCGAGAGTGAGTACTTAAAATTTTACTGTATAAAAATGACATACACCTTTTATTTAATTATAACAATGCTTTTAGGAATAAGTTAGAGGTAGAACCCATTCCTTTAGAAATTGTGTTACCGAAACTGTACAAAGCAACTGTTAAAGCTGCACAAGATCACGAAAAAGTGAAATGTAATGCGGTCAGAGCTATAGGCAATGTTTTATATTTATGTTCAGATAAATCTTTTTTGCCTGATACTTCAGTAGGTCTATCTGCGCTTATCGATTCCGCTACTACTGGAAATGATATGAAGGTATAAAACTTTCAATCAAGTTTTTCGTAATAGAAATAATACTTAATTCTTGTAATTTTCAGGTCAGATGGAATGCATGTCACGCTCTTGGTATCATTCTAAGTCGTGATCCTGATAAAGTACTGTCATCGTCATGGAAAGTACGTGAGCAATTTTCAAATCACAAAAATAATTTCACGGGCTTACTAATACCAACTTGTTTTTCTTATTTTATTAGGATCAAGTATTTCCAGCATTATGCGATCTAATATGCAATAATCGAAATTTCAAAGTACGCACGAACTCAGCTTGGGCTCTTTCAGTTTGCAATTCTTTCGACAGGTACATTGTCACGCTATGGAAAAGCGTTATGCTTGCGCTTGAAAATTCTCAACATGTTCCAAGCTACATTGAATACTCCCATAGAGATGCTCTTGTTCAACAGGTTTGTAAATAACAATTATTTTTTAATAATCTGTGCATAATAAATTGATTATTGTTCATTTTAGCTTTGCTTGACACTCTGTCATTTAGCAGTGCATACTGACATTTCGGAGTTGGAGCCACTCTGGATCGAAATAAAAGATCATTTTGAAGATATTTCTCATCATATCAAGCACTTTCAAGTAAATATGAAACTACTTTTTTTATATAATTTAAGTAACAAAACCAATAAGGTAATAATGTTTTATGTATCTCTTTAGGAGCATATATTACCAGAAAAAGCTGGAGAATTAATCAAAGCAAAAACTAAATTTGCCTCGTTTGTTCAACAATCTACGAAATCAAGTGAGAAACAATTTGCAACACAACTGTTAGAGCTGTTTAAAAAAGAAGAAAAATATGACGATATTAATACAGTACCATTTTAAACTGATAATACGTTTACGTAAATTGTATATAAAACATTTTTTAAATGTACATAATTGTTCATTAACTTAATTTATATAAAAAAATACATAATTTACAATCTGTAAATGTCGAATTTTTTAACTTCTTTATCTTAATTGTCATTTTGGTGTTTACTTTCTACATTGTCTTTTTCACTACTATTAGAGTCATTTCCTGTATTTTGACCACTATCATTATTAACCTCTGCTTTGTCTAATTTGATATAATTATTGCCTTCACTATTTGTTTTTTTTTCATGATCTATTATGATAATGTTATTGGATTGATTATTAGATTCAGAAACAGCTTTATTATTTGTATTACTAATTTCACTTTCAACTTCATTCTGTTCACTAGGCTCCTTTATTAAACTTTTTCTTACAGTTTGAAACTCACATTTTTCTTCATCAGAGCTTTCATTTTCAGAATCACTTTTTTCACTGCTTTCTGCTTGATTAGCCTTTTTCTTATTTGATGGCTTGAACTTTTTTTGCTTCAGCTTTTGTTTTCTCTTTAATCTTTTAGTACGTTTCTTAGCTGTTAATTCATCAGCTAGCTTTTTATTTTCTTCCAATTTTTTGTGATATTCTTCATCAAGCAGTTCCTATGGGAAAATATAATAATCACGTATAGGGGTACCTAAAAAATATTTCATATTTTCCTTGACAAACATTAATTTACCTTTTGACTTTTTTCTTGAATACATTTTTGTCTTGCATATTCTTTTCTTCTCAAATGTCTATAGACATGAAACTCTCCACTTCCTGCTCCGGCACTACTACCCATAACATTACGCACAAATTCAGGTACCGAAGGATTGTTTTTAGGTTTTGGACGTTCTGGAATCACCACTGGTTTCTCCTTCAAATAAAATATATAGAGATTACTCTTATTTCTTCATAAAGATAGGTAATAAAATTTGTTTGTCAGTGCTTACTGGATTTTTCATTAATTTTTGAAGTTTCAACCTTTGTAAGTCTACAGCCGTTTTAGCAACCAAAGGTCTTTCTACTTCCTTTTCATCATCTGAACTACTTCCAGCCATTATGAAGTAATTTTATTATAATTATTGGGCAGTAAGAAATTACGTTATAATAATTTCATTAAAATTTTCAGTTTCAGGTTAGAAACTAAAAACCAATCAAACAGATTTATTTCTTGGAAATAAATCCAATACAATAAAAGAATAATATTGTTCAGAATGATGTTTACAACTTTTTCAAGAGCACTCAATGGTTATCAAATTCAGCAGCGATATAAATATCATTCACTATTTGTCCCAGCCCATTGCTGGGCCGAATTGAATAGCTCTGTTCACTGTCAACAATACTGCACCAAATCGAATAGCTTGCTTCGGGATTACTACCAGACTACTTGACTGCCTTCAGGTTATCTACTGGTTCCCGCTTCATATAAGGTTTGTTCGCCGCGTTCATTCCATAGTAAATGAGTTAATTGAATAGATCTATACAATGTAATTGAAATAAAAACGTGAAAACTGTTTTGGCAAATTGATATAATTTGAAATATCAATGGCCTTGTTATATTTTAAATATACCGTTTGTAGCAAAAAACAACATCGATATCGTCGGCAAATGAACCGAAGCTTACGTCTCTTGAATGAATTTCTGCACAACTTCGCGTCTATTTTCGTCGTATTATCTCCGTATGCGTATATTGCATACGTACGTTCGTGTAATTTGTTTCTGAGATGCCATGTACCGTGTTCAATTATCTAATGGATCTTGCATCGTTTAGTAGCCATCAGATTAAATTAGCGAAGTTTCACCAGAATTCTGGGAATCTACGGAATTATGGTTAAACAGTGTACCAAAATAGAGATGATTCGCAGCAGGTGGTTATTTTTAAAATGAGCTTGACATTCAGTAATAGAAAGATGAACGATTCTTTTTTAATTGCATTTCTTTTTTTAACCAAAATTTACGTATAGTGACATCATCTCATAGTGGGAAACTGTAATTCAGTTTTATTTCAAAGCTAGTCTTCTATTTTTATAGTGTAAAGGTACAGTACTTTGGATGTATCTTGACATATTAATTCTTAAATTACAACTTTTTGAGTTACAAATATGAATAGACTGTTTTCTTTGGTTGTTTCATTAATAAATTCTAATGAAATCATTTTTTAGATAAACGTCTACAATAATCAAAATGAGTGCTGGTTCAGATTCCTCGAGATGTGAACTAGACTCTGTAACATCTGCAGATTCACTACAAATAATAACAGATGAATTCAGACTCAATCATTTGTCTACGCCAGATGTGTCAAACTCAGAGTTGTCAAAGCGACTTGCTGCATTAGAATTAGATAATGAGCGTTTGAGAATAGACTTAGAAAATTCTAGATTAGAACTGAATGTTAAAAATGCTGCCAATCAAGGATTAAAGAATAAGATAGCGGAATTATATGTAGAAGTTCAAAACTCTGTGCAGGAAAGACAAAAATTACAGTACCAAATTAAAGATATTCAGTGTCAGTTGGTTACAGTTGAGAATTCAACAAAATGGTATCAAGAACAGATGCATGAGGTGCAAGCTAACAAGAGATCATTGCAAGTTGAAATAGATACTTATCAAAGTATGCTAAGGCAAAAACATCAAACGTTAGTTAATATTACAGCTAAATGGAAACAGTTGAATGATGACTATTTGACTACTGTGCATAATCATAGAAGAGATAAGATTGCTCTGGAAGATAAGATTGAGCACTTAAAATTGAAAGAAAATAGCTGTAAGGTAATACATTTTAATTAATACAATCTATCCAGTAAATAATGAAAATGAATATTTTTTTTAATTCAACATAATTTTCCGAACAGAGCATCAATTCATTGCCCACACCACAGCAACAAACAGTGTCAATAAGTCTTTATGAGGACGTATCACACCGATTGGAGACCGTCGAAGAAGAACTACAAGACGCTCGAGCTGAACTTCGTACACTCGAGCAACGTTTGATGACTGCCGAGGTGGAAAGAGCTTCAGTCGAGAGTAGCCTTAGCAAACAAAGGCTTCTGCAGTCTGCCATGGAGGAAAGTCTAACGAGGTGTCAACAGGAAAGAGCTGAACTTGCTGACAGACACAGAGAAGCCAATATTGAGGTGCAAAAACTCAGAGCTGAACATGAAACTGCTCAGATGAAATTACTAGCGGCTAAACAGGAACGCGATCAAGTAAGTCAAATTGTGTTTATTTCGTTCAAAATTTTTTTAATCTTTTCAATACTATTAAAAGGTAGAAGATGCAATAGAGCAGTTACGTTCGCAGCTTACTAAAATGTTAGCTCAACATAAATTGTTGAAAAATCGAAATTCCGTGCTGGAAGAGAAGCTGAATGACATGCAAGATGTTTGCGAGAAAAATAAACGACTCAAGTCATTGTCATACTCGGCAAATGCTTCATTATTCCGAAGACTCCGACAGGAGAGACGAAAAAATAACGATCTTCATAAGCAGCTATGTCAGGAACAAAATCGACACAGGATTCTTGCTAAGGTAATTTGAGCATACTTTTGACTAATATTTATTTGGTGTAATTGCAATGAGAATAATTATTTTAGAAAAATAAAGTTGGCTTTCTTATGAAGGAGCACACGAAAGAAGTTCTTGAAAATAGTAAAGTAAGTTGTCACAGTAGAATTTTGTTTTAAACCGTCAACTCAAATAAAAATTGCCCTAGGACGAAAAGTGCTTAAAGATATTAGAAGAAAGCTTTGACGAAGGTTACGCCGACAGCAACAGTACTTTGAGCCTTCCACCTATCAACATCCCGTCACCATCTCCGTTGAATTCAGAACTACTCAACACCATCAACGACGTGCTTTCGAGAAGTAAAGATTTCTGGCAGCCGATACAACATGAGCTTGACAAACTTCATGCAAAGTTGAACGACGGTCGCTCAATTGCGTAACTCATATTATGAATAATTCGAAATTGCCAAATATCCCCTTTGCTAAATTGTTAAACATTTTTTGCCACAATCGTAGGAAAATGCATCGAGTTTATGTTCTTCAGAAGAAACATAAAATTATAATTTAATCGTATAATGATTTTTCGTTTAATTAAGATAAAGGTGATTGTATTAAAAAAATTGTGATAATATGCTCGTGATTACAAACTTGTAAAGTAGTAAAACGTAGTTCCCTGTTGTAGAAGTCACGTGATCGTCAGATGCATAATATATAGAATATTTTTTACACAACAGTTATAAAAATTCTTTTTTATAACCGTGTTGTGCCGTAGTACTTTACATTCTACTCAAGGTGCAATATATGCATACTGTAGTTATTGTTCGGATTTTCAGGTGTAAGTGTTTTTAGATACATAAATTTCGAATGTTCTTGATACAAATGTACTTTCGTTATTGGGTGATTCATAATTTCGTTTATTTTTTTTTGAAAAAAATTGTTAATATTAATTTTGTTATTAAATGTTGTTTTTCTTTGATAATTTTATCGTTTTTCGTCTTTTTGGTTCTAATCATTTGCGTTATTTCAAGTTCATTTATAAATGATAATTATTTATGCTTATTTGCGTTTTCAACGGTTTAAACGATAACAAAAATATGTCTGAGCAAAGATGAGATTCAATTTCTCATCTATAAATATATATAATGTAGTATTTGTCAAAAGAGAAATCAACGAATGTTGTAAGTGAATAACACAGCCATCATATATGTGCGACATTTTTATTTTATATTTATTAGACTTAAAACTTGGTTATACAGAGTTTCCATCGGGTAACGATGAGATATTGCCGTAAGACATTTGTGTACAATCTATATGGCTTTGCCTATGGTGGCAGGTACATTTACAAAAGTGTAAAGTGAACCAAACAGTGTTTTTTTACGTTCGTGTACTTATTTTCCGTTCCTTTTTGTGCAAAATAAACGCAGTATTAAATTTTTACAAAGAATTCTGTAACAATAAATCTTTTTTTATATGAAAGAACACGACTCACACCAAAGTTCTTAACAACCTGCCTTCAAAAGTTATACGATATAGTTTTACAAAGCTCTTACACGAACAAAATAAGAAGGGCATTAATCATGTATATACAAATTATCAGTAAGCATTCAAGATAAATTAAATATTAATACTTGAAAAGAATCTGAATAATTTTTCAAGCTCTATGTTTTTTACTTCACGTTATAATGAATATCCTATTTGTTTCTATCAATCTACGTATAGTAATGAGTTTTTCTTAAATTGAGATAGCATTCTTTTGAGGTATTGGGGATTGGATAATGAAGCAACATTTATAAGCAGAGGTTAGATGTAAATGATGTTCATAAACTTAAATTCATTGTTTCTATCCTTGGCAACATTTATGGCACGGTATATAAAATGGGAGTGTATTACATCATGGGGTGTTTGTTACAATTATCATACTGATTACTTTCTCGTACATTGTCCCGCTTACTAATAATGTGATTCATAAATTTAAATATCACAATTCAATGTTAAGAGGAACAAAGATTTAATTGAAGTTTAGTTTCATTAATTGTTTATGCAAGTTTGATTAATAATTATTTTTCACTGTTAAAATAAGTAATTAAGATAATCTGATGTAAGTATGATTTTAATGACGCCTTTATGATTATTAATAACAATTTTTCAACTTTAAAATAATAGAATAGCAATTAGTATTTTGAAATAAATAAATTCTTGATTTTTCACGATCGTTAACTTCCGTTAATTAAACCATTCTTCACTAAACATCGTTAAGTGATTTGGAAAGTCAGCCATAAAAATTAAAAAGTAATTAACTTACAATGTAAAACCATAAATCTAATTATATTAACTTATTTATTAACTATGAAAAATCGTTAGAAAAATATAAATAAAAAGTACTCAAGCAAAAGGAAGTCTGACTTAAAAATATCACAGTCAAGCATACATAGTTCAAACAACGAGAAATTATACTAATTACGCTGGCTATATTTCATATTTTAATATTCGCATCATTAATACGTTTGATTTTTAAACGTCGTATCTCAACAAAAGTTCGACGCGTGTGCAATTTTTAATTTATTAATTTTTTTAATTCATTTTTTTAAGATCGTAAGAAAGTATCAAATCACAGTCGTTTCACACGTATGATTCTTACTTAAATTGAAAAAACTGCTCTCAACAATCGGAGGAACATGCGTGAAACGCGTAAAAATTCTTTTTTAATAAATTTATAATTGACAATCACTATTCATCTTCTCTTCAGTCACCAATTTTTTATTTGAATCTCCCAAACGTAGATATAGCAAATGAGAGAGTGAGAAAGTGAGAGAAAGAGAGAGAAAGAGAAAGAGAGAGCGAGAGAGAGAGAGAGAGAGAAGACAGGACAGACAGAGACAGAGGAAAGAAAGAGAGACACAGTTTGAAATAATTTACGTGTATACATACAGTCCCAAGAAAGTCGCGAGAAAGAGCACATCATTAAACGACATCGCCGATTGTTCCTCAACCAAACGACATTTTCAACCATTTTCGAATTCGCCTTGCACGCCTTTATTTTGATTATACATCAAAGTCATGAGATATATATCTGACACGGAAACTATCTATTAAATAGAAAAACAAAGAAAACTAGGAGGACACGCAAACGTCAAGACTTCACGTTCCGCCAATAGAAGAAAATGAAAATTCACGGTCAGCTATTTATCGATGAGGCAATGTGATGATGACCAACACGTCCCACATTATACACCGTAGCTATGGGAATGTTGCTATGCAGCAATACCTATAAGCTCGTTAAGAACTTAGTGATTTGAGGGAGAACATCATTACACTTGCTAAGAGAAATTAAACTATTAAATATTATGGTTATCAGCGTCGTCGTCGTCGTCGTGCTTAACCGATCAGCGACAGCGTATTGTCATCTGGGAGCTGTCTCATGCTGGCGAAGACGTTCCAAGTAGCGACGAGTGTGCGGTTTGCCACGACCACGATGATTACGATGGTAATGATTATGTCGGCCGTGATGATTATGAGATTCGCTGTTGTTATTCTGGCTTTGTTGTTTCTGCTGCTGTTGCTGTTGTTTTGATTGTTGCTGGAAAAGAGCATGAAGTTTAGTGATGTGGGAAATATCTACTGTCAATTTTATTCAATGACCTATTTTATTTTATAGTCATTAAAATAAAGAATTTTTTACAGCGAGATAAAACTTTTTCATAAAACCATCATAATGAATTTCACAGCTTTACAAGAATAAGATAAAATAAAAACCAAACGTCATGTTCATATAGAATTTATATATATAAAAAAAGTAATAATTACCACTTGAGATGGTTGATTAGCAATGGCATTAAGACTAGGACCAGGCGGATTTGGTCGCTCAATAACTTCATCGGCATCGTTCTCAGTAGTCACGAGTAATTTCGTCTCTTCAGCTTCAAGATCGATGATGCCACCTTTCTGCTGCTGGCGCAAATAAAGTTCCGCCATCTGACGCTGCATATCGAGCAACTCCTGGGTGACACAGAAATCAATTGCGGTCTCAACGTCGATTGGTGGTGGTGCTCCAATAAGACTGCTAACGTCACATTGAATGGATTCACGACAGACAGGACAGAGAGCCTGAGAAGTAAAAGTTTATATAATTGATAAAAAAAATTATGATTATTTGTCATTGTAAATTTGTAAACAAATGCGCCATCTTTACTTGAAATTTATTGCTAGTGTCCTGTTGCCAGAGCGGCAATTTCTCTTGTTCTTCTCGATAATATCGCTCAGATGCTGCAACGTGAGCAGCCAGACAATGAGAATGAAAATGATGATAACACTCTGTCTTAGTAAATTCATCTCCTTCGCGAAAACCATACAGACAAACTGCGCATTGACCAGTTGGGAGATTGCTGCATGTCAAATGTTCTCTGACAAGCTAGAATTTTATACCAAATTACATTTAATGCAATTTTATAAATAATTTGAATATCCAAATGGTTGCAAATCACCTCAATCAATTCAAACATGACAGGCTGTCCAAGAAAATCAGCACACTTAGCATCAGTATCTAGTTGAATTTGCTTGATAGTTTCTTCATCTAAACCCCTAGGATTTCTTAAAGTAACAGTTGGTTGTACATCTGGATAGCCAGGTAATAACTTGACCACCAATCTAACACAGACATATTGAGACTCGGAGTTTTCTCCAGTCGATGGAAACACTAAAGTTTCAATAGATTCTGGTTCACCCCTTCAGAAATTAACAAAATTCTTATTTATAAATTTTGTAATACATGGCGAACAACAAATAATAAAAAAAGTTGTTTAAATATCTATGAATGAATATAAAAAGCAAATATGATACTATAAAAATATATACTTAATGCAAATTCAATTGTTTGTATACCATGACTTACTGTAATTAATGTAACCAAAACTTTTGTTTACATACATAATCTGATAGATTGTGTACAATCTGCTTTGAACATATTTATATAATAATCAAAGCTCAATTAATAAATAGATGTTGATAATAATAAATACCTTACAAGAGAAATACTTTTTCATAAGTAAGCCAAAATTACTCTAATATATCAAAATATTTTTTTTATACAAACTATTGTTATTTTTGAACTATAATTAAGAAGGTTAAAGGGTTTTTTGAGTCAATTCAATATCAGTGTAAAATGTATAAAATGTAAATATAAAAGAAAGACTCATCCTATTGAAATAAAAAATGCTTATTGAAATATAAAATAAAAAATATTTCAGTAAAAATCAACAAACCTTTCATTTTCTACAATTTTCAACTCATCATCAAAGAGGATAGCTTTCAGAGCTTCTATTTCATCAGTCACCCTACAAATTCCGAAGTCAGAAAGTAAACAATTGCAATATTTTGATCATAAATCAGAAAGTAAACAATTGCTATATTTTTCTAGTAAATAGTATCTAATATCTTAAAAATATTACCTCTCATCTACAATAGTAGACATTTTCCTAAAGAAATTGTAAGATGTTCAATAGCCGAAAACTCCGTGAGATTACAATCTGTCTTCTTTCCAGTCTATAAATGAGGCTGTCAAGTTTCCCAAGTGCAGACTTGTCTGAAAAATTTAATCAACAAACTTTGATAATTTTCTTTTCGCTTGACTTGGACCTGGCGTTTTTGCACACAAAAATTTGCTCACACACCTCCGCGGCCTCCACGCTTTTCTTTATTGATTTTCGCTGACAAAAGAAATCTGTTTTATCGACGAGACGACTTTCAAAGAAATAGTATGACAGCAAATTACCGGCGCGCTAAATTTAAAATCTCCTTGAATAAAAATAAAGGAATAAATGACTTATAGCGCATGTTAGAGGTATATTTTTTATTGACATCGCATATATAATTTCTAAGCACAATAATCAACAGTCTAAAAATATCAGTACAACGTAAGAAATTATTTACGTGGATTAAAGAGAGTTCAATTATTTTCTTAAAAAATTGTATATACCTACATTATTTATCCAGGTATATATAATAAAAACAACATTTTTTACGTACCATTCCGATTTAATATAAAAATTAACATTTGAAAATATAATTATATAACAAATATTTTTCATAGTTATCTTGACTTAATATTTACTCAAGACCATATCCTTATACTCTGGAATTTCTATACGATGAATTTTTTTAGCAATATCACGAAATTCTTTGATCGTCATTGTTGACTTATCAATTAATTGTTTAGTATGTAATTCTACTTTATCAGGATACATTGAATCACCTGGTAGTACATGAACAATTCCATCGCTTAATAATACTCTCACCTGCGTAAAATTTATAAAATATTCCATTATTCATTTTAAAAAATACAATGACAAATATTAAAGTTTAATTTTACAGACTCTTTCTCATAAATTTTATCATTTAAATAGGTTTCTTATAAGATTTTTTTAAATAGCTTTTTTTTATAATTACCATAATTTGATAAATTTTAATTGTATTAAAAAATGTTGTATATAAGCTGATAAAAGTGCAATAAATTGTAAAGGCCTTACACCAACAAATCTTTCTATGCCATTTCTTGACTGCTCAACTGCATAATTGAATAAATTATCTAATTTTTTGTACTTTGATATCCTTGTAATTTCATATCGTTGAGGTGGTAATAATGAAGTTAAATGAGATGCCATTATTGAGTCTGGAGTTGCCCACTTGAAATAAAATATATATTCACAAAATATTTACTTGGAATGAAATGTAAAAGCTAAACTTTATACCATAGATTCATGAATTTCATTCATTTCAATTTTTGTATCAGGAATATATGATAGAGTAGTGAAAAAAAAAACTGTATCGAAGCGCATAGAAACTGGAAATATAGTTGGAGTAAGCCAATTTGCCCATTCATATAATGCCCATATATTAGGATAGCAGTCCAGCTTTTCACACATTACATAAAATTCTTTAGGACTACTATGTACCCTCCTCTGCCAAAACTCAATTTCACTTTTTGATACTGAAAAAATATAATATTCCAAATTTAATGTAAAAATGTCATATTTTAATGGACTTACATTTAAATGGATCAACAATTTTTTCTGTTGTAGTACTATCAGGTGCATTAGTACACAGAAGTATTCCACATTCTTCAAATGTTTCTCGTATTGCACGGATTCTCAAAGAAACTTCTCTAGGCAATTCATTTTGTACATTACGAAATATTTCTGGTCTTTTTGCACTCTTTGGAAGTAAAGATTTGAAATTAGATTCATTATAACTATAGTGCTTGAACAAATTTTGCCATTTCAAATCTGCATCTGCAGGCTCAATCACACCACCAGGAAAAACCATAGTACCACCAAAAGTACCTTTGCTTTGTCTTTTTAGAAGAAATAGATTATAATCAAACTGAAATAATAAATCTTGATTGAAGTACTGACATTTTATAATGAATAAAATGTTGTTATGATTAATTAAGCTACAGAAAATGACTTCTATGATATTAACCAACTGGGTATTTTTTAATCCATTTCGAGCAGCTATAATCAAACTGGCTGATTCTCTCCATGTCCTCATTTTTAAATATTTAAATATTTAAATATTTCAAGATATACTTCAACAATGTACTGAGGTTTAGATGTAGTTTTAAAAATACTTTTTTCCAACATAAGATAACAAAACTACTTAAAAATAAATAAGCTTTAAATATTTAAGTGCTCTTAAAGTTGAGTAATGGTCAACTTGTGTATTTATTAACTATGTACATATCATTCACAGCCATATATTTTGTCACAAGTATAAAATTACAAAAGAATGAAACTTCAACTTGAGTAATTTGACAGCATGGTTAGACTTTAGCCATGTGGTAGAGCGTACAGGATTGATTAATTATTAAACAGATGGCACCACCAACATAAAATAATTACATTGAATGAATTCATATTTATTAACTTTTCTGTAAACACAAACTTTAGAACTATTTGAAATATATGATCAACAAAAATTATTCAACTCATTTCATTAAAATAGTCCTATTATTTGAATCTAAATTTAAGCAAGCAAAGGGTCAGGTCTTCTTTCCTTCTTCTTGTTTATCTTTTTTTTCATCATCTTCCTTGGCCTGTCCTGTTGCATGGATCATCAACTCGTACAATTGATGAACTTGTTCATCTCTTAATTTATTTAAATCTTCTGGATCTAATGGTTTCCCAAGAGTCTTTGCTGTTTTAGGTCCTCGTAAACCCAATTGCTCAGATAAATTAATTGCATAGTCCTGTATTAAAATCGAACAATGTATTGTGTCCAACTACTTGTTAAATATTAGACGATGCAATATTAAGTAAAATGTCAATAAGTCGCTAATAGACACTTTTGAAGTCACTTAAAAGAGATTGACACGAATGGCGTAACCTCTAAAAGACAACAAAAAAAGTTGAATTAAACTCACAGCCCATTCGTTAAGGAACACATTAGCCTCGGCGGGATTACAGTGCTTGTGTCTGCGAAACTCGTCCTTGACGTAAACATCGCCCAATTCCCTGATTTCCGTAGGCAAGCCTCGATGTAACCTCAAAACAACTTTGTAAAGCCTTTGCACGCGCTGCAAGTGCGTCCACGGGGCAGTCGTCATGATCATCCACGATTACTTTGCTCAAAATTAAATAATTATGACGTGGCTCAACGTATACTTTTTAATTGCGATTCAGAGAAAATAACGAAGTTAGTGCGTTGTTTAGGCGCTAATATATGTTTGCATGGCTTGCGAGTTGTATGCATCAGCTGACTGTCGTCTGCTACTGTCAGCACGTGCGCTGTCATTTGCATGTATGACGAATAACTGTTGTCGTGTCTTTTTTATTCTATTATTGTAATTATCATTTCAATTTGTATTTTTCAATTGTTTGCATCTACAAATTTTCATCAAAAAGCAAGATTTGAAAAAAAGGAGATGATTAAGGAAAATTTGGATGGTTGTTTCTATTTAGTTCTAGAGGTATGTTTTGTTGTAATCCATTAAGCCGTGACATAACGACTTATAATTGACGAAAGCTCCGTACTTAATTTTGGTAAATGTCATAAATGCGCGCGCACGCGTAAAACTCAGATCGAGGATATGCAAGCGAGGTGTATCAAACTAATCGGGTATCAGTTATTTAACTTCCTATCGTATCAACCCTCCCGGGAACATTTGTACATCTATCTAGCGAGATAGATTAGGCTAAGCACGTTCTCCATAATATTTCCGTGAACATTACTCACCGCATATTAATTTGGCAAAAACAAGGGGAGGGGCACATCAGCCTATGGTATAAAAAGGCTGGATCAGGATCCGCGGCAGCTTAGACTCAAGCTAATACTCATACTCGTACTTATACTGATTTAGTTATTTCTAAGTTTCGCTACACGGCTACTCGTAACCGGAATTATTCTTAGCTACGCATTATAAACTTATCTTTCAACAATAAATCTTAATAAAGTGCAAACACCTGAGACTGTTTGGTAAAATCTCTTCTGAAATCCTGTCCTAACAAGGTAAGAAACTAAGTTATCTACCTAAACATACTACATATAATAAAGGCGCTATCCCTTTAACCAACCTCCGCTTAACTCCTGACTAAGATCCAACTTTTACCAACGCGACAGTATTTTAAACATTAATACGTCTAGCCATAACATCTCCTCGCTTAGACATAACAATGGGGATAACCTTTCCCCCCAAGGAAACAAATGCCAGCTCATGTTTCGTTTGACGACGTTCAGGGTAAACCCATGTGTTTAAATTTAAACGTTTAATATGACGTCACCCATAAGAAATACATTGTCCTCAATTTTAAACACTTCTAAACGTTTAAATTCAGCGACAATGTATTTCTTATGGGTGACGTCACAATTGCACACTTAAAACGTTTAAATTTAAACACAGGATTTTAAGGTTTTGCCGTGGTTAGCATTGAAAAACCGAAAAATATTTCAGGACCGAGATACAGGTCCGTTTATGTCCGTTTATTGTAATTAAGAAAATCGGCACGATAATTTATCGTCGGTCTCTTTGATTTGCAAATCGCCCAGAAGAAATCACGAAAATAAACGATAAGCGTCTATCGTCTTTAAGATCATAATAAAGAAGCTCGCGATAAAAAGCATCGAACGATGATAATGCAACTAAAAAAAATTGCTTTCCTGATTCAATTGTTTGGGCTGTTATTCTCCGAAGACATTATTCGGCCGAATTAAATTGTCAATCGAACAATCAAGTGCCACGTATGATATATATTGTGCCTTGGAAATGAGACACGTGAGAGGTCTTATCTGGATATTCTCATGTACTTGATGAAGGTCGCCACACTTGTTTCTGTTTGACACTACAAAACTTGTCATCTATTATCAAGAAAAATCAACGTACAGTCACATCGGTCGAGAAGAAAAGGTCGCATGATTAAAATCTCCATAAAAGGGTTGACAAATGTTAAAATCGATTAAAATTAATCTCGTTAGAAGTAGTACTTAAGAAGAGAGAGAAACAAGGAGTATTCCTATTTACAGTATTATCACATTGACAGGTAAAAAAGAAATGCATCCGAAAACGTGGAGCTCGTTTCAGTTATCCTCCGGCGTTCTGGTTTCTTGGATTTCCTGCGGAAATGCGACGTCGATTAGAAGCGCATGCGTGCTATCGTGTTTTCTGTTGTTCGCAAAGCTCACCCTATTACGACGCTCTCCGTATTTCGACCAGAACGTGACCTTGACTCTGGACTGTTGACCGGTTCGCTTGTTGAACACCGAGCACTCCGAGAACGGTGGCGAGTACAAGTGCAGGGACACGGCCGTGTCGATCGTGCTCAAGTTTTCCACGCGATGCAGGCCAATCGAGTCTGAAAGCAGTCGGTCGGAAGGTTTGCTGCAGTGTGATTCGTCGGTGCGAGCCACCGGGGGGCCCGTAGTCGGGACGTTACCATTGATGTACGTCACGTCATTGGTGCCGTACACGCTCCTCTCGATTTCCTCGATCTCGCCCTGGCATTCGTTGCCCTCGTCGTCGATGTACTTCTTTGGCCACTTGTACTTGGTCTGAGAATCGCAATGCTCGCGGATCAGCGCTCGAGTCTCGGTATCTCGGCCGGCCGACAGAGACAAACGAACAATTACCTCGCATAGCTCGCCGTGGATGACCTTCATGACGCAGTGGGCATCGGCGTGGTCGTGGATCGCCGAACCGTGGCCCTCGCCCCAACACAGCACCATCAGGTTGAACTTGCCGTTGCCCTCGTCTACCAAGTTCCGCGTGTACCTACGACAGGAGATCGACGCCACTCGTTGCCTTAACGCCGTCGCACAGGCAACTTGCGAAAATCAGCGGACTCGACGACAACGGAGCAACGATTTTGCGAAATTTCCGGCACGGCGCGGCTGCAGGCGGCGGATTCGTCTTCGGATCGAATCGAAGATCCCCTACTTTCTTTGTCCCTCTTGGATCGGCGGAGTGCGCTCAGTCTCGGTTATCGGGTTCCGCCGATTTCGCCGCTCGGAACGCTGCTCGAGCCTTGCCCTCTGAATTGGCGCAACCGCGGGCAAGGTGCTCGCAGACGAAATCAGCCCGGAATGTTTCATCAGCAGTCGATGACGCGTTGGCGCAGCGAATGGAAGGAGCCCGACGTAAAAAATGGTGTATCGTTTCCATAACAATACTCTCGGCGAGCACCGCTATCTCTCAATTATTATTCGCAGCAGCATTGAAACGCGAAAGACGCTGCCGAACGCGATCGGCAAGCGCTCCGTATCACGCGTCATTAACATGTCCAGATTACGATTACCCGCGCACGGCAGCTGCGTCTAGCTCGCTAACGAGTCCGAAGCCCGGCGACGCGAGCGATCGATCGTTCGTTATCGCGCGACGGCAGCGTCAAGCGCTCGGCCGAGAGCGCCACGATTGGCAAGATATCGACGCGCAATAATCGATCGCGCTGCAGGCGAGCGGCGCGCTTCATTCGCCGACCTCCAAAGTAAATATTGCACGACTGCAGATAACCCCAAGTGAACCCCGCGCGGCGCGTCTCCGCGGTCCAAGGAGAACGCTGGCCGGCCAAGAGCGTCGGATGCAGGCGCGCTCCCAGCGAAAATGCCAGTCGCCGCGCCGATAAAATTGCTTCCGTTAGGCGCAACGCGCGGAATCCAGCGATCCAAGTGGCTGACCTGTGCCGATCGAACTTGGCGTACTTCCTCCACTCCTGCGGGTTGCTCCTGTAGCTGGCCATCAGGTCCTGCACGTGGTCGATGTCGACGTCGTTGGTGGCGAACGCCTCGCGCAGCTTCTCCACCAGCTCGCCGAAGGCGATCGACTTGCCGCCGCCGCCAAAGAGGCTCCTCTCCATCCCGGATTGCCAGACGATGCTGCCGCGAGCGTGTTCACCCTCCTCCTCCTCCTCCTCGTCTTCTTCTTCTTCTTCTCCCGTGCGTACTGCCACGAGTACCGCGTGTCGCGTACTACTGCGGCGCGCGCGTGGCCAGAAATCTCCCTATGCGCGCACCAGGCGCCGCGCGCCGAGATACCGAATCCCCCTACTCCGCGCGCTATCGGCGCGCTCGCGCTTTTTTCCCAGGCCGGCCGGCCGACCGATCGCGCGTTACGCGCGGCACATTCGGGGGCCCCCTCCGAGCTCGAGGCGCAGGTGAGCGCGCCGACGCTCGCGCCGCGCGAAGCCGACTCCTGGACTGAACGGAAAAGAATCGACGGAAGCTCGATTCGCGTTCGCCGCCGCCGAGTTGCCGCTGCCAGATCTAAGGCAAACGATAACGAGCGATTTCTATCGAGACCGGTGCGGCTCGCGGCTCGCGGCTCGCGCGTCGCTCTGCGCCCAGCGAACGGAAAAGCCAGTCAGGATATTTCTTTTTTCCTCCGTAACGCACTCGTAACGAACGCACGTGCGATCACGTCGATGCAATAACAATGTACTTTGGGTTGCCAGGTGTTCCGCGTTGAGAGCGACGCCGGCTCGTGTCGCGCGATGCGTCACGAGCATCGTCAACAATGCTTGTTTATCAACGGTGGCTTTAAAATTTCGATGTGCTCCCGATCAAGATATCGCTGTTTGTATTGTTATTTTTATCGATTTTTCGAAAATTCCTGTTGCATAGTTCTCCTCAATTTTAATCCTACGTTTGTGTGAATTTCCATTGACTCATTCATATTATCGACGTCGGCGCGTCCAATTGTCATTTCTCCAAATCTAACCTCGTTTCTCGAAGGACTTTTGATGCAAATATAATTTGGGTTACGCGCGACGATGGCTGAATTGTTGCCCAAATCCTTATTTTTCGTTCCAGACGAGAATTTTCTCGTTGCGTCGAGATCCAAAGTTTCGTTATCTTCGTATAGTCGGTGACTATAGAGCGCGACGAAAACAAGAAAGCTGCAAATAGCTTGCAAGGCAATTCTGAAATATGATTTTCTATAAAACTCGTAACAATTAGCCTAATAAAAATAATGTTGTTCACAGACATTGAACTCTCTTCAATTGACGATCATAGTGTGTAAGTTTCTACTGTGTAAGTTGACACAGTTTTTGGTTTGTATTTCTGTTCACGTAGTAGTTGGTGTCAAAGGTATCGTACGCGTTGGAGGATACGTGCTTTGCACGGTTTTCGTTACTCGAACGGCAATTTTGAAATCGCGAATGGACAAGTGCACGGCCGTCTTCGGGGATTGAAAATTGATCGTATTGCTGCAACCAATCGCGGAACGATCTTCGCGCCGCCTCGAGTTATTCGGAAAGGAGCGACGTCGATTCCAGAATTCTCCGCGGCTCATTGAACGTCAACGAAAGCAGGTGACTCGAGATTACTTTTATCTTTCCGTGCGTTGGTTGGCGAACGGTCGGAACGCGCGATTCTACGCAACGTTGGTCTCGCGCCCTCGGTGGAGTCGACGGAACCATTAGAAAAAAAGTATGTATATTGCACTGAGGAGAATCAAAGACGCACTTCGTCGGTTCAGAATAGCAAATTATCATGAAACGATCGCAAGTAAGGACGTAGAACTTGCTCGAGGGAAAGGGGCGCATTCCAAATAATCTAGCGCCAGATCCATCTACGCAATGTACGCGAGCGAGCACACGATTGCAAAAACAAGAATCTATCAATTTCCATCGTACGAATCGTCGATTGATGACGGGGCACGGCGATTTGTTTTGAAGATACGCTCGCGCGCGATAAAGATGTTTTCGGTGCTGATGCGTCGAATCTTTATCTCTCTCTCTCTCTCTCTCTCGTCCTCGGCGGATTTTTCACGCTGCCTGCGGCTTTGGTTGCTGGGTCGTCGTGGAAATCGTAAACAGATCGAATGAGAGCCGTGGACGTACGTGTGGCCAGCCTTAGTGCCCCGACGCGCAGCAGCAACACCTGCAACGCGACCTCGCGATTACAGGCGACAAGCCAAGCGCCTTTTCGTCCGTGGCAAAAAAACCGCTCACCAGCGAGGCGGATTTTCACAATAGTAACACTTGGCTCGTGGCTTCTTATCGGCGGCGTCGCAGCGGCGCTCTTCGCGACGGCGCGCACACCTTCGAGAAAGACAACGCGTGCTTGGCTGCGCGTCCTGTATGCGCGCGCGCGGGGCGATCGTGCCGTACCTCGCGCGGCTTCCTTCGCGGCCGCAGCCACGCTCGAGTGCCCTCGCGGATTCCCCCATTTTTTCTCGCATCTCGCCGACCAGCACGGAGTGAGTCTTCAGCTTCCGACAAGGCAGCGTCGAGGAGCCGCTCGTGGCTCTGCGACGCCGATCGCGGCCGACGGTCGCCGCCTTGCGCTGCTCGGCAGATTCGCTTCCGCAGAGACAGCTGCCCGAAGGTAACAGGCAGGAGAGACACACGCGCAGCGAGTTCCGCGAGCGACCGTCCGTTCGATCCGCGTCGCCCAGCGCGGCTTCTTCCGTAGCGCGACTGTCCGACGCAGCGCCGGCCTTCGACATCGTCGCCTCGAGTTCACTCGTCTCTTCGCCGTGGCTCGGTGTGCTCGCGCGACGAGACGCGGCTTTCCGTTCGTTTGCCTGGTTATCAGATTCGTTACGCGGATTAATAACTTCCGTTGGCTTCTGCCCCTTCGTTTTACCTGCCGGCTCTGGTCTGTGCTTTCTTCGTTTGCTCTTGCCTTTGCGTCGAGCGGACCTGCTAGCTTTGGTCGTTCGCCGCGACTCGGTGCAACTTGCGTCGCATCTACCCTTGACTTTCCTTGCGCCTCCCGTCGGCTCGTCGCGTTTACTTCTGAACAGGCTGACGAGCTTCGCGATAAACGAGGTTCGATCCTCCTCGGCTCTTGCCTTTCTCGGATCTCTCGCAATCGATTTAGACTTGCGCGCTGTCGCTGCGTCTTCTCGCGCGTGAGCTTTATTTTTTACTTTTACCTTCTTTGCCCAAGATTTCTTATTCGTATTCTTATACGCGTCGAGTGTCGCATCTCTTGCTGAAGCTTCGTTTTCGATGCCCTTGTTCGTATCATTCCTCGTTAAAGTTGCTTTCTCATCAAGCGGAGCTTTCTTGTTTTTCTGCGATTTAGGTTGCCGCTGACCCTGATCGATCCGATCCGAAGATGACTTTTTCTTCGGCGATTTTTCCGTTGGTCTGTCACGGTCGTGCTTTTCTTTCGACTCTTCGTGCAAACGTTTAGCTTTGCCTAGCGCCTCGCTTTTTATCGGGTCGTTAGTCACGTCATTTGACATTTTCTTCGTCGGTTCAGCTGCACCGAATTCGTAGTACCGTTTAGTTTGACAGGTAGATTATTTCAATTATTTATCAAAAACAATACATACCTTTCATACTTTTAGATTCACCGTTACGGTCTTTGCGTGTCTTCTTAGAAATCAATTTTTCGCCACCTTTACCTTTCTTCGAATCATTCTTTCTATCCTTGTTTTTCAACGAGTTGGAATCCCTGAAAAAGGTGCCGAGTAGCAAATAAAGGCATGCATAAAAGAAAGCGAGATTCACCATGGACATGTACAACAATTTTCGTCGTCCTCTTTCGCGTTTACACGAGTTTTAGGCCGAAAATAAGCGAACCACCTGCGGTGAATTTTCGAATGGAGATGACGGCGGAACGGCACCGTAGAAATATTAATTACGGAATCGAGCTTCCGTTCCTTTGGGAAAACAAAACTCGGAACGGCCGAGTTTCGCGTTATCGCAAGCTCCGGCTGAAAAGCTCGCTCGCGGCAAGAGTCTCACCCGTCGTGTTTACGCGAGCTCTTCGGCTGCTCGATCAGTTTCCCCGCTTGGCGTCCAATCGCGGCATTCCTCTCGCGTTTATCTTTCAAGTTCCTCAGCCACAAGTCGCTCTCGTCGTACTGCGGGCAACGACACGACGCAATGCCAGATGACTCGCGCTTCTCATCGCTGCGGCCGTCGCTCGTGGTCGTCCCCAATAGCCGCGTATCGTCGCGCGACCTAGACTTCGCTTGGTGCGACTGGGCCCCGCCGAGGCCCGCGCTCATGATTAACTTCTCGCCGTTCTCGCTCGGTTTGTCCGTCGTCGAAAAACTAGATAACTCGCGAACGTGGTGCGAGGTTAATCGGCAGATTTGCGTCGGAATCGAGCGAAATTGCGTTTACTCGGAGCGGCGCGCGCCATGTTCAGATTGATCGTGGTCGACTCGGCAGCTTGGCCGACGCCGCTTTCCCCGTCGCTCTCGACGATAGTCTTACCCTTCCCCGAAGGCTCCCGAGCAAACGTATATGTTGACGTTGCCAGTCATGCGACGATTGTCGCTTCGAGCCGATGCTCCGTCTCGATCGATTTTGGCCATGTCGAGTCATCCAAGCTGTATAGTGCAAATCTTCGGCGAACCAGTGCTGCTGACTATAACTGTCGGCCGCTTTGCGACAAAAGTCACGTATGATTTTTGATCACTCGGAATTTAAAGGCCCGTGGAAACGAGGTTACGATCACTAAACGCGCGTGGTTCATTCTGACAAAAGAAAACAGTTGTACGAGCGCGCGCGCCTCGTGTTTTTTTCTCTCTGAAATCCCGTGGCGATGGAAAGCATCGATACGGGAGGATTCCGAAGCGTAGCCGACGATACTGTTGTCCGCCGGCTTTTCAATTTGCGCACGAGTGCAATATCAATGAGACAGAGTTATCTGAGAAATTTCCCAAAAATGTACAGTCTCGCCTGAAACTTTTCAACGACAACAACTCAAGCAGTCGCTGCTACCAATGAAAATACGCGGCATCGTACGACAATAACGTACTATGGCGTTTGCCGATTTTGCGTGTCCTGGAAAATCACTGACTTCCCCGACGTATACATTTATTATCTAGCTCGTTCTCGTCGATGATCGACCAGTGGAAAGTTCGCAAACTCTTTGCGATAAATTCACAGGGATTTTCTTGATTCGTTATCAGTTAGGAGACTTCCGCAAAGGTCGCTTAACATATTTACGATCGGAACGATGTAAAAATATTTTTCGATTCAAGTGTTTTCAATTGCCGAGTTTTCAGGATTGCTTTCAATTTAAACATTTTCATTTTCATCGCATTTTTTAGCATTGCTATGAATGTGTATTGAAGTGAATAATTGACGGGTTTTTCGAAATAACTCGAAAATCTTGAGATGACGTTTTGGCTGGTCGCGAAGAAACCTTTAATTAAGTTTCAAAAACTTTCGAGATAATCAGAATAGCAATTTACACATTAATTTTGAGTGTTCAATGAGTTTGATCAGAAAGTTATTTTTGTTCGGATATTTGCGTTACGTGATCTCACTTGCGATACGAGTTTTTATGTACTTTTTAAATTCTTTTTTTCCAATAACATCGAACTGCCGTTTTCTTGTAGCAAACGTTTATTAAAAATTTGACAACAGGCGTATCAGAACCGATCGATTCCAAAGGATAAACAAATAGTCGATGACTGGGATAATTAAATGTCAGCTCAAATTACTATAAGACTACTCCTGGTCTCTTATATCGTAAATACAACAATTTATCAAATAATTCCCTGGTTGAATGGTAAACTTTCGTCGTAAGCGGCTTTCTCTGATTGGACCTAAACCGATCCACGGCAATAAGTTCCCATCATTCAGTGAAGTTAAAACAAAATTCGAAAACATGCCTCATGTCAATTACACATTTTAGGTTTTGTTCGGTTTACATGATCGCAACTGCGACGTTCATGCTACGCAACATAACTATAACATTTGCTGACGTCATTGCGGTAACGTCATTGCCACGTGCCGACTGTTGAATGAATTACAACTTGTGCAACATTTGATCAGCGGATGGAAGGAGAACAATAATATCATGAATGATTGTGATGTACCATAGCGATGCACTCTGCTATATTGGACTACGGCTGCGCGATTGGCGATAATTTTTCAATGGTATTCATACTTCACGTTTTTCAAGTATGGAGGTGACATAAATATATGAATGAGATTTGGAGAACCACCCCTAATGCTCTGTATTAATATATTTTTGTTTCTTTACCATTATGAGGTCAAATCGTTGCGGTTCTGTTCGAAACCGAGGTTTTACCTAATTTGAAAAAATCTTGTCAACAGGCCATTTAACTAATAGGTTCTTCTGTCATGTCTCTTACTGTCACGGCGAAATGCCAATGAAAGAAAGAAGTGAACTTGTTTTATTTTCATGCAGCGAGGTCACAACGATTCGTCAGCGCTGGCCATCGTTCATAGATCCGATTCAACTCCAGTCTCTTGTCTAAAACCGCCTGGCGCGCTCATTTTTCCTTAAACGCATGTTCGGAAGCCACGTCTCGAAACCTGATTTTCACGCTGCGGAATGCCAGTGTCGCAAACCAAGTAACGAAAACTTACGTTGTACAAAAAAGAACCGCGTAAACCATTTGCTCGTTTTACTACTCTCACTATTTATTAATCAACATTGATAAATATGTGATAATTACATTCTGTTAGATAAATATTGACTTGTATAAGAAATATTTTAGTTATAGTAATCGTTTTATGTAAATTTTAATAAAAAGAAAATATCCACGATTAAGTAGTCGTGCTATTTACATGAAAATAATTTTCATGGGACTGAAAGGTCTGTAACAAGCAGTCTTTGAACATCGCGTGTTGGGATTCGACTATGAAAAATCTTCAGGTGTTGAGACGTGAAGCTTTTACATTTTATACGGTGGACAAAGTTGATTGGAACGGCAGTCTAAAATCCAATAAATAATTTTATGTGTATCGAATGCATGCGTAATAAAGTGCAGCTAAATCCTACGAATCCTAAAATTAAAAAAAAAAAGATTCATTTTTGAAATACTTTTTACTTGAATACAATTCATCGAGTAATTATTGAATATTTTGAGTATTGATTGAAAAAATTTGAGTGACGATGCTTGCTAATGTTTCCGAATGTTTTTTTCCATTTTTCGTTCAGATATTATACCTAGGCATCTTTTTTAGCTGCATTATCTACTCTTTGGAAAACGTTGCTAATTATATTAATGCGGCGTCGAATGTAATTCATGATTTCATTTCCTTCTTTTGGTTTCTGTTTTACGCAAGAAATTACTTCTTTTAGCGAACTTTTATTGGACAAACTGGCAAAGGACGTACCAGATCGAACCGATTCCAAAATAAATCACCGATGGAACGAGAAATTTCTGCTGGCTGGGATAAGTTGCAGCGCAAACTACTAAAACGCACAGTTCATTTGTGTACCGGATCAGCGATGACTTATCGGATAATCCCCTGATTCAATTGCTACAAATTTCCATCAAAAAGAACTTTTTCGGAGCAGACCAAATTTAACTCGTGATAATTGTTTTCTCTGTCATTCCGTGTCGGTAAAAACTTGAGAAAATTTGACTTCTTTTCCACTAAAAGTTACAGGTCCATTTTGGCTTATACAGTGATAACTGCGGCGTTGTCTACTTAACCGCAGCAGCTACTGAGTTTTGTTGCTTTATCGCGATGTGTCAACTGCTCAGTGAATTATAACTCGTGCAACACTCAATCATCGAGTTAGAGAAAAATAATCACGAAGCTTTGCGATGCGCAATAATGAGGCACACTGTTGTTTGCGACAACTTTTCAATGGTTTATATAGTATCAATGGTTATTAATCAATTTCTAAATGTCAGCGAGCATTTGCCAAGCTTTTGATTATTTAGATTCTCAATTTAATATTATTCCTGATGTTATATAAGCGCAGTTGGCTGTTATTTGTTTTGCAAGCGAAAAGTTAATGCACGAAATCTTGCAAATGACTAGTAGCATTGAAAATCATGACACGTCGTTGAACTATGTTCCTTTTTTGAAATATTGATGCTCACGACGTTACTAAGAATAGAAAAACCCCTTACAATTTAATTTAGAATTCAAGATATCATTAATATATACTAATGGATTTGGATGACAATTATTTTCATATAAGTAGCATTTCATATAAGTATCTCTATATAAACTAAATAATACTATTAATGCTCAATGGCCAAACCATTAATAAGATATATACATTTTTCAAGATTCAACATTGAGTGGATGCGATGTCTGCGTGATTAATAATTAGGGTTAGATCTATATAGTAAATTGGGCACTGCGGCATATTCATTTGAAAATGTGTATTCATTTGTAATTTAAAACTCAAGTGAAGTAACATCTCTGACTTGATCAGCTCTATTACTTTTGCAGAACTAATGTTTTCCACTTGGTTATTCTTCTGCATTAATTATTGCTACTTGAATATGTGACTAATTCGCTAAATAATCATTCGTCTTCCTAACAGACTACGCCAATCAGCCTTCATTGAAGTGTACGTGGATTACGCAATTAATGTATACTTTATTGTACGATCAACGTTTGCCATGTTGTCTAATTCATAATTACTACTCCTTCCTTGCTTTGGCTGTGCCTCCTGATATGTTCAGTACGCGTTGGCCGAAAATGAAACAGCCACCATTTAAATGTTAAAATTAAATTCGCAACAGTTACGTATATACGCAAAACAATTTCGCTAAGATTCACCACCGACCGTAACCGATGGAAGTGTATCCCAGGAGTTTGCCTATGTCAGTTATCAATTCGAACGGTGCAACGGAACCAATAACTCGAAAAAGCTTTGCATGCAAACACAGTTTATTTCTTCTTCGCTTTGTTGGATTATGGGCCGAAGATGGTCAGTTTGAGTCAAATAAGCATTCTAAGCTGACTGGATATTTTGTAGCATTGATTATCGTTGGGACATTTGGATTTCAATTTAGCCTCATAAACAGAGACACAAATGGAGAAGTCATTGCTAAGTATAACTTTTTTGCCTCCATCTCTAATATTTAAATAAAACTTCTTATGTTGTTTTTGGATATAAGGTGGGTGAATCCAACACGAGACTACTACGCGCAACCTGCTATTACTTTTCGTAAAGAATGTTTTGGGTTATGAGGGCTCATTCGGATTGATTCGATGATATCTAGCCCAAGTTAGGATACTTTAAAGTAACCCTTTTTTCCTGGGTATACGAAAAAAGTGTATCCAATATTAATTTCACCTATCTTATTTAATTTATTATGTAGTATAAGCTCATTAACTAGTAATATATGGCAATTTGTAATTTACGGACACTTAAAAATTATTTTTTAGATTTATTGCCGAGTTTTTAGCGGCAATAACTGCCCTGTTTAAGATATTGCCGATGACATGGACCAGGTAGGAAATACAACTTTCGACTTGCAGTACATTTAGTATGGCATTTGAGAAAATATGTGTTTTAGCAAAAGCACATTAGAAATTTGGCAAAAGACATATCGCATCAGATCGATTCCGAAAAGAACTTTGATCGAAGAAAAAATAACTGACGATTGGGACAGTTTTCAATGCAAAATAATAAAAGTCCTGATTCGATGTTACATCGCATTACTCATACTATATCAAGCGAGTTGTTGGTTGCACGGCGATAAATTTATTCTGAACGATGCCTTTCCCGACTGGGCCAAAGCCAGCCCGTGGTAATTTTGTTCCTCTGTTATTTCGTGATGATAAAAAATAATTGCAAAGCAGTTTCATTTCTACCGACTGTTTCAGGTATTATCTGGTTTACGTAGTCACAACCGCGGTGTTTTGGTTACGTTTTGTGTTTGTATTGGCTTATGATATTTGTAGCGTCATTGTCATGTGCCGATTGTACAGTGAAATACAACTTGTGCAGCAGTTGATCGGCGAGCTGGAAGAAAATAATTACGAAGCTTTTCGATACGCAATGATGAGGCATGCTGTAGTTTTGGAATATGGACGCACGATTTGCGAGAATTATTCAACGGTGTTTATGTTTCAACATTTCGACATCGCCATGAGCATTTCCTTTTTGGGAGCTGTAGCTATTTACGTAAGCTTCATTGTTTCATCTCAACATCTTTATTACCGAGATTGACCAATTCTATTCTATTTTGTTATTTCGCAGACAAGCGATTTTACTTTGCAAATGAAGTTAACATTATTTATGGCGTTCTATATATCGCAGATGGCCATTATCTGCTATGCGGGCGAAAAGTTATTGCAGGAAAGTCTGAAGACCGCCAGTAGCATTGAAAACTCCGTGGATAAGTTTTTAAACGACATTCCGTCTTTGAGATTGTTGTCCATGATGTTACTGAGATCGCAAAAACCCTTACAATTCAGTTTCGGAAGTACACGCTTGAGTCTGAGTTGTTACAGTCGAACCCTCAATACTATATATTCATTTTTCATGATATTGAAAACTATGATTGAGTAATTTGGTGTATTTGTTATTGCATATTATATTGCGTACCATCCAAGCGACGATGGAGCGTGAAAGCTCCGTTTTATAAAAAACTTTATCCGCGATAGTTACTTTCATGAAAATACCAATGGATCGCGTGACATTCAAATATCAAGTATAGCTTACTAAACGTGGAAGGTCAAAAATGTACTTATTGAAAACTTGATAAATAAATCAGAAACTTCCTTATGATCATCATACATAGCATGAACAGAACTCATTGCCCTCTATATAATCATGCAAAGGTCACATATTTTCATACTAACTGCTTATGATATTCGCAAATCTATAATTAAGTAACCAAGTTGTGCTTGTAGATTTCTCGGAAACTGTTGCATTGTGCAATGCGAGTTCCTCACTAAAGCTATTGCTGCTCACTAAACAGTGCGTATAGGGCGCATCATTAGTGGCACTGGTCTGACACCTTTCGCCAGTAATCAATTGGGCCACTTTATAATACGAAGTGCCGATTATAATAGCCGTGAAAACAGTGAATAATATTCGAGTGAAGCGCAATTTTTCATCGATTACATCGTGGAAAGCGAACGTGCCGTTCGGCAATGGACGTCGTGATCGATGTGTCGCTTATTTTTCGACCTCAACAAACGAAAATTTGACGAGAAAGACTGCGGAGCCTGGATAAGCCCTGTGACGATCCGTAATATCATTTCGATATACTCTCGCGAAACCGTATTCTTTTCTTAATAGGTTTGTTGTGGACGGTTTGACGTCTCTCCTTTCCATTATTAAGATAGCACCGCTCGTAGCGAACAAAAGTTCTCGTTGATCTTTCTTCCGACAGAGTGAAAATGGAATTCATGGTTCCAGAAAGAATTTTTCAGAGAAGGTCCAAAGAAACACGCAAGTTTAAGGATAATCAATGCATCCGTTTTCACTTTAATCACAAGGCTAACATATAATATTTAACGCGCATGCGCTATCAAAATATAGACTATGTACAGGGCAACATTTGAAACAACTTACGCAGCAATGAACACTCGACACACTGAAATGTGTATTCAGCGTTCAAATCACACTTTCTTGGACTTGAATCTTACGTAAGTACCTTGATCTCTCGTTTGTGCCACTCGAGACCTACGCGCATTACTTCTATGACAGCCGCTTACAACGACGATGAATTCATGTCTAAAGGAAGTCTTACCTGTCTCTCGCGTCAACGACCGGCTGAAAACCACGAACTGTTTGGCTTGGCAGGCATCTGTGCCTCGATCCATCCGTTTGTCTGAATTGCAAATTGAAAAGTACATTCTAAAAATGACACATGACGTGTCAATGGCAGTGATCTGTACCTATAGCCGTTGTCCGTTTGTATATCGCTCAAGTCGTCGCTCTTCGTCCGAGCCTTTTCGCTGTCAATATCAGATAACTTTTCTTGCATCAAGCAACTTCGTTTCCTCGCGTTCGCGGTCTCCTTGTCGACCTTATCTCTCCGCAAAACGTCCGATTCCACGTTCGTTTGCGTTTTCTTATTCGACTGCAGGTGCGCGCCAAAGTCCCCCTTGCGCGTTTTCTTGTCCGAGATCTCGGACGATGAGATCGCGTCGTGAAATAGGATTTTCTCGTACTTGGAGCCTTTCTCGTCGCTGTCTCCCTTGATTTTGTCTTCCTTGGTCAGCCGCTCAGCCTCGCTCGCTTTGCGAAGTTCGATTCTCTTACCTTCGACGGAGACACGCTGATTATTCAAGCCCCATGAATACGAACGATACCGATAAAAATACCAACTTGAATTGTCGCTCGACATCTCTGAGAAATCAAAGTCGTCGGGTAGAGACGAATTGGAAGTCGCGAAGTGCGTATCGTAGCGGTTCTCGTTGTTATCCGACGTATAAATGTACGAGTCCTTTGAGAGATACAGAGCGTCAATAATTTTCTGAACTTCCACGAAAGCAGCTTGAAGCTTACCCGATCGTCGGCGTACGTCGAGCTTCTATCACGAGACGGATCACTGTCGACGGTGGATTGAGTGTCGGTCATTGTGCTGTAGTCCGCTCGGTACTGAATTCTCTCTCTCGGGGAGTAATAGGATTCGCGCTCGTCGACTTCGTAGTACTTGGTGTCATTGCAAATCGACTTCAAGCGCCTGCGATACGAAAGACAAATGTCTGCGCAGTTGACGCGTCACGCCGCGAGATATCGCCGCGTACCTCGGCAGCTCTTTCGTCTCGCAGCTCAGCGGCTCTGCCGCGACGACTTTATCCATGCGCGCCCGAGACTGGCGTTGGCGCTTGGTACGCCTGGTCGAGGTGACGTTCCTCTTCCTCAGACCGAACTCGTCAGTCTTAGATCCACGCAGAAGCTCGCGATGCTCGTCGCACTCGGACGACGACGACGACGACAACGACGACGACGACGGCTCTTCATCGCACTCAACTCCTGTTTGAATCGAATCTTTGTAAGTTGTCGATCTCTTCTGCGCGAAAAACGTTTGGTTTTCTCTACTCGGCCCAACACTCTATGCCGCGGCTCGAACGTTGCCAATTACCTTGCGGAACAGCGCGACGACCGCTTTGGTCAATCTCTTTAGTCTGCCAGGCTTCTCTCTGCGAAAGCTTCGCGACGGCAGCTCGTCGTCGCTGGGCTGCTCGATCTCGATCTCGAGTACGTCGTCGTCGCCGCCGATCTGGAGCTCGTCGGTCGTCCACGTTTCCGTGTCCGCTACGGACGTCGAGTCGTCCTCGCTCGCAGCTGGTTTTTTGGGCTGGCTCAGCCTGACAAATCCGAAGCAGTATACGCGCTCCTCGTTACTCGACGAGGCGTCTTCCGCAGGACCATCGAACACCTTGGCAACGCGCAGGAAACATTTTTCAGAATCCCATCGATCGACAGCTGACTCGCTCACCTGCATCGTAACGTCGTCCCGGATGGCCTGCGCCTCCAGGTCTTTGAACTTGACTCTCCGCGGTGCAGCGGCGTCCGGCTCTTGCTCTTCCTGATAGCCTGTGCTCGGCGATGATTCGCTCGGTCAAGTTTGTCGAAGAGCTGGGCGCGGACGTACTCGAGCGCGATACCGACCGTAGCTGTACTCCGACCGAGTGTCGTCGTCTGAGGTATCTGCCGGCAGCAGCGTCTCCTCCTCGTCGGGCTTTTTCGCCTCGGCGCCGTCCCTCCTCAGCCGCTTCAGCTTCTCTCTCAGCCCCGTGAGGTCCGGCTCGTCTTCCGACGAATCCCTGCACCGAGCGATCCACGATTGGCAATCGCGACGACAGCGACGAGCACGATCGAGATCGAGAACCTCTCCTCGCTCATGTCGGTCAGGTCGCCGTAGTCCAGGGGCGACAAGCAGACGGTGCACAGCTTGCCCAGGTCCTGGAAGCACTGCGGGCAGTAGACGCCCGCGCAGCCGGGCGTCGGGCACCTCACGTGCGGCGCGTGCCTGTCCCGCTCGGGCGATCCGCAGACGAGGCAGGCGCTCCTCGTCGGGAGCGGCGCCAGGCGGTTCAGCAGAGGGCAGACCGCCCAGAGGCGCTCGCGCAGCGTCACCCGCTCGACGCCGCGCGACAGGCCGAAGCTGCGGCGCAGCTGGCGACGCGCGTACTTCAGGAACGAGCCGCGGGACCTACAAAGGCTCGGTCGCACGCCACCGTCCGCCGTCGCCCGGCCGTCGCTCGGCCGGCGCCGATCGCGGGCTACCTCATGATGTGGTTGTACAGCCAGACGGCCCGCTGCTTCGCTCTGTCCGGGTAGTACTGGCTCAGCACGACGTGTCGGAGCCTCAGCCCGTAGGGCTCGAACAGCGCCATGATCCAGCAGAACAGCGTCATCGCGACGATCCTCGCGTAGGCGTCGTAGTCCGGCGGCTTGGGCTCGGGCAGACAGGGCGTCAGCTCCGCGTCCCGCCGGTGCTCGTCGGTGTACGGCGAGAACGCGACCACCACGCTGCGGTAGACGTCCGCGAGGAAGCCCGTGCCCCTCACCTCCACCGAGCCGCCGTACGGCTCCCTCGGCGCCGTCGCCTCGACGCGGCCGTGGTACCTGCGCGCGTCGAGCCGTGAAAAGCCGACGGCGAGTAGGGTGGCGAGTCGGGCGGCGCGGCTCGCACCTGACGGTGTCGAGGATCCAGAACAGGCAGTAGTCCGTGGCTATGTAGATGAGCAGCTTGACGGACGTGACGGCCAGGAAGACCGCCGACTTGGCCAGTCGGACTCTCTCGGCCTCGATGAGCAGGAGCGAGGTGAGCGGCGCGTACTTGCCGCGCTCGCGCCGGTTCAGCGGGAAGATCGTCTCCTTGTCCTGCTTCACTCGACGCAAGTCGATCTCGCGCATGTGGCTCAGGATGTAGCGGTTGTCGAAGCGATCGCTCGTCAGCCACTTGTAGCGGTAGTAGGCCACCCTGGATCGCGTTCGGGAGCGTCACTCGAGCGAGTCGCGCGCGCGCGCCCTTCGCTCCCGCTTACTTCAGGAACAAGAACAGGAAGAGGAAGCTAGTGACGAAGCCGACCCAGTCGAAGAGCGCCAAGAAGCGGTTCGTCCTAGCTTTGATTTCCGACGAGATGCCCCTCGACACCTCGGCCAGGCTGCGGCTCTTGTTGCTCTCGAAGTGAAACGAGTGCGAGAATTTTATCTTCACGTGGAGCATCGCCTTCATCTCCCGCGAGAATTTTACGAGCTCTGAGAACCAAGTAGACCGAGGTCGGGCGGTTGGTCAAAAGTCAAGAGAAAAGGACCGAACGGAGCAGGAACGAGGAGCTTACTCCTCCTGACCACGCCGACGATAGCATCGGACACGAAGTCGCTGAGTACGCAGACGAGATCCAGGGGCTTGAGAGTGTAGCACACGGTGTTGGCGAGGTAAGTGACGTCGCAAATCTTGTTGAGGTAGTCGCCGAGCTTGTCCTGGCAGTCGGCGACGGCTTCGTCCAGCGAGTTCTGGCAGCGCTCGTACGGCGTGCCGAGCCTCTTGTTGCAGATGCTCACGATGCTCGCCAGCCAGTCGAACGCCGACTTGATCACCTGCACTGTGCCGACCGAACGAATTCACGCTCCAGAGAGACGGACGAATAGAGAGAGAGAGAGAACGCGAGAAGACGATTATTGCGTTGCGTACGAATGCTAATAACCAGCCTCTTCATTGCGATAAGGGTCTTCTTGATCCGCTGCGCGATAGCTTTGACGGACTTGACTATTTGCGCCAGGGAGTCTCGCAGCGCGTAGAACGGTTGCTTCATCAGCTCGATCACCGACTTCACGGCTTCCTTCAGTTGTTCCTGCCGAAGATCCATTGCTAAATTTCTCAGCCTGGAGCTAGCTTCCGGACGCGACCCGCGAGAATCGTGAAAGCTGCGCGTCGCCGAGGTCCGGCGTCTCGACCTCTTCCAAAAGGGTCAAGGAGACAGGGGGGGGGGGGGGGGAGCTCTCGAGAAAAACAAAAAATTACGGTCGAATCTCGTTTCAAAGGGATTGCGTACTTGGCTGCAGGCCAACGACTCCGACAGCACGCCGATGTTGTATAGGGCATTTTTCGCCGGTCCGCTGAGCGCCAGGATGAAGGCGTAGGCCATGAGCGCCTGTCGGCCGCGTTTCGAAAAGAACTGCGGCAGGAAGAGGAACACCATGCACCTTGAACGATTTAATTACGTTTCTTTTTTCCATTCCTTTTCTCGGTCGATCGCTCTCTCCTTTCAAAACGCAGCGTAATCTTCATCTCGCGGCCGAGGAGGACTGATTTTCGCGAAGAAAGATCGACCCACTCGGGCGCTCGTTTTGTTTTTAAACAAGAAACGTCTCGGGTATAGAGTAATCGCCTTGTCTGTACTCTCTTTTTTTTCCCTTTTTACTTTTTACTGCGCAAAGAGTGTGACGTTAAATTGAGCGTGAGCCTGTACTTACGAGCGTCAACCACCAGAAAACTATGGGAGGAAAGGAGATAAAATTACTTTGTCGCGTAAATCTCATTCTCTCGAACTAAGGAAAAGAAGGAGAGGGGGGGAGGAGAGCTGCTTTTTCCTACGAGAACAAAAAAGTTATTCACCTGACGCGCGGATAAAAAGCCAAGCCAAGGCTCATGAAGACGCCGACGAGGCTGCAGACGACGGTGGCCGAGGCGAGGCCGAAGTGCAATTGGAAGACGAAGAACACGAAGAAGACGTAGGTGAGCGCGACGCCGCCGACGAAGCCGCAGACGCTCTTGGCGACGTAGTTCTCCAGGGTGCCGTCGGCTCTCAGCATCGCGGTCTGGCGGTGGAGCCAGGTGTTCTCCAGGCACGACGCGCAGCTGCCGAGGAGGCCCCTTATTTTGCGCCTGAGCCTGGACGAGCGGCGAGATTGCGAGAGGAGACAGGTCGGTCGGTCTGTCGACCGTGACGCGCCAGCGACGGCTCTCACAGTATTCTCCGTCGGCGTAAGCGCTGGCCGAGGGTGTAGCGCACCTTGTCGCCGCGGGATATCTCGATCGAGCGCAGCTTCTCGTCGCGGTAATCGCGTCGCGCCTGCCTCAACTTTCGCGCTTTTACCACCAGCTGGAAGAACGCCATTTCGCTCCTGGAGCCGTGCTCTTTGGTTAAGTCTCGCTCGAGCGAGACTTGTCAACAAAACCCTACCGCGTTTTGTTTTTTTCTTCTTCTTTTTTTTCCACTCGTCCTATTCCTCGGTGCACGCTTGACTTGAGCAGAGGCAACGAATCGAGACTGTCCACGCAAAGGCAGCCTCCCTTTGCTTCTCGCGCCGACGGCGAAACTCTCCCACGCGCGGGCGCCGCGGCGTGACGAGGAGCGCCGGTACTGGGATTCCCATTCGTCCGGCGGTGTTTCCTTCCGACCTCGGTGCCGCAAAGCGTCGTTCCTTCCCGCGGCTTGCTTCTCGCGGGGACGTGCGAAAAGTGCACGCGAAACCGCGCCTCTCGAATCGCGCGCGGCGCCGCCGCCACCGCCGCGTGCGCGCGCAGCGCCGCCCCCCCCCCCTCCTCCCCGCCACGCAGCTATCGCTCGCGCGCGCCCGACGTCGAGTCAGTACGCGATAGCGAGCGCACGCGAGCGGACGTCGCGTCTACGCCCGGAGCGCGTTGCGGTGCGTGATCGACACGACGATGCGGACAAGCAGTGGCGTCGCGAGTTGGTGCGTCCGCAGCTGAGCAGCGCGAGCAGCGACCGTCATGACCACCAGGGAGCTCTACGTCAAGGTACGCGCGACCCACTTCGCGGCGGAGGGGCGACCGCCTCGCAGCAGACGACGGCAGTGCACGCGCCGCGCGGCCTCTCCGCGTCCAGCTGCGCGTCGACGAGGACGAGGCGCGCGCACAGCTGTTTGGCCGCGCGTTCCCTTTTGCAAATCGACGACGATCGCGAAACTGTCTCGCGTGTGGGGAACGGAGATTGCGCAATCGACACTCGCGCGCGCGTCGCGTTTTCCCTCCAGCCTGTAGGCCGCCCGCGACTCCGGGATATATAGGTCAGCGGGACGTCGAGCGCGAAGCGGACGTTTCTGTGCCTCCGGCCGTCGGTCCACGCGACCGCGACGATATTGGCAGAACGTAGAAAAGGATGGAACGTCCAGAGCAGTGTGTCTCCGTGCCACGGCGAATCGATGCAGCAGCGCGAGGAGGCTGCTGCACGCGGCCTTGGCCTCGGGCTCGGCGCAGAATTTTCGGCGGCGCGACTGTTTGTCGTTGTATATCGCCGTGGCAAAGGTAAACACCGCGCACGCGAGCGAGCGAGAGAGAGGGGCCAATCAATAACACGCGGCAGGCGTCGAACTTCGGGGCGAGTCGCGCGCTCCAAACCGAGCGTCTGCCTCGCGATAAGCGTCCCTTATCTCGCGCGGAGCGTCAGTGGTCACCTGCTTCCGCGAACGGACCTTCATCAGGGCGAGCGAGGCTAGGGGAGAGGGAGGAACGCTCGTTCGCAGGCAGGTGCAGCGCGACCGCTTCGCCCTCGGTCGCGAAACAACGGCGCTCCGTTTTTTGCTCTTCCGTCGACGCGCGAGGCCTCTCGTCGAAGAGTTCCCCGAGCGAAACGACAGGATGGCAAACAGCCGAATGGCGAGAATCGTTGTCACTCGGTGCAGGATTCGCTGAGAAAAGCTTGGCGTGCAGCGGAGACCGAGTCGAGTGAGCAACGAGGCAAAGGACAACGCAAACTTCACGCTCCGCTGAGGTACTCTGTGTTCACGCGTGCGAACGTGATAGCGAAACTCATTGGAAGTTCGCGGAACGGCGCGTGTCCTCGCAGCCCGAGAGCGCGGGAGTCTGGACTGACGGGAGAGAATGCCGTTCCGCTTGCCGTCGTCGCGGGAATCAGAGAGCGCTCGCGAGTCGCGGTCGTGACTTTCTCCCGACCTTTCTCTCCGCTGATCCTGGAGGATAGATGCGCGCGCTCTCGGAATCGTGCCGCTCGCTCGGTCGTAGCTCGAGTCGGCCGCGCCGCCCAGGCCTTTGTGCGCGTTTCGAACGCGTTCTCGCGATCGTTCTCGACCGGCCCCCGCGAACGCTCGTCTCGTGCCACGAAGCCGAAACGGGACGAGCGTTTCCCTCTTCCGTTGACGTGGCTTGGCGAAACGAGTTTGGAGAAGCGCTCGACTCCTCTGGAAGCTTGCCGCGGACAGTTCGGCGAGTGAAAGGGGTGTGCGCGCGGCTCTCCATTCCTACGGCAAAGTGGCTCGGGAAAAGCGAGGCTCGCCAGCGCGATAATTGGCTCTGCGCGCGATAAGGAAAAAAGGGTCCGCTCGCGAAAGAAACTGTCGGTTTCCTCGTTAACGGGTAGTGCGCTTGTACCGCGGAGCGCCGAGTAGATTTTCCGCGCGACTACTTTCACGCGGCTCGTCGAGTGGCCGCGGCAGCCTCTCGGAACTCCCGGCTTCTCGCCCTTCGATTCCTCGGCTCTCCTAGGGAATGCGTGCCGATCCTCGATGAGAAAACGCGCCGTGGCGCCCGTCTCAATCGCTCGGACTAAATGCACAAATGACTAAACGACTGAATAAGTGGTCGCAGGTAGCGCGACCGCTGCAGCGATAAATGCCTCACCGAGTTGCGTAACCACTTCTAGCCTTTGAAAGTCAACGCTGCGTTTAGCCAACGGTGTCACTGTCGCCACTTGGCAATCGTCGAACGATATACATTTTGTGAATTTTGTTTTCGCTATGTAAATCGGCGTAATTTTGAAAAAGCCTACGGGAGAAGGGACCTTTGTGCGTAAAACGTGGAGCTATGATGAAATGCAATTTATTCAATTGTTCTATCAAGGTGAAACATGGCGAACTAGATTGCTTATTGGCAAACGGGGGTATCGCAGCAGCCAGGGTAGACGGCGGTTTCGTTGCCTGGAGTTACATCCTTCAGTTTCTTACCCTCCTCGCATCTTAGGAACGGGCAACTATAAGAAACGTTGGGCAGAGACGGTATTTGAAAATCAATTCGCGCTACGATGAATGCAAACGAATGGACTTACGTGTTGGCGGTCAACGTGGCGATGCTGATAGTCTCGTTCTTGAAGGAGAAGCACTCGATGTTCATGCACTGACTCTCATTGAAGAGTTCCTTCACGCTGTCGTAGCAATCCTCTGCGGGCACAAAGAACAAATTCCGATGTAATGGAGTGAAACTGATTCCAACGCGAGCCGGTATAGCGATGAATTTTCAGTTTGAACCAAAAGACTCGCGAGGATGAGCGCAGACTTACTGTACAATGGGCTCTGAGTGGAGTAAGCCACGAGGCAAAGAACAGCGAACACAGTCAAGAATTTCATGGTTATTTCTTTTTCTCGCGCTGCAGAGAATTCAACGATTCAACTGATACTTTGCCCGCTGCTGGATTCTACTTTTATACCGATTTCTTATCTCCAATCGAGCGAGTTTTTCATTCTTCGCGAAGAAATGTACTTATTTTTTTAACGCAAGTGCCGCCGTAAATGACATGTGTACGCCTGCAAGAATTAATCGAGTGTAAAAAACATATTAACCTGCATAGAAATCTCTTATTCGTGGAAAACTTTTGGCCGGATTCGTCTCGAAAATTCTATCGTACATCATTACTCATGTCTTTTTACATATATTAAACATTTGCAAAGCTGATGCCGTTATAGTGGAAGATTTAACTGTAATTTTGTTTGCCTTGATTTATACGTTTTGGCGTATAACTCTGTCAACTATATAAATCCAAGCAATCTACTTTCGCAAACCGGAAAAAAAAATCTGTTCAGGATCCCTTTCCTGCAACAAATGTCCTCGGTATAGTCTGCCAAAAGAGATTCCGTCGACCATCGAGCCCATGCTTGAAACAAACGGAATTTTTCTTTTTTAATGAAATAGTTTTTTCTATTTCTATCAGTTCACCCCAAAAAAATTGAAATCTCCAAAAATGAATTAGAAAGTCAGGCATTTCGAAATAGGAATATTGAAATCGCATGTATTGCCGCCGATGAGCTAGCCAATTGACTGGAGCTCGCGTGGCAATTTGACATCAAACGACGTAATCCGACGTCGGTTACATAATAACAAAGACGCCGAATTTAAGCAAAAACGAAGTAGCACATGTTGCGCGATATCCGAAAACGGCAGAGCTCGTATGATTTATCGCCTCGTTCGCGTTATCTGTTGCTGCCAGGCTGAGTCAGCTAGGAGGATTCGACGTCGACGCCGCGCTCGATAAGATTACGCGACACCGCCGCGCTGCCTTCGACACGCCGCCTCGCAAAATGCGAATCGCGCGGGAAAGATAGGTGCAGCCGATCGGCCGGGTCAGCGACGAGGCGTTGACGCGGCGGGCGCGAAAATCGAGAGCGCTCGCGGCCGAAAGTTGGCCGGCCTTGGAGCGCGCGCGAAGATCGCACGCACGCGAAGCCAGAGGCGTGCCCGTGCAATCCTGTTAAAGCGCCGGCGAGGCGAGAGTCCAACGTCCCGTTGCAGCTCGCTAAGCGACGCGAGCGAGAGCGGGTGGAATGGACGCGGAAGCCCTGCAGGGAGATCGACCGATTCGCGAGCTGCGCATCACCTCGACGCGGCTCCGCTGCGGATGCTCATCGGATCGATTTGGATTTGCAGTGGCGCAACGCGCGCGCGTCCGATAGACGCGTGGCGCTCGACGAGAGTTCGGGGGCCCCGTTCGCCGACTCGTAGAGGCCCGAGTTTTACCGTTACGCGCGTGCTGCGCTTCTCTCCCTCTCTCTCTCTCTCTCCATATCGCTTGGCTAGTAAAAACGAGAGTTCGCGTAGCACGCCGCCGCTCACGCGCGGGAACCTTCGCCCTCAAGCGGCGCTCACAACGAGCCGACGCTCGCGCTGCTCTGTCGCCTGGCTCGCGGATTCGCGGGAAGCCGCGAATTTGAGTAGAAGTAGCCGAGGTCGATCGGACCAGTCGGCGACAGAGAGGAAAGAAGGGAAACGGCGTGCCGAGGAGCCTTCGAACGCAGTCGCGCGGTAGCGTGCCAGCGCCCGCGCCGAGGCGTTGTGAGGCGGGTCTGAACGGCGCGGAGAAAGACGGAGAACAGCCACAGGTAGCCGAGCTATTAATTGGACGGCACGGCCGTCGCGTGGGAAAGGCTCGCGCGTAATAACAGTTGATGCGGGCGCCTTTTGCTCCATTTCCACCTCCGTCCGTCGAGATTCTTCCTCGGATCGTTCGCCAGCGTCTTGGCGCTGGAAGCGGCGAGTTCGACCGTCGATCCGGCAAAGGCGCCCATCGCGAAACGCCCATCATCCGGTCGTCGGATGCGCCTCCGTACTCGCGCGTGTCGCACAACTTCGCGACGCTTGGAGTCCAGTAAGCGATTGTGCAAGCGTACGCGTTTTTTCTTTCTTTTTTCTTCCATTATTTTCTGCAACTCTGCGAGATCGTGATGTAACGTTATGCGCACTCGTCTCGCTGCAAAATTCGCACCTTTGAACGGGAGCACGCGGCGCCAAATCCACGTTACGCGAGAGCACGCGCGCTCCGCGGAGCGACGCGATTGGATCGCTGCGCGCGTCGCGGCGCTCTGCTTTCTCTCGGAGCGGCTCGTGGCATTCCGAGCCGAATCTCGCACCTCGTCGTCGATGAGAAAACCCTTTGCGAGACGTCGCTGCTTCCTGTATCGCCGGCCAACTACAGGCACGCCACTTACCGCAGAGTCACGCCCAATTTACATAACCGATTCTCCTTCTGTTCTCCGCGCACGCGTAAAAGAAACAGACCTCGATGAATTTTCACTCGGCTACTCGCTCTGTGATTATCCACCTCCCTCGCAACGACGGAATTCCACAGTGCTGCGATAACAATAATAAAGCGAAGCCGTTGCTCCTTTTTACGTAAGCGCGAACAGTTCGACCTGAAGCTCCTTTATAAAAAAAAAAAAAAAATGTTCGCTGTAACAACCGACACGTCGTTCACCGACGGCGAGCAGCGATTCCCGCGTTAATTTGAGCAGCGAGAGAGAGAGAAGAGCAAAGTGTAACAGGCCGCGGCGAAAGCGTGCACTTCGCGTTACGCAAGTCTAAGCCGTTGCGCGCGCGCGCGTGCGTCGAAAGGGAAAATGCCGCGGCGTCCGCGATTAAATTAATCGGTCGAGGAAAAACGGCCGACGGCGCGACTGTGACCGGAGGCCACACGAGCGGAAACCGCAAAATGTCCGCCTCTCGCCGCGGCGCAGCGTCGGGAAACGCTTCCCAGACGACTTTCCTCCGCCGTGGACGCGGGGCTTCGAAAAATGCTGCCGACTCGTCGCTCGCTCTCTCTCTCTCTCTCTCTCTCTCTCTCGAGGTGCTCCACACGACGTGCGCCGAAACGACGGTAACCGGCGATTTTCCGGCTCGCGCAACCTTGACCGCTACCAAGTTTAACGCTCTCTCGGAGCCATCTCGCGTATCGATGACGCGCTCGCAATCAATAAAACCGACGGGGGCGATCGGCGAGCGAGCAGTTTTTTTTTCCAGCGAGACTAGATTCACGGCAGAGAGCGAGAGAGCGCGCGATCCGGAGTTATTATATTTTTGCGAGCAGCGCGACTTTTACGGCGGCAATTACTTTGAAATCCTCGCTGAGCGTGGAAAAGGCATCGGAAACAAAGATCGAGTCGTCGACCTCTCCGCTCGCCAGCAGATGTCCACCTACGCCTCGACGGAATGCGGTCTCGCTGGCGACCGTCCCGCTTCTTTTCCGGCCGACCTCTCGGCTGCGTTGGCCGCCGAGGGAAAACGAGGATCCCCGTCGCGACGCGCTCGAAGTTGTCGCGAGGTGGGGGGAATCCATCTCCGCGCGTTTCGCCGAGCACCGCGCTCGCCTATCAAGCGGATCGATCGGCGAGCGCGCGAGGACGACGGAAAATGCGATCGAACGCAGCGGCAGAAGCGGCCAATCCGTCCGAAGCGAAAAGCTGAGCTTCTCGCGCGCTCGCGTACCGTTACGATCGCGGCCGCGCTGTCCGAGCTCGCGCATTCCGCGGAGATCGCTTCCGGGATCGCTGGCGCGTCGCGAGGCGGCCCGATCGCCGGGTCGGGGCGCAACGGCGCCGGGACGGGTCTCGGCCGCAACTGACGGCGGTGGCGTTGCAGGGCGCGCGAGTATGGGTGCCGCACGCGGACAAGGTGTGGGAGGGCGCGGTGCTGCTGGAGGACTACGGGCCCGGCCAGCAGCGGCTGAGTCTGCGCACCGAGGAGACGAAGGAGGAGAGCCGCCAGCTGGACGTGCGCTCGGACGCGGACCTGCCGCCGCTGCGCAACCCCGACATCCTCATCGGCGAGAACAACCTGACCTCGCTCTCGTTCCTGCACGAGCCGGCCGTGCTCTACAACCTGCAGGTGCGCTTCCAGCGCCACTGCATCTACACCTACTGCGGCATCGTCCTCGTCGCCTTCAATCCCTACAACGAGCTGCCCATCTACGGCAACGACACCATCTGGGCGTACCGCGGACAGGCCATGGGCGACCTCGAGCCCCACATTTTCGCCGTGGCCGAGGAGGCCTACACCAAGCTCGAGAGGTGCGTTCGTCGGCTTCGCGCACCGAACCCCCGCCGAGCTTTAACGCCTCGCCGATCGCTGCCGACAGGGAAAGCCACGACCAGTCGATCATCGTGTCGGGGGAGTCGGGTGCCGGCAAGACCGTCTCGGCCAAGTACACGATGCGCTACTTCGCCACGGTCGGCGGCTCCGCCAAGGAAACGCAGGTGGAGCGGAAGGTGCTGGCCTCCTCGCCGATCATGGAGGCCATCGGCAACGCCAAGACCACGAGGAACGACAACTCGTCGCGGTTCGGCAAATTCATCGAGATACAGTTCAACAAGAACTACCACATCACGGGCGCGAGCATGCGGACCTATCTGCTGGAGAAGTCGCGGGTCGTCTTCCAGGTAGAGGGCGAGGCCGGCGCGTGCGAGCTCACGGCGGGTCAACGCGGGCCGTCTGTTTCAGGCCAGCGACGAGCGCAACTACCACATATTCTACCAAATGTGCTCGGCCCGCGAGCGCTTTCCCCACTTGGGCCTCTCGGAGGCGCGCGACTTCCACTACCTGAACCAGGGCGAGGACACGGCGATCGACGGCGTGGACGACCTCGAGTGCTTCGACGAGACGATCGGCGCCCTCGCGATACTCGGCTTCGGCCCGAGGGAGCAGGACGACCTGCTGCGCGTGCTGGCCTCGCTGCTGCACCTCGGCAACGTGCGGGTGGACAGCTGCGACGGGCAGGACGCCGAGAGCTGCTACATATCGGTGGGTGCGCTCGCGGCTCGCGGCTCGCGGCCCGCGCCGTCGGGCGGCCCTCGCCAATCGCGCTCTCTCGTGTGCTTGCAGCCGACGGACAGCCACCTGCTCGCGATGACGGAGCTGCTGGGCCTGGACCCGCGGGCGCTGCACAAGTGGCTGTGCCACCGTAAGATCGTGTCGACCAGAGAGGTGATCCTCAAGCCGATGAACGTCGAGCAGGCCGTGGGCGCGAGGGACGCGCTGGCCAAGCACATCTACGAGGAGCTCTTCGGCTGGATCGTGGCCCACGTGAATCGCACGCTGCAGTCGCCGGCCAAGGCCCACTGTTTCATCGGCGTGCTGGACATCTACGGCTTCGAGACCTTCGAGACCAACTCGTTCGAGCAGTTCTGCATCAATTACGCGAACGAGAAGCTGCAGCAGCAGTTCAACCAGCACGTGTTCAAGCTGGAGCAGGAGGAGTATCTGCGGGAGGAGATCGAGTGGACCTTCATCGACTTCCACGACAACCAGCCGTGCATCGACCTGATCGAGACCAAGCTCGGCATACTGGACCTGCTGGACGAGGAGTGCCGAGTGAGTGGTCGCCCGCGGCTCGTCCGCGTGGTCCGTGCGTGCGCCTACCGACAGCTCCGTTTGCGCAGATGCCCAAAGGCTCCGACGGCTCGTGGGCGGAGAAGCTCTACTCCAAGTGCAAGGGCTCGAAGCACTTCGAGAGGCCGCGCTTCGGCACCACGGCCTTCCTCGTGCACCACTTCGCCGACCGCGTGCAGTACGAGACGGCGGGCTTCCTGGAGAAGAACCGCGACACGATCATCGAGGAGCAGGTGGAGGTGCTGCGCAACAGCCAGGTAAGCAGCCCCGCGCTCGGCTCGGCCGAGCTGTCCGCGCCCGTGGCCTGACGCGACGACGCCTTGCCCTCGGCAGAACGCGCTGCTGCGCCGGCTGTTCTCCGACGGGGAGAGCGCCAGGCTGGCGGTGCCGCGCGCGCGAGTCAAGATCAGCGCCAGCCATCAGCACAGGCCCGCCGCGGGCCCGGCCGCGGCGACGACGCCCACGGCCGCGGGCAAGAACAAGAAGACCGTGGGCTCGCAGTTCCGCGACTCGCTCAACATGCTGATGTCGACGCTGAACGCGACGACCCCGCACTACGTGCGCTGCATCAAGCCCAACGACACCAAGGAGTCGTTCGAGTACAACGCCGTGCGCGCGGTCCAGCAGCTGCGCGCCTGCGGCGTGCTCGAGACCATCCGCATCTCGGCCGCCGGCTTCCCCAGCCAGCGCACCTACGCCGACTTCTTCGCGCGCTACCGCTGCCTCTGCAGGTTCAAGGAGATCAAGCGCGACGACCCGAAGGAGACCTGCAGACGGATGCTGGCCCACTACATCAAGGTACGCCGTATCGCGCGGCCGCCGCCTCGCCGCCTCGCCCCGCCAACGCTCCTGTGCTCGCTTCCAGGACAGCGACAAGTTCAAGTTCGGCCGGACGAAGCTGCTCTTCCGCGCCGGCCAGGTGGCCTACCTGGAGAAGCTGCGCGCCGACAAGCAGCGCGAGGCCTGCCTGACCATCCAGAAGACGGTGCGCGGCTTCGTGGCCGCGCGCCGCTACCGGCAGCTCCGGCGCGCCGTCCTCGGCCTGCAGCGCCACGCCCGGGGACACCTCGCGCGCCAGCGCGCCCAGGCCGTCCGCGAGCAGCGGGCCGCCACGAGGATACAGGCCTGGGTCCGCGGCTGGACCAAGAGGACGAGCTACCGCAGGCTCCGGCGCGCCGTCCTCGGGCTACAGGCCCACGGCCGCGGCGCGCTGGCCAGGGCCAAGTTCGCGAGGATGCGCAGCGAGGCCGCCGCCGTCACGATCCAGCGGTACGCGAGGGGCTACCTCGTGCGTCGCGCGTGCAGGCGCCGCTTGCGCGCCATCATCGTCGTGCAGGCGTGCGCGAGGAAGTTCCTCGCCAAGCGCGAGTTCAAGAGGCTCAAGGTGGAGGCGAAGAGCGTCGAGCACGTCAAGTCGCTCAACAAGGGGCTCGAGATGAAGATCATCAACCTGCAGCACAAGATCGACGAACTAGTAAGCTCCGCCGCTCCTCCGCTCTGGCTCGCCTTATCTTCGAGCTGTTCCTTCATTTTTCTTTCCTTTGCTGACGCTTCGATTCGAGCTTTACCATTTTCTTTGTGCTTGTCGATCGATTTAACATTGTGTTGCGAGATGCTTCTCTCTGTTTCCTTTCGTAGCCGTAGCTTTGCGCTGTGTGGTAAGTTTTCTTTCTCGTAGCTGGTAGTTTCTGATGTTTTCGGGTGAGTGCGCGAGCAGTTTTTCTTTGCGAGAACGGCAATAGTTTAACGATCATATTTACCTCGATGACGACAAGTTCGATAAAAACAATGTTTATTACATTTTGTTAGTACGCCCAGATAGGGATTCTGGTACCCAGAATGCTTGAATATGTAAGTTATTCGCCTAAGTATATCAGTATTTAAAAGTTCGTTATACCTTCGATGTTTCTCTCTGAATGTGTTTTTCCAATTTTTCTTAACGCAATATCCAAGGAACAACAATAACATCATGGTATTTTGCACTCTCTTTCCAACGGAAAACTCGAGTCCTCCATTAATTTTAGCGTAAATAAAACGTTCTTTGAAATCAGTCATTTTTCACGAAACCATTCACGATTCGCTTGTGCCGCTGTAAGTTTCCGTAAATCATTTGACTTTCATTGGCTCGTTATCCGTAGACAAGGTGTAAATTGGACAGTAGCCTGTAGTAGTCCTTAGTAAAAGTGACCTATCATAAGAAACGTCCTAACGGTCCCGCCAGTTAAATCGACGCATACCTGCGCGGAAAAACGTAGACGAAAAGATCTCGCGTGACTCTCAAAGAAAAGACTCACTTATGACGAGTTCAATGTAAATACAAGATCCTTGAGAGTCACTCGAAGATAAGGCATGTGCATGCTCAGTCGCCACCAACTAGGGCAGCAGAGGCGAGCCGCATTAAAGCGAAAACACTTGTGTCCGCGATGCAGGCGAAGGAGAATCAGCATCTTAAGGCGCTACAGCTGGAACTGGGGGAGGTGAAGAGCAAGCTGGACGGCTACAAGGCCGTGGAAATGGAGAACCGAAAGCTGAAGGCGATCGTGCGGCAGAAGGAGAAGGAGCTCGAGCAACTGCAGGTGGCGGTGGAGAAGGAGAAGGACAAGCGGCAGGAGAGGATAAAGGTGAGGCGAGCGGAAGGTGGTGGGCTGGTGGGCTCGAGCGGAGGGGCGGCTGAGAGCGAGCACCGCTGTCCCCAGGCGAAGGACCGCAGCCTGATGCAGCAGGAGGCCGAGGTGCACCGGCTGCAGGAGGAGAACGAGCGCCTCCGCGGCGAGCTGGCGCTGTCGCAGGAGAGGATGCGCAGCTCGGAGCGCGGCGCCGAGGACACGTACAAGAGCCGCCTCGAGCGCCAGAAGAACCTGCTGCTGATGGACCAGGACCAGGACCGCAGCGCCTATCAGCGCCTGCTCAAGGACTACCACGAGCTGGAGCAGCGGGCCGAGACGCTGGAGCAGAAGCTGGCGGCGGCGTGCGCGCCGGGCCACGCGAGGTCGCTGAGCAACGCCTCGAGCGGCAGCGGCGACAAGCCCATGCACGACGACTCCAACGCGGACTTGGGCTACGGCTCGGTGCGGTCGACCGCCTCCTCGGGCACGCCCCACTCGCGGCTCGAGACGATCGATTGGAGCCAGAAGCGCTCGGAGAGCCCGCCGGAGGGCAGGCCCGACGGGCCGACCTCGCCGGGCCCGCAGTCGCCGCTCGACGTCGGCCTGGTGCTCAAGCTGCAGCAGAAGCTCAAGGACCTCGAGAAGGAGAACGGCCGGCTGATCCGGATGGTGGAGGACTTGGAGCGCGAGTGCCCCGAGACCGACGGCGGCGTGGCCAGGACCCACGACTCGTTCAGGGTAGGTTGCCTCGGCCGCCTCGGGCGCGCCGACGGCCGGCCGGCCGCCCCCGGCTGACCGCGGCTCGCTTCCGTCTGCGCGCAGATGCAGGAGCTGGAGCTGGAGAACTCGCAGCTGAAGCGGGACCTGGGCTCGCTGCGCAAGAGCGTCGTGGAGGCCGACTCGACGACCGTCGTCCCGCGGACCCTCGTCGGTGAGTGGTGGACGCGCCGGGGCGGCGCGCCGACGCCCGCCGGCGCTCACGCCAGTCTGCTTGCAGAGCAATTCGAGGCGCTGCAGGCCGAGCTGGAGCGCAGGCGCGAGGAGTGCGTGCAGCTGCACACCGTGCTGGCCGACCACACGCGCCGCATGAAGGCCACCCTCGGCTCGGCCTACGGCCAGGACGTCGACTTCGTCAACGAGGACGGCGAGCTCGTGCTCGCCTTCGAGGCGCAGAAGAAGATCAACAGGTACGCCGGCTTCTCCGCTCTTCTTCTCGGCGGTCGCTCGCGCGCACATTAACCCGATCAACCGTTTTCTTTTCTCGCTCTGCGTCCGTGTTTTTCCGTTCAAGAAAAATAAATGCACGCAGTCGAAGTCAAAGCGTTAAGCGTAAGCTCGAAAGAATGCAATGCATACCGAAGGAGGAGTGAGTTTTACAATGCCTACCTGTCCCTCTCTCTTTAGAGCTTCAGTGTTGTTTTTTGGATAGAGCTCGTTAGAATATCACGCGCAATCCCTTCACATTCAACTTGTTGGCGGTCAAGTCTTTGCCACCGTAGCCTTCTCCGTCCCGTAAAAGAGGTTGTGTCTCTGTATATAATATTGCTGATGAGCGCACAGGAGTATTAGCAGCTAAACCATCAGATAGAGCTTCGAAGTAGAGTAGGAGCAAGTGGACGAGAACAACCTACCTACAAATCTCGATATAACGTTAGGGCAAACTAGAAGCGCGGACAAATCATGGCAACGTTTTCGTTCATTCGGCAGACAATTGGAAGACGAGCTGCAGGCCAAGGAGCGTCAGTGGAAAGCTCAGAGGGACGAGTGGATGGCCGAAATCGAGAGGCTGCAGGAGGAGGTTCAACGCCAACAGAAGATACTGTCCGTCAACTTGAGCAAATCGCCGCAGACGCAGACGGAAGCCTTCATGCAGTACGAGATCACGAGGCTCACGTCCGAGAATCTGGTGAGTGCTCGGCGCGGAAACGCGCCTGTTGCCTCTCTGCGCGCGCTTAACCGACGGCTCTTCGGCGCAGGACCTGCAGGAGAAGTACGACAAGGCCGCCGAGGACTGCAGAAAGCTGAGGAAGCAGATGAGGATCCTTCAGAAGCGACTGCGCGAGGCAGGCCGTAAGTACACCCGAAATCAATGACGCCTCACTGTGCGTCTGCAAGCCAGACAGCTGGTCGATCTACACGTGTGTTATCTGCTTTTGTAAACCGCCCGACAAGTCGACGCAGACAAACCGACGACGACTCACAGATCGCGAGCAGCACCGCGATGCGTGCCAAACAGTCGCGAACGCGCGCCCGTCGCATCTACCTGGACTCTCGCCCCCCACGACCACCCCGCCAAACTCACCTCTCTCTCTCTCTCTCTCTCCCTCCGTTTGTTTTGCAGTGTCCGAGATCGCCGAGCTGAGCGTCGACGTCGTGTCGACCACGACGAACGCGTCGTCCGGCGACAGTGGCACCGGCTCGATGATGCAGGCGGCCATTCGCAAGAAGGAGCGCGACTTCGAAGGCATGTTCGAGTTCCGCAAGGAGGACATCAACGTCGTCCTCCGCAATCTCATCGACGGTAAGCGGATAACGGAAAAGAAAAGTAAAACGCGACAGAAAATTGACAAACGAAACGCAAAATCGCAGACTTGAAGCCACGAGTGGCGATCACGCTGCTACCCGGCCTGCCCGCCTACATCCTGTTCATGTGCATTCGCCACACCGACTGCATCAACGACGACGAAAAGGTGCGCGAGCTGCTGACCAGCTTCCTGAACACGATCAAGCGCGTGGTCAGACGCAGCGACGACTTCGAGTGCGCGGTACTCTGGCTCAGTAACACGCTGCGGCTACTACACAACATGAAGCAGTACTCCGGCGACAAGCCGTTCCAGATCGGTGAGTCTCGAAGCGAGCCGCCGCCGCCGCCGCCGCCGCCACGTGCCGTCCACCATCTGAACGCGCGCCCTCCTGTCTGTCGCAGAGAACACGCCGCGGCAGAACGAGCAGTGCCTGCGCAACTTCGACCTGAGCGAGTACCGCGTGGTGCTGAGCAACGTGTCGCTGTGGATCTTCAACAGCATCATCAACCAGCTGAAGGAGCGCATGCAGCCGCTGGTGGTGCCCGCGCTGCTCGAGCACGAGGCCATCGCCGGCCTGAACAGCCGGGCGAGCGCCGCCAGGACGCGGCGCGACTCGGCGGGCGCCGGCGACGGCGGCCTGCAGGACGGCGCCGCGGACACCAAGGGCCAGGAGAAGCTGAACCTGCTGCTCGAGCACCTGATGATCGTGCACAAGACCCTGCAGTACCACGGCGTCGATCCCGAGATCATCGTGCAGATCTTCAAGCAGCTGTTCTACTTCATGTGCGCCAGCGCCCTCAACAATCTGCTGCTGAGGAACGAGCTCTGCCACTGGAGCAAGGGCATGCAGATCAGGTTCAACCTGAGCCACCTGGAGCAGTGGGCGAGGGACGTGCAGCTGGTGCCCGCCACGGACTCGCTGCAGCCCATCGTCCAAGCGGCCCAGCTGCTGCAGGCGCGCAAGCAGGACGAGGACGTCGACTCCGTCTGCGACATGTGTAACAAGCTCACGGCCAACCAGATCGTCAAGATACTCAATCTGTATACGCCGGCCGACGAGTTCGAGACACGCGTGCCCGTGTCCTTCATCAGGAAGGTCCAGGCCAAGCTCCAGGAGAGAGGCGAGAAGAGCGAGCAGGTCAGTGGTCGATCGAGTCGGGCAGCTTTCGGGTTCCACGCTCATCGCTCTGTGCTCTCTTTTCAGCTGCTCATGGATCTCAAGCACACGTTCCCCGTCAGATTCCCCTTCAGCCCGTCGAACATCCGGCTGGAGGACATCGAAGTCCCGGATGTTCTCAATTTGCCGATGCTCAAAAAAGTCTAACGGCGCCTCGCTGTTCCCTCAACACACACACACACGCGCGCGCGCGCTGATGCATTTATAACGTGTCATTCGGGCTTTTGTTTCGAGAAAGGGCGCGCACACTTCGCCGTACTCTTCGCGCGATGTCGAAAGAAAACAACGCTAGCTAGATATATATGTCCAAGACCATATTTTGTATGATTTTTTTTTACGTACTCTACAATGGATTGCCCAATTGCGCGCTCGCGAAAGCAGGAGAGTGAAAGTTGTATACGTGATGCCATAATCATGCCTTCAAACTGTTTTCATCCTTAGAAATAATAAGTACAAATTTAGTTTTTCGAAACACGAGTGATGGGTGAAAAAGTGTATCTGATTCAACGTACCGATGTGTCTCTGAGATGTGAAATCATACATGTAGATACAATGATACACAGGAAAGATGTTTGACGGTGAAAGGCTATACAGGCACTATACGTTTTTAACGTTTTACGTGTAAAAATGAAAAATATTTTTCAATATTGCCGAAGAATAATTTTCATGATATTGTATAAAAAAAGTTATTCTATTAGCTTTATAGATGGAGGTTGTATTGAATAGTAGCTCAAATATATAATATTTTTCAAGTGATATATATTTACAGTGTAATGAAGAACAAATCTATCAATGTTATAAAATTATAAATTTTAGCAGGACGTATAAAGCCTTGAAGTAATCACGAACATTTTATATGTATCATTGATTTTTAAAATTTTATAAAAGTTGTATTGTTTCTGATTTGTGTCTGTTATCTTCTGGAAATAGGGTGTAAATTTATAAGTAGAATTTAGTAAAGTGATGTTCAAATTATTCACGATATTATTTATGCCTGAGTTAGTTGGTTAATTCTGAATGTTGATGAGTATAGTTGAGTGTTCATTCAGTTTATCACGCTTCCGTTCATATCGTCGAAAACTGAGACAACGTTCGAAAATTGAAACGAAATATTTCAAGAAATGAATGATATATTGAAAATTTAGATATTTTTTGAATGAATTTAAAAGTGAAACACAGAATCGAAATAGGTAACATTTTTTTCGATTGTATACAAATTCAAGCTTTTTAGCACTCTCTGTCAAGATTAACAAGGATTATAGATAGACATGTACAAAAAAGTATCAGAGAAAAGGGACGAATAAGCTTCGGGTCTATTGAGATATGGAAATTATGCAAATGAAAAAAGTTATATTAAAGATCTTCAAAGTTTTTACAATGAAATTCGTGTTGTTAGGTTGAAACCGAGCGCAAGTATTATAGCATAAATAATGCATTATTATTGGTGCCATCGTAAATGAAAACAAAAAAACTTCCTTTTTTCAATTTACCTTGCGTTCGAATAATAAGCTCATCACGGATACGTAAGCGGGCGCATTAAAAGTTTGTATAAAGTTAATTCAAAATTCTGTGCCAGAAAAACGAATTCGTCGTTTGTTTTCTAAAATTGAAAAGTATCTTCCATTAACGTCTTCGATTACCATAATATGATGTAACGAATTAATTTTGTTCCTATGATCAAGAAATATATAAAATAGAACGTATTAGTGCTGTTTTTCTCATTTCTTATTACTTCCGTTTTTCTCACTCGAACATTTTATACTTGCAAACACTTAATCGAGAAACAGTTTTACGTACCTTCTCTATTATAATAAAAGTATAATTTTGCTAGTGAAAATAAATTCTGGTAATTTTCAGTGAATTTAAAAACAGTTCTTTTAATAAACCTTAGCTTTAATACTTTTATTTGTATGAATTACTTTTACAAAGACCCGTGTGAAAGGTGGACAAAAGGCGCAATAATCTACTGCTTTGGCAGTTAGTACGTGTAATACAAATGCATATAGAATAAAAATGAAGCGTGTTAAGAATCGGCACGAAAAATATTTGATTCCTTTATGAAACAATTATAAAGTTATTTTTTTATATATAATGAGAGATGAGACTTTTCACTTATTCATATCCGTCAGCTGGGGAACGAATATCGTCAATTTTTAGGATCATCTTGACCAACTGCGTAGCCAGTAATATTTGTTGTTGTTTACTTTTCAACGATTCGATTACATTCTGCACACTCATATCTAAAAAGATAACAAGTAGTTGTTTAATTTATCTAACAATTAAAGAAAATTAACCTTTTACTTTTGATAATAACTTACCGTTGGTGCCACGATTCATGCAGTCAATACCGAGGGCAGGATTTTGCTCAGAAAGTTGTCTTGACTTGACCTCAGCTAAAGAATTAACCGAGGATTGACCACAGTTCTCGGCAAGTGCCATGGGAATCGCCTCTAGAGCGTCAGCAAATGCACGAAAAGCATATTGTTCTATGGAGCTGATTTTATCAGCGCTGGCAGCACATGCAAGAGAGCATGAAATCTCAGATGCACCACCACCGTATACGATTTTCTCGTTTGTTACCAAATTGCGCACAGTGCAAAGAGCGTCATGAATGGAACGCTTGGCTTCTTCCACTATCTGTAAAATACGTTAAAAAATTCGATATTTTTACGTGTCATAAGAATTTAGAAACGATAATTTTATTAATGGAAGAAAATTGTCACATCCAAGATAAGTTTAATAATAATGCTAATATTATTTAACTGAAAAAGATCTTGGATGCTTTGATTTTGCAAGGTGTCTGAACAGTAAAACATATATTTGATGCCACTGGAATTCTCCTTGCCAATAAAAATAATAATTAATCATATATTTACCATTTTGTTTCCACCACGGATGAAGATCGTGACAGCACGAGAGTTTTGGCACTCCTCGATTACTAACATCCTATCTTTCGTGGTACCAAAAGTGAGCTCTCTAACTACGCCAGCATAGCCAAGTTTTTCAGTTGTTAGCTCCTCGAAACGTGGAACGATGCGACCGCCGGTGGCAATGGCAATTAGCTGCAATAAAGTGAATTTTTCTTTTGCATTTGATTTTTGATTAAATTGAATTCAACATTTATTTATGTAAATAATAACTCTCAGATCTCATAATCTTATATCATTGGAGACACTGTAAAAACTGAATCCTCGTGTTAGTTCATCTCGTAAACTTTAATTATTAACAAAAATCGAAAAAAAAGTCCGGTAAATGTTGATTATCAAAAGTTTCGAAGATGAGTAAAATGATTCTCACAGCTTTTACCGTCCTCTGTTACGCATTGTCATCAAGGAGCAAACAAAGATTTTCAAATGCTTTAGCAAAAGAATTTTACCTCGATTTCAGGACCTCCGACCCACCTAACAGCTGGCAACTGTTTTTGGAGGAGCAAATGATTAGCTTCGTCATCAAAGCCCCACTGACAAATAGCCAAAGTGGCACCAGTGCTCTTGACTTGGTCAACCATGTTGGTGAACTTTTCGTGTTCATATTGTCTCAGAGCTTTATAGTCTTCCACTGATGTAACGTCCAACTTATGTTTCGTTTTGGGTTTTGGGGGCTCAAACGGACACGTGAGAATAGCCAATTTAACTTTTTCTAATCTCTAAAAAAGCCATTCAAAAATCTTTCAATTATATGTTAATGTATAATAAACTACACAATAATGTTGCTAAAGAAGATCCTTTTTACTTTGGGCATTTGTGGATGACTGAAGTCTTTGTCAATGATAACACCTTTGACCAACATGGAATCTTCTAATCGTCCACCAACTTTGCCTTCAACTTTTATTAGTTCAAAATTTACATCTCTTGTTTTTAAATCTGCAACAGCCATTACAGCATTAACTGCAATTTCTGCCATTTGTCTGTGGCATTTATTGACACTAAAAAATAAAATGAAATCATGAAATTGTAATTTTTTTGAAGATATTGAATGCTCTGATAAATTTTTTTAAAAAATAACCCTCAGGTCTCATAATCTTTGATCATTGAAGCAACCGCAAAGAACTTTTTCTTAGCTCAAATAACTTTTTAATACTTTTCAGATTTAGCATATTTTAAGTAATTTAAAGATTTGCAAAAATTATGAGTATCAAAAAGTTTTATCAAATCAATACTAAAGCTCTTTACACTTCTCTGTTGCGCTTTATCGTCATTGGGTAATAATTTAATTTGTTAATCAGATCTTCAAGTATTAATCAACTCTTTCACTTACATTTTGGAGCCAAGAGTGGTTAAGGCTACCTTGATTAGAGGCTCAAGATTATTGGGGTTTACGGGAAAATCCTTGGCAATGGAATTCAAATGTTCAATTGCACATTGTGCAGCCAACTCAAAACCGTCAGCTATTCTAATTGGATGAATTCCTTTGTCCAACAGCTGTTCTGCTTGTTCCAACAAAGATCCAGCCAACACTACAACACCTGTTGTACCGTCACCAATTTCATCATCTTGTGACTGTGACAATTGGACCATGAGTTTGGCAATTTCATGGTCTACATCCATATTTTTCAGAATAGTAGCACCATCATTAGTGACAGTGACATCACCATCAGGACTGACTAATAATTTGTCTAGACCTTTGGGGCCCAATGAAGTTTTGAGAGTATTAGCTATGCTTCGAGCAGCAGTTATATGTGCCTGTAATTTAAAAGGATGTTTAAAATTTATTTTTACAACTGATAAAATATTATGTTTAATATAAGCCAAGAAAAACTTATAATTTTATCAATTTCAACAGTGTAATATTAATCTAATTATAACAATTTTTAATACACTTTCTTGTTACTAAACTTGAAGATTAAATAATAAACAATCAAGTATCATAACTTAATATATTATGATTATTCTATCGAATCATGCATAGGATAAGATATAAAAATCATAATATAAAATTATATTTTTAACATATATCGATAATGTAATGACAATTTTTTTAACGCACTGTTGTAGAAATTGTGCCCTCAGAATCTGTTATTTCATAAAAGTATGTGCTAGATAAAAACTGTATATTCAAACTTGTTACGCCTTCTGAACTTTAAGTTCTGTCAAGGATGCCAATTTTGTACTGAACATGAAAAGTTATTAAAGATGCATCAACTTGAATATAACAGTTTTTTTCCTATACTTTCATATAGACAATTTCATCATTGGACATAAAGATAATAAATCTACTTTTAATATTTTTACAATAATTAAAGGTAATTTACTTATTATATTAATTGACAAGAATTACAAGCATATAAATATAAACAATTATATAAAATCTTTAAAACTCCTGCAGTACAATAAAAAAAAATTATTAGAAATCAGATTCGGTTTAAATTAATAATACATAACCAAGATTTTGATGTAAAAAACCAGTTCAAGCTATAATTATTTTAAGGAGACAATGTTAACGCCTTATCATTTCCTTTTATGGTCATAAGCTCAAGTAAAACGGAAAAGACGAGATTACTTCAAAACATAATTAAAATTATTTTATTAAAATAAAGTACGCTCCATATTAAAAATAATAATAATGCATCAATCGGCGAATATAAGTTTTTTTTTTCTGAAGAAGAATATCTTATTAAATTGTAACATTTCCTCAAATAAGCTACTAGAGAAGCCATTTTTTTCCAGAGGTTATCATGTGCGCTCTACCTATATCCTGATGCATTATCAAGTGTTACTCGAAATTATATAGTGCGAAAAATATTTTTAATACGATATTGATAAACGATTTAAAAATAATGTTAAATAAATCAACACAAATATAACAGACAAAAATCGTTAAAAAAAAGAGGTTTAACCCGCACCTTAATAGCTTCGTTGCCGGTGAGCCGTTTTTGCTTGTCCTGATCACGAAGGATGATGAACGGCTTGCCAAACTCATCGAAGGCGATGGATCCAGGTAGGGTCATCATCTTGAAAGCCGATTTGTTGTACTTATTTCAAGAAGAAATTAATATTTTTCGTCGAGAATTTTAACACGCGCCTTGGCCTTCACTCGCTTCATCAGAGGTAACCATGTTGAGTACTAGCGGAAGTGCGTACAAACGGAATCGCGTTCTTTCATCTTAAAGTTTCTTGAGCGCGAAAAATCAAACTGTTGAGTTCTATTTCTAAATTTATTGGGATAATTTATTTTTGATTAGAGAGAAGTTTGAGATAAAATTTTTTTCATAAAGCATTTAGATTGCGTTATTTAATTTAGGCAATCTTATGAATATTTTATGAACAATTATAGTATGAATATATGTGTTGAACATTACGGATAAAAAGTAGGATCGATTTGTTTTCGATTTATCAATTCTTTATTTCAATTTATTCATAATCATTGACATTAATTTTTTTTTATTCTTAATCATAGACAAAACAAATTGTCTTGAGAAAGAGTTTTACAAAATTACCTTGACACCATCATTTGTTTTACGAGAAAGAAAAATGATCGTAATGTAACTGTATTTTTAAATGATATTGTTATATAGTTAGTTTTATCACTATAAATATACGTACATCCATTGTTACAAATTAAACATGTATTACTAGGTAGATACGCGTAGCATATCTGTATTTCTTGTCTGCAATAGAAATTAAATTATCTTTTTTGTTTCTTAAAAATCTTAAATCAAACTCAATTAAAATTAAAAAAAATTATCTATACGTAAAACAAGTAATTGCATCGAGTCACAGATAAAACAAAATCTCTTTTCCGTCTTTCTATGTTTTTCTTCAATTTATCTTCTCAAACAAATTTAACTTTCGAGAATAGCATTGTATTTACATTTTCATTTTATGAGCACTATTTGCTTCAACGTTGTCGTCGCCCAAAACTGAATTGAACAGGTACAATTGACATTCACTCAAAGTGGACGAGAAACTGTCAATCGGAGGATTATTCAGTGTGTAAATCGTCAAATTTCACTGTGTAAGGAAAGTTATACCGAAAAAACGAAGCTTAATTTGTTTTAATAGAGTAACTTTTTTTTTCAATAAATGGGCTAATTTAATCGACAATAAAATCTAAAAACACTGGACTTTTACCAGTAGATTCTCCTTGTCGTTTATAAGGAGATTCGTTCAACCTTGCACAGCGATTACAAATTCTGTTGATGCTACATACATTTACTTGTTTAAATTCCACTCGAATCCTCCGCTCTTTATCGTCATCTCGTCCTTTATCTTTCCTTTCCTTATTTTGAAATATTATTAAATGTTACAATATTATGAATTACACATATTTTCATACTTTAAAGTGAATCGGATCGCTCAAATATACGACAGACTTTGTAACATCCCTTATTATTTCAATATAAGGTTCTTTCCCTTTTGATACGACTCCAGTGCCCCCATCTATCGGTAGATAATATAGAGATAAATACTATGCAAGCTATTTTCTAAGAACTATCGCAGATAGAAACGTATTAGAAACAGTATAAAATGGACAAGTGTATTCGTAATTTTAAAAATCATTTTTAAACTTTATTTTGCACGTCTCGGCAGGCTCTATGATAACATAACTCTGCCTGTTATCACGACTACTCTGGTCCTTGATAAAAATCCTGTCTTTTATCTCTCTCAAAATGTTATTTGCGTATTTTTTTTATCTTTTGTTTTATACATTTTTCTTTCTCACTAAATATCAACTTACATGAATGCTTAAGTCATTAGCGCTTAAGAGAATGACACTGTATGTATGACAAGGCAAAGAGATAGAAATAACAAAATATACAAAAGATATTATATCAATTTTTTTCTTTTTTTTTCATTATTTTTCCATTATCATATAACGTAGACTTTTAATATGCTTTCAAAAGTGTTGTCGCGTATCAATAATATTTAGTGCGCAAACCTTTTGAGGGAATCTAGTACTCTCAAATAAAGCATTTTCATTTACTGTTGCGTTCAGTCTTCGCTACAAATATTAGAATGTGAGCCAACGATTTCTCTTTTCAAGTTTCTCTCAATGCGAACGAACATCATCTACCTTAGCAATTACCGGAAAAAAAAAATAGATTCTCAAACTCATTCTAATCTACATACAAAGTCGCCAAGAATATATAGCATCGAAAAGGTGCATCTTATTTTTATAAAAATCCTATAATCGACATTGCCATCGCGATATCAAAGTACAAAATTGCAAAGTCTTGGTCGATCTTAAAGCTGATAGATGAGATGTTCGTGTGGCCTAGCGAGAAATTTGGCGCACTTGCTCGAGGTCAGGCTGTTTCTTTCATTCGATTGACACGCGTGACATCATCAGTCCTCGCCTGGTCAACCAGACGCTGAAACAGATAACGAAATGTAAACATTACAGCGTCGCAAAGTTTTGATAAGGAAGACTCGCATTATCAATTCGGGTCATCAGCATTTAGGTAATGTAAAAATTGATTTTAGTAATTTTTTCCATTACTCGGAGAAGGTATGTAAAAAATTAAACTTACCCAATGCCAGTGCCAATGAGGAGCGAGAGTATGTTGGTGAGCAGGAGAGTGTAAAGAACTTCCTTGGAGAAAAGTCCATTCTTGCCAACTTTGGCAGTCCTTACGCTAAACATTTTCCGCCTGTTCACGCCCAATGCCTGCTTCAGCTTCCAGGCCCTGGAAACCACACTGTTACTCGTTGTTCGGGAAAGCGACTAACCGTTTGTAACGCATTTATCGAGTTTTCTTTTTTATCGCCACGCGTACGCTTTACGTTCGCAGTCAATCAGAGCTCGTTTCCCCTCGTGCAATTTGACTTTCGTTCGCTAATTGACAATCGACGATTTATTTGGTCGTCGATAAAGCGAGGATACAAGCGCGTTAATTTATCACCCTTCTCGTTGCAACAAAGTCAGCCGGGAGCGCCGTGAACGGGCCGCCGCACTGCGACACGCCGCGTTATTTCCTTTTTCAGTTCCGACTAGTGAAAACTCTTCCGATGTCAGCTTATTGCGCGTAGATTACTTACTTAGGTCCGCTGGGCTCTGACTTGACGTTCCACTCGTACAGCCAGTCTTTGTCAGGGTCCGCATCCTGCAGGGAAAAGGCAAACAAAGGGCGAGAAGGTTAGTGATACAACAGCTGCAGCGGATGAGGAAACTAACGTTTTCTCTCTCTCTCTCTCTCTCTCTCTCTCTCTCTCTCTCTCTCTCTCTCTCTATGGGCGGTTACGAGAGTGGAAAAGAAAGCTACTGATGGAACGAGCGCGCGAGTCTGTTATGTATCACAAGAGGAATTTCTTATGCGTAAATCACCGCGATACAGTGTATTCTAAAACTCGTCATTTACAAGATAAGCGAAATCAATAATAAACAACTCGTAATTCAAACTTCGCGATAGAATCAGTAGCAGATTGTAACAGCAAAAATCCAGTTTTTCCGTTGATTGCAGCGAAGAGAAACAAAGATAAATCGAACGGAGTAATAACCAACAATGCTATCGGATAACAGCTCGCGTATAATGCCAACAAAGTCGCATCGTTGGGGGTCGATAACAAAGACTGAATGAGCTACGAAACAACGTGGCTACGCCAGAGTACAACTTTGGCGCCGAGCCGCTAAACGGAGAACAATGGAAAGCCAAACGAAGAGGAGAAAAGCGCGCTTCGCTATTTTTGAGCGAGGCGTGGAATGGCCCGATTGGCCAGTGCGCGGGACACGCGAGCGACAACTCGGCGCTATCGTCGATAAATTAATAAGCGCGCCGTCGCATGATGCGCGGATGACTCATAATACACAACGTCCGTCGTCCGCACCGAACAAAGAGCGAACGAGCGCTCGCGCAGAGGCGTCGATTTGCGAAAAGTGGGTGCGCGCGATAGGGACTGTGGCTTTCTTGCCCCGGGTGATACGACGTGATCGGCGATCTTTCTCTCGACGGACCGAGCGCGGGAAATTCTCACCGCCGGCCGGGGGAGTCTTGACGAAACCGCTACAGAGCTGAATTTTTCATTTTTCGCGATAAGCTCACACCTTTGACTGCCGGAGTGTCCGGACACCTTGTGTCGGCTCGCGATAAATACAAACGAAGCAAGTCGACTTTGCTTTTGAGCCTCTCGCCGTGGCAAGTGAGATGCCTGGAGCATGACGAATCTTCTCGAGTGTATAGGTACTTCGGACGCGAGCGGTGTGTCGTTGGAGCTTGCGAACTCGTTTCGCATCCTTGCGACGCTGCTCGCTCCTTTGAACGACGAATGAGAGCGCTTCGCGATTGGGCGAGCTGATTCGAGGCTGCACTTAAAATTCAGACTTTGGCCGAATCGCTCAAAAGACGCTTTGTCGCTCGGACGGAAATCTTGAACAAAGAGCGATAGCGTGACAAAGAGAGAGAAAAAAAATAGGAATACTCGAATATCCGACAAATCTGTCAAGACGTAAATCCAGCAACTTGAGAGCAACACCACGATGATTTCATCGCGCGTTAGAAGTGCATCTGACGCAACGAGCGCACAGCTTTTCCAAGGCGCGCGCGCGATCGAATGATACGAAGAGGAAAAAAAAAAAAAAAAAAATAAAAAAAAAATAAAGAAGCCGCGCGTCACGCGATACCAATCGCAATACGAAGCGCTGCATGAGAGATACACTGACAAGGTCGCCGGTGTCGCTTTGCAAATGGGCCAAGTGCATTAGCGTCTCCGCGGTGGCGGTGAGAAAAAATAAGGAAAGTGCGCCCGCTTCCCGAGAGAAGCGAGAGAGCGCCTATTTTTACGGCCGCGCGCGTTCGGCGCGAGTCGCGAGCGCTTCCGGGGCGAGTCGGTGCGCGCGGAGCGACTGGCCCGCTCCATTTCCATTTCCCCTTTGTCGCCTCTCTCCCGAGGCGAACGCGTCGCCAACGCGGAGAAACCGACGGCGCGCGGCGGCTCCGCGAATCAACGTTCGACCACGAGCGGTGCGCGAACGTTGCGTGGATCGCGCGATGCGCCTTTTTTCCCCCTACTCGAGTTGGCCGTCGCTGCCGCGCTCATCGTGCACGCGATCCGACTTTTTCTCCGTCTCGAGCGAGGCGCATCTCGACTCCGTTTAATCTCGTTCGAACGGCTTCGCGTCAATTACGCATATCGTCCGTGGCTAAAAATGAAAGCCCGCCTGTCGCCCCCGCAAAACGATAACTCGCGGCTAACAGGCTACCAACAGTGCATCGGTCGTCGCAATTTGCGACTGCGAGCTTTTTCACAATGCGAGCTCTGTTTGTTTCTCGGCGATATCCGAGATATATGCGTAGCGAGCACGCGCGACGAACTGAATAGCCGCTCGCTCGAGCCCATCGGAGGTCGGCAGCGAGACGAAAAGGCAACGGCTCGCGGACGCGGAAAAGCAGGGTCGCGACACTCGATCGCGACTGCCGCCGCGAGAGAGACGCGAGAGAGACGCGAGGCCCTCAAATCCGAGTTCGCGGCCCTTTGCGCAACCGCGCGAGACGGGCGCAGCGTGCACCTCGGACGCAACCGCGAGAGGCCGAGCCGAGCAACGATTGCGCGGATCGGTGTCGCTGATCTCGCGCGCCGAGAGCCTTGTACGGGACACGAACGGCAGAACCAGTTGCGCGCGCGCGCAGGACCGGTTTTCCTTCGCGGCGACGGCGCGCGGAGGCCTTTTAACGCGACCGACCGCTGCCGTTAAAGATAGCAAATTGCTGGACGCGCGGGCGCCCCGACTGCTGCTCCTCGTATCGCCGCTCTCGCTGCTGCTGCCGCCGCTTCGTTTATTTATTTGTCAATGGGCGTGCACGTGCCGTCGAAATTGCATTTGACACACTCGAGACCAGATGCGTCTGCGCTAAATGCTGGGTATAACCGTAGCGTCGGTTGAAATTCTCGAGAAATGAGCAACAGCGAACTCTACAGCCAAAGGCGCCTCGTTCCAGCTGACCAAATGCGTAGGATCCATTGTTTCCTCTTCGTTCGCACGAACAACGGAAAACGATTCGACTTTGGCAATCAAACTCATAATAATTCATTTTTCGATTATCGAATCTTAATGCCATAACGTTTATGTCGCGCGTACAGATACGTAGGCGCAGCTTGGAAACCAAAGTCTTTGTTGGTCGTCGTGAGGATAAAAAACCGAGTATAATGCGTGCAGTTGTTGTCTGTTACCTTCTTTACTTCGCGTGTTAAGACTACCTGTGCCTGTATATTGTTAACTTTTTATTGCTCAATTCTCATAAAAAAATATGACAACCGAGCGAAGTATCATTGGAATGAGCGCGCATTTTGAAATTAGCTTTGAATTATCTTCCAAAAGTCAATTAGGTATAGGGACATTGCTTTCTTTTCATTGTTTCTTCAGTCAGCAAACTGAAATTACACTGTTGAACAAACCTTGTTTGTATAATTGATGTAGACTCCTTTGAGTTCATCTTCGGTTGCCAATTCCGTGTTCGGACTGTTCGGAGGACTCTTCGGACTGAAAAAACCAAATCTCTCTTAACAATTGTACTTCGGAGTGCAAGCTTACAACGAATGAATGTAATCTGCGAAACTCAAACCGACAAATAAATGACAAAAACTCAACAACAAAAAATCAAAAAACCACTCGAAAGAGAAGATGCTGTTAATAAAGATAGATTGTATGAAATATAAAACGTTCATAAAGCGCTGTTCGATCGCGAAAATAGCAAATAAAAAAGATAGGAAAAACGCAATGGCGCCAGTTGCAATAACGTGGCACACTTTCCGCGCGCTTACTGCTCTACTATAGGCACCCGCGTACGGCGACGCGGTCGCCAAAGGCTCTCGATATACAAGCCGGTGAAGTGCGCGATGCGGCACGCGTACGCACAGCTGACTGGCGTCTCTGAGGCGAGGGAGAAAAAGCGTAGGCATCTCGACGCAACGATCGCGCTTTCTCGCTCGAGGTTCGCGCCACTGCGCTCCTTTGCTGCGCAATGAGGAAAAGAACGAGCAGCCGTAGATGCGTACCTGTCGCGCGGCGTGTCCCTCCTCGAGGAGGCGAGCGAGTGCCTCGCCGACGAGTGAGTGGAGTCCCTCTGCGCGTCCCTCAGCAGTCGCAGGTACTCCTCGGGTGCAGACTGGAAGGACAGTGGCGTGCGGCGATCGACCGGCGTCGGGCACACCACCCACGACTCTGCAAGCAAGCCGCGTAGATAGTGAGCGCCGGCCTATACTCGCCGCAGACACATGCGCATCTCGTTGTCGCTGACGAACGCACAAAGTCGTCCTGCGGACGGATCGCCCCGCCCCCCCTCTCTCTCTCTTTCGATCAACATAAATATTTTTAACGCGCGACTAGACGATTTAGAGTCAGAGTCGCGGACGTGACCGGCGACGCGATTGTCAAGTCAGTGGTTACCGCGCGATCACCCGAGAGGGAGAGAGAGAGAGAAAGTAAAGGAAAGCACGTATATAGGCGGGTACGCGTAATGCACCGCGATGGCGATCCGAGACTCTGACGCAAGCATGAGCCCCACGCGCCTCCCGTCACGTAGGCATCGGCTCTCGGCCGACAAGCCGCCAGGAGCCAACCGGTCGCTCGCGCGATTCGGCTCTTCAACGCCAAAAAAGGGGGCAGAATCGCTCTCACGGCTCCGTCGTGGCGTCGTCAGCTTCCCTTACGGCGGCTCTTTCATTATTTAGTTATGTGTTTTCGCTTGCGCCCTGCCTCTACCAAAGCCGCCGTCTCGACTCTCTCCCTCTCTCTCGTGAACAGCGCGCGCGAGATCGCGATAAGGACGGAAAAAAACTGCGGAACCACTCGGTTACTTTGGCAACATCTGATCGAGAGGAGGAAGTACGCGAGTGACCGTTGATGCTTGGGTGTACAATGACGTGCCCATGCTATGCCAGACGGTGGGAAGAAGGCTCGCGATTGTTCGGTCCTCTTGGCCGAACCGCAGTGTTTTCGTTTTTCTTTGTGCGCGAACGGCCCACGTGATTTGCCAGGCTCTCGCCAAGTTTGGCGACCCTTTTCACGCGGAGAAAGAAAACAATATTCGATTGGAAAAAACCAAGCTTAACGGAATAACTGAAAACAGTACAAAGATTGTTGCGAAAGAGTCGTTAAGTCGTATCGGGCTAAAAATAGCCGCCTGCATTTCTACGTTACTCGATGTATTAAAACGGTAATTTTTCACGTAATAAAAGTTGCATTTTTTTTTTAACTCCAAAAGCAAGTTTTCAACTGAGTCTCCTTATCTGACAATTTTTAAAAATAATTGTTTGTCGGACATGATTATGCGCATGAATTCATCGCGTCGATCGTTTACTAAAGCGAAGAAAAGGAAAACAGCAGATGCCGGTTTAATGAAAAAAAAAAAAATCATCTCCTCGAATACTTTTCCTTCTCAGTTCAGCCGCACGGAAGGCAGCTATATAGAGAGCCGACTGACCTGACTCGCCTCCGCTCATTTTCTTTCTCTCGCAAGCCTGCAGACAGTCGAGCGCATTCCCCTTTTCGCGAAGCTGTACTAACACTGTAAATGTAACAGCCACGCTCGCGCTGCACGAGGAAAAAAAAAGAATCGCTGCTGCGCGTACACTAGAAGCGCGAAAATCAGTTCAACGAGCGACACTAAGGTCATTGATTCAGTAATACGATTGACGCAATGAAACTCAGATCGGATTAATTCCGAAATGATCGAATGGCCAACGAGAAGTACGATAGAGACGTTCGAAGAGAGAAGTTTCCGTGAGTCGCTTGTTTTTTTTTTGTCAGACGGGAAAAGATGAGGGGGTAAAAAACCAGAAGAACAGCGTGCTTATATTATTGGTGGCCAGAGAGGGGCCGTTATTCAACCGAGTTCGTAGCCGCGCCGACACACAAGTTAAAGATACTGCTTCAGGAAAACGAAAGAAACGTGCAATGTTCGTCCTTACGACTCACCGGGATGAAGGGATCGCGCGAACAAAGATCAACGGCTGAATAATATGTGCGAGCGTACGAGCAGCAGCGCTGTATAGCCAATTTGGAATGAGCAACAGTTCGTTGACGAATGGCCGGAAGAAGGCACGGCGCTCGAGAAAGAAAACGTAGCCATCAGCCCTGTGTGCGGTTGCAGATATGTACGCGTCAATTTAACGAGCGAACGAATGCTCTTGAATGTCAATTAGCTGAACCGTTGGTTAGGATCGAAGAGAGAACGAACGAAATGTCTTGGAAAGAAAAACAAAATCTTCGTGCGTGCGCGCGCGCGCAAGCGGCATGAGCTCACCGGGTTATATCGATCCAGAAGGAGCTCAACAACAACCCCACCTTCGTGCACGCGAAAAACGAGATTCGCAGAAGCCGCTCCTTGGACAACAATCCGAGACGGATCACGTAGAAAATCTATAAAGTCCCCATGCCGCGTTAGCTCGCTCGGATGAAAATTGCCCGACGCTAAAAATAAAACTCCACCTACTCCGCGCGCCTTATCTCCCAAAACATTCGCGTTGTTTACGACACGCAGGAACATGTTCCAATCGAAATCTTCTCAAGGCCGGTCGTCGGTCTTTCGCCGAGGAAGCCGATTTAGTTCAATTTATTTCTCACTGATGCGAAGAAAGTGGCGCGATTGTAGTTTGTTTTCATCTGCTATTATCAAAGCCGATGGGTTTTGCGAGAACGCCGAGAGCGGAGATTGATAATGATACGAGACGATTCGTCAACGGGGATTTAATGTTTCGACAGCTTTGAAGGATTCAACTTGTTGAGCAACTGACATTGTCGTGCAAAATCTTTTGTCCGATCAGACGTCGCTTCGTTGAGTGCGAGTCGATTTCATTTTAGGAAAGCTCTCTCGTAAAATTTCGATAGGAAGATGAAACGAAAACCTCTTCGATAGAACGACACTGTATTCTGCGAAGAGTGTGGTAAGAAAAAAGCGATAACGTGGGTTAATTTTCATGCACGCTCGGCTCCGTTTCATAACGATTGTTCGTCATAAATCAGATCCTTGAACTTTCTTTTACAACGGGCCTGCTGCAGTTAGATCTCTGGTGCATGTGTAATTTGCACTCGGAGCCCGAATCCGGTAGATATTTATGTGTCCTAATGAAAGAAAGCATCGATCGATTCCCAAATGGAAGAAAAAAAAATGAATCCCCACATGTACGTCGTAAAAAATGGAACCTGGAAGCGAATAGAGAAGACAAACGACGCTGCTTAGCTTCCAATTGAAACGAGAGGACAAAACAAGAATAACGAATTATCTCCGAAGTTAATGAGGATTTTCATTAGACACGAAATCATCGATTAAATATCCAAACGATAGATCTTTTTTAGCAAAGATTCATACTGCTTTTTCTTTTGTTCAAAGGAACATACACACAATGCGCCCGCATCTTTACAAAGCTTACGTTGACATAAAAATTCAAATTCCACGGACTTACTTATCCATATGTAAAGCTCATCGAAGTGGCGTGAGCTCTCACGCACGCATACATGCTCGCACATTAGTACATTTTCGTTATCAGCGTTAGCTGTTGACAGTGTGCTTCCATCTCTTTCGCGTAACTACGCCGTCGTGCGCAAGCGTCCTACGAAGGTAGAGAGAGAGACGGAGAGGAAAAAAAAAGCCGCTCTCGCGTTCATATATAAGCGCACAGCTGTTGCGACGCAAAAACCACATATATACATATGTATACACTCCGCTCGTACACTCACCTCCAAGCGTCTCATCGGACGCGAACTTCCCGCTCGACGACGACATTATGTCCGCCGTTCAGCCTCTCTCCTCCTTTCACTTGCTCTACAAGTTAATCGTTGTTGTGGAATCTTCGCACTTGCACTCCTGATATTCGATGGAAAGAGGTACAATCAAACAAAGGAAAACCAAGAGATTGAAAAAATAAAATACACGCGCGAAAAGTGAAGATCACGAAAGGCAAACAAAATGCCAGCGAAATCGAGCTTTCAACAAAAAGGAAATATGCTATATTGCAATATAACCAAGTTTTTTTAAGAATAAAAATACTCGAGAGATGCTTACTCGACAGAGTCCTGCGGACGAGTGGCGTACGGCGGACTGAGCGGCTGCGCTTTGTTTTGAACGAAAAGTCAACACTGGGGCTGACGTACGCATCTCATGCGCGCTCACACTCATATGTACATACGTCGACCAACCGTGTAGTGCGCGAGGCCGTGCATCTAAAGAAGAACAATGGGGGTATGGTTTATGACCGTCAGGTTTACTCTTCGCTTTTCCGCAAAACAGAAATAACAAGCGACGAAGCATATTTATTATTCTTGATAAAGACAATTAATGATAAATAATTATAAACGAGAAACTAAGTTTTTCGAATGTATATCAAATTAATTCTTTTTACTAATTTAAATAATAAAAATATTGAGACAAATCGTTCTATATATTATTATAGCTATGACATCAATCAATTTATTTCTTAAAAAATATATTCAGTGCGTACTCAGTGGTATTTTTTTATAAAGAGATGTAAGGATTATCGACAGAATCTTATAATTTACCTTGTTTTTCCAACATTTCTCAAAAACAAATTCACTGATGTTACCAATTTCGCAAGACTTTGGAAAAAAATTTTTATGGTAATTCGTTCATAATTCGTCATACAAATTTTCTGTCCAAAAATATTAAATGTTAATAAAATTACACAAAAAAGTTGATTAGAAATTTCAAATGAGTCACTAAATTTTTATTATACTCTTTGTAAACGTTTGTTTCGTAGCTCGCCAAAAAGTGGAGAATAACAAAATAGATAGAAATTAATTAACAAAAGAAAGAACGAATGTAAAACTTATTGGAAAATTAAATTACAATCCGTTAACATTGACATATCAATCAGATACATAAATGGTACATTAACCATACTGCATACATTAATAATCTATAATGAAACTCATACGTAATTAGTTGAAATTTTCTGTTGTTTATGAGAGTTTGGAGTTCAGCTGCGCATGTTGCGTAGTACATTATGATTATTTTCAACGGAATAAACAGTTTTGTTGACAGCCATAAATTTGTTTTGTTGCGACAAGAACAGTAATTATGACAGGATTTGTGATCGTCACATCGTGTTAAGACGACTGAGCTATTGCGCATGTTCGATACTTCAATTCATAAGGGACTTTCTATAACAGGCGTGGGTTAATACGCGACCCGGGAAATTTAAAATTTAAAATAAGCGAGGTCGTTTGAGCACCACTGTAAACATTTCTAGCCACTGCAACCATTTTTGCTTAAAGCATATTCCAGATAACACAGTGCCGGCACTATGCCGTCAGAATGCGCCGGCACGTGACGTCCAAGTGTATCCGCATTCTGACGTCATTCTGGAAGCACGCCGTGCACTCATTGTGCCTGCATTGTGACAGCACGCATGGTAACCATCGTTTGGCACGGCGTGCGGGAATTATGCCGACATTATGCCTTCCCGTTCTGCTGCACGAAATGCTTGCAGAATACACGCATTGTGACGGCATTTTGAAAAAAATTTATGTTATATATTATTATTATTATATTATTATTATTATTATTGGTTTTTAAATAAAAATACACAATTTGAAAATTTTATTTATTATTTTTTATTTTTTATAAACATTTAAATTATTAAAATATTTAAAAAAATTTATATCTTTATTTTTTGGGATAATATAATAAATAATATCAATATAAATAATACATATGTATAGTCCAGTCATTACGGTGTTCGAAAAAATAATAAAATATATATTTTTCCGAACACCGCGTTATTTTTACTTTCGTCGAAGAAGAACGCGTAAATAATGAGAAAAATAGTCTTGATTTATGAGAGGTATCAGAACAATGTTTATTAATAATTTTAATGAAAAAGCAGTACTTATTTAGTATTTATTCATATCTTTTTTCTAGTTATCGTATCGAGATAAGTCTTGCGGCATTAGATTTATGATAAAATTTAACAGAAGGATTGATATTTATTAAAATTAAATTAATTTATTTTAACAACAATATCTTGCATTGTTTGCAGAAATATTAAAAATGATAAACAGTTATATACTGGATAAAGAAGACTAGTACATATAATCATTTATAATTTTTAACATTTCTGCAAACAATGAAAATTATTGTTGTTAAAATAAATTAATTCAATTTTGAAAGATATTGAACCAAGTAAAAAATGTTAACAGAAATCTCATATTGTAAGTCTTACCTCGATACGACAATTAGAAACAAAGATGTAAGCAAATAAGTGAATAAAATGGTTTTTTGATTCATATTATTAATAAACAATGTTTCCATACCACTCATAAACTAAAACTATTTTTTCCATTATGTATACATGTGCTAAACATGTGCTTTCAAGACCACTAGGAGTAGTATGAATTCCAGATACCCTAGAAACACTCTGATTGTAATTTACAATACCGTCATATTTACAATACGTATCGGCAATTCGGGCTCCTTCTTCCCTTATTTCAGGATTTACTGGCCTTCTTGGGTCTACAAATATCTAGGGCAATTTCAACACTCCGCCATTTGTTAATGCAACTGAATGAATAACATTCCGGTTAAAATATTGGAAATCGAAGAGTAAATCGTGGAACAATTCAATATTAAATTAAATTATTCACCTAGGATGTGTTTGCTAGTTCCTTTCTCTGTAATCGTTTCTTGTATTGAATCAATTGACAAATGTAATATAAAAGCTTGCCTCTCCACAATAGGTAACTTTGTGTTAGTTAATAATGAGAAAACTACAACATAAAATTATTATTGTTAGTGTTAAATATGAATTGATATAGATGTAACAATTTTTATTTTAAGCAATTTACTTGTAGTATTGCTTTGAGTTTTTCCCTCGTACAATTCTTTCCGTAGCTTCTTTATGTAGCTATTTCCGTTCTTTTGACTTTTATCGTTAAAGTAACTATAAACGACCCAGTTTTCGGAATGAACAATATGTACTGGTCCCTTGGTTCTCTTGTGTACGATGGAGAAAATCATTGATCCCGGTACGTCATGAAAAAGATACAAATTGAGAGTATCTATAAATAATTAAACAAGATTTTGAGTAAACATAAATAGTTTTCGCAAAGTCCTTTTTATTATAGATGTAATAAATTAACTTTTATAAGCATTATTTTGAGTAAACATAAATAGTTTTCGCAAAGTCCTTTTTATTATAGATGTAATAAATTAACTTTTATAAGCATCACCTGTTCCTTGAGTCACGATAGCAACCAGATTTGGATTGATATATTTGTATAAAATTGACTGATCACTCGACACTTGACCCTGAGAGTAAACACGTTCAATTAAACTTTTTGAGACGACATGTGTTATCCGTTGTGTCTTTGGCGAGAAAACTAATTTCCATACCTGAACGAAGGCAATGAATTTTGAAAATATATCACAATCTTTATGGAAGCTTTTAAGCTTTTAAATAGTTTTACACACCTTGCGAGCGATTAGATTCTGCGAGTTGCTATAAGTAAGCGAGTATCCGGATAATACACCAGTCTTTCTGTCGGCAGTGAAGATGTAAGTAGTACGTCCAGCAGAAGTTGCAACAGCGCTTGCACTTTCTGGAAAGACGTGCGCTCGGTCGTGCTCATCCAAAATAACTATACCACGTAAAAAAATATCGATTAATGCATGTAACAAAATTGACTGCTTGATTTGGTAATTTAACTTTGTCAGTCTATCCAGTAGCTGTCCGTTTATTGGGTTGAAAGTGTATATCATTCCATTTCCAGTGGTCTACAAAATTAATAATACTCTTAATTTTACGTCGACTTTAAAGGTCACGATTGAAAATGCGGATAAAATTAAAAATTACGTTACCTGTTGTAAGCAATGCGCACCGAGGTGAATGCGGCAAGTGCCTACTTCCACGTTGAACATACAAAACTATCTTGTTAAAATCCTGAGATAAGCCTTTGATGTTATTGACTCGTGATTGCCAAATTATTTCACCTTTCGTTGACTCTACTCCGTACAGCTATAATAATAAATTGTTAATATAAGTCACACGAAAATTAAAATCAGTTTATCTATCGTTCAAGTTTGATATAACAGTTTCACCTTCCCTGACGATGTAACAGCTACAATCACTTTATGTAAACCAAATTTATCACGAATTAAATCGGCTCGTTGATTTGATTACTGTGGTTCAAAGCCCAAAGTTTCTTGCATGAAAACGTTTATCTGGTTTGCTTCTAAAAGAGAAGATAAATCAACAATTTAGATATTAACAACTCAAAAGAATACTGCAATAACTTAAAAATTAAAGCCTAGCGAACGCAATACATTAGTTTATTTAGTTAGTTCAACGTTTGACAAAACTAAGACAATTAAATAAATTAAACTAATAAAAAATCTATTTGTAAAGAGTTAACACGCTAAAAAAGTATTGTTATCTAATAATAATTCAACAATATAGTTGATTTTATATTGACACTCAAATGCCTGAAAATAATATTTTCAAACACTTAATAAACACTAGAACCCTCATGCTGACGAAAAATTTAAGATAAAAATTTCAACTTTTTAAAATCATGCTTTCATAAAAAAAATCATACTCCACACTTAAATGTTGATGTCGTCTACACGTATATATATAGACAAGCAGGTACAGTCATCGCATCCTACTGTCCGCATAAACAGACCATAAAATCACAAGATTTGTAGATTTTCTGTCCATCTTTCTTAAAATTAAATTTAGTTGTCAGTAATATACATTTATTTTCAAAAGTAAACGTGTAATAAATAGTATTTATAATGATGCTCAATAATAAGTAAAATATTATATTCCTTATATGTATCACTAATGACTGGAACTACTGAATTTCATATAAATTTATCTTCATATTACTTAATTTTAACTCTTAAGATGATTCGAAATTAGTTTTTTTTTTAGTCAAAAGAATTTTAGATTTACGATAAAATAATAAGTAAAATATTATATTCTTTATATGTATCATAAATGATTGGAACTTGAATTTCATCTAAATTTATTTTCATATTACTAATTTTAACTCTTAAGATGATTCAAGCACGAAATCAATATTTTTGTAATTAAAAATATGTTAGATTCAATATGAGAACGTATAATATGAAAACAAGATTATATATTTTTAATTTATAGACGTTGTTGTATCTAACAAAACGAGGTCTTAATTTTTTTAGAGACTTCGCCACAGTTGCTTATACCCCAAAACAAGATCATCCATTGAGAGCGGTGGGTGTTGCAGGAGCGAAGCCGCAAGCAAGCCAGCCAATACCGATACCAAAGAGGCGCAGCCGCATCTAATTGATTTTCATATGGTATTACCATTACTACATCTGTGAGTTTCTTGCGGTATGTTTTTCTGGTGAAATCACATCCACAGTTGAGATTTTGCAATAGTTTTTCAATAATGGTATATACTTCCAGACAATCCACGGTGAACCTGAATGCTGATTACTGACTGCAATGCTGGGGAGCGGCTTAATCAATCCGCTGGTTCGAGCGCTTTTGGTAGTCAAAATGTCCATGCTGACGTACAATTTCAGTAGGGAACGGAGATCAACCATACATGCGTCTAAAAGAACGAAGGAGAAGCTAATGTGCGTGTCATGGAGAGAAGGGGAAGCGAACATGTGTATGCTCTGTAGCAGACTTGTGCACGTAACCAATGGGCGGAGCAAAGTAGCAACAAGAGTCTGCACACTCGAAGACGGTTGAAGACTTCGGACAGCTTTCGGTAATCACTCGGCTATTCAATTTTACCATTGCACGTTCAAGACCATTTTTTATGCAATTATTTATTTGTAATCAAAATTGTTGTAATTTATGTCAATAATACAAAAATAAATTATATCGCACAAATATATCAAATTAATTCTTACTTCTTTTAACTCTCTTTATAATGAAATTAAACTCAAATTTCCCAAATTATAGTCCGGTAAAACTAGGACCAAAAATAATTTTCTTAAAAAATGTTTTCCATAAATGATTGTTTTGCTTAAATAATTAATAGTTAGTATAAAGAACGATGACTAGACAAATGTTTTGATTAACAAGTTATTCAAGACGATCGGAACAACACAAATTTTTCGTTTATTCGATAACTATATATAGAAACGACTTACATTACCGACGTTGTTTTATATTTATTTTTGTTGATTTTTACTTTAAACAATTTCATAAAAAGTAGGAAAGAAACTAATGCACACATTAGTTCGCGAGTCTGCGGATGTTAGAAAAATAAATTAAAAAAAATTTTTTTATTTAGGGTTAATTTAACTAAAAGAAACAGATTGTCAACTATACCATATATTTATTAATAATTAAAAACTAAAATGTATATAATTAATTTTTTGATTGCATTATTGATATTCCTATGTAAAAATAAAATAAAATAGCAACGAAGTTTAATACATTGTTAGATGCTCTTCTGCTGTCAACATAAACAGACTATAAAATCACAAGATGAGGCTTTTGTGTCCATCTTTCTTAAAATTAAATCCAGTTATGTCAGCAAAAAACTTTTACTTTCAAAAGAAAATTTGTAATAAATTATATTTATAATAATGCTCAATATTAAGTAAAATATTATATTCCTTATATGTATCACTAATGACTGGAACTATTGAATTTCATATAAATTTATCTTCATATTACTTAATTTTAACTCTTAAGATGATTCGAAATTAGTTTTTTTTTAATCAAAAGAATTTTAGATTTACCATAAACTATCACCTAGAGATTCTGCTTAAATAATTTTTTTTTAATTCTATGTAAAGTCCTGTGTAGGGTTTAAAGGGCATAATTAATTTTTTTTATTCTATATAGGAGACCATGTATTACATTTTATATTTAAACCTTATTTCAACTATTTTTAATATAACAATTGCCGATGATCAGCTTAATGCTTTACTATTAATAATATTTGAATCAGAAATAAGTAAAATTTAAGATGATATCACAATATTTTTAATGATCTAACGGAGCTCGTGTGATAAATATATTCAATAATATTTATGAAAAAAAATAAATGTATTCAATAATATTAAAAAAAAAATAATATTCAATAATATTCATAAATATTTTGATAAATATTTATCAAAAATATTTATCAAAAAAGAAATAAAAAATTTATTTATACTAACTATTAATTATCTAATAAGTAATATTTTATGTTGAAGATAGATATAATGCATCAGTTAATATTATTTATAATTAACATAATAAAAAATAAAGCGTTTAATTGAAGTGAACATGGAAAATAAAGAAATTATTGAACAAATCTATTAAATTTATTGTCAAGACTTTGTTAACAAAATGTCATGGCCATTTGTGAAACTAGGAATACGCAATTTTATAAATCGTGGAAAAACTGCCAAACTAGAAACATCAATCTTTCGTATCTCATTAATTTCAATGTAAATATGGAAGATTGAATTTTTTAGCTCTGTAATTATAATGAAAAAAATAAAAGAGGTTTTACCGAGATTTAACAAGAGGAAGTTAAATGTTCGGTAGAGCTGACCGTAAATGGCAGAGGAATTTTCGACCTCTCGGAATGACAACCATACTAATCGCATAATCCTAATCAGCACGTACTGGTATTTTTAATTTATCCGCTATTCGACGCCTTTTCCGGTATAACTAGTGGTTTCTTTTTCTTTGCAGAGAATTTTACACATGCTTTAAAAGTTTTGGTCGGCACGTACAGTGGCGACGGCAAGGACTCACAGGTCAGTAAATTAGATCGATCGGCTTGGGCTCGGAAGCTTTGTAATCGCGATCTCGCCAAAAAGTTAACAGCCGACTGTGACGAAATAAGTAGGGATGAAGCTGTACAATATGAAGAACGAGGAGAGCGCCTTCCTATGGTAGTTCAGCTTCGGAGACAGAATTCATTATTGGAATTTTTAACTTATCCGCTATTCTACGACTTTTCCGGTATAACTAGTGGTTTTTTTGCAGCAAATTCTACCGGTGTTTTAAAAGTTTTTGTCTGCACCCGGCAAGAAGTCAAGACGAAGCTAAAATGCTATTAAAGTAAACTTAGTTATTTACACAGATTGCGTAATGAATGTGTTGTATATTTGCACTTTGTAACAATAATATGTGAACAACGATGTATGTTTTGCTTTGTAGATGTTGTAGTATCTAAAACAATTGGATCTCATATTAGTTAAATAAATTAATCCAGATGCGAGAGCAAATTCCAATGAATAAAAAATAATAAATCTAACGTCTCATAAAATCTCTCGAACGTTTCACTGATTTTGTAACTGTAAATGTTTTTACAGTTACCGTATTGAGTCCATTCACATTCGTAGAAATAATATTTCAAAACAAGTAGATAACGCCTATAATACGGTAAAAGAGATGGATATAACATCTAATACAGTATATTCGTAAGCATAATACATAAATATCAATATAAAGGCACAAAAAATATATAAAAAGTATATAAGAAATATTGTAAATCTATAATATAAAATGACGCCAACAAATGGAGATTTGATTAATAATTTCTTGACATTGTACAAAGGGAGTAGAATGTGTGCAGCGTTTTTTCAGCGTGTAAAGTATGAGTAAGAACCCTCACATACAAATTAGCGCTTAATCAAGTGAATAAAAAGTAAAAGGATTATCCCCTAAATCTATATTCATTTAAAATTTGTAACAGACCTGCAATAATAATATATAATGCAAGGCTCGGTCGGCAGGGCGACGGACTCGCACCCGGTAAGCCCGGGTTCAATTCCTAGTCCCTGCTAATCGATACATCGATCATGTGCTTTGTTCTCAATCACATTGCAAACCTCTGTCGCTGATTAGTACTGATGGATCATAAATAGAGCGACATTGAAAAAAAAAATGTGTAAAATATAATACTGAACCTTATAAACCCCAAACAATGTTTCAAATGTTTTGTTTTTGGTCATTTTAATAAAATTTGTAAAGGTAAAGCAAAATGCATGCATTGCGATAGTCTTGAACATCATGCAGTTATGCATTGTCCCAATCACGACAAATCTCCCATTTGTTCTAACTGTGTTAAAGATCATAAACCGACTGATCCTCAATGTATTACAAAAGACGACAAAAGATTTATGATGTAGCATTTGATAAAAATATTCCTCTCGATGAAACTAAGAAGTTGATTCCACCTTTATACTTTTATGTTAAAAGGGAAAGGCAGTGAATAGCGAACTCATTTAGTTTTGGTATGGCGTTTCGTCAGCAACTTCGCTGACCTCTTCAGGCAAATTTCTCACGTAGTCAAATTATTTAAGGCTACAGAAAGTTAAAACTCAAATTTTAACTTGACTGGCGATAAGAAACATTCTCTAGCCTTAAATAATTTGACAACGTGAGAAATTAGCCTGAAGAGGTCAGCAAAGTTGCTGACGAAACGTCATACCAAAACAAAGTGAGTTCGGTAAAAAAAATAAGAAAATTATTAAAATAAAATATAAATATTATATTTTGTAAATATTATATATATATATATATAAATAATATTTATAATATTTGTAAATTGAGCATTAGTAATAATAATTTGTAAAATTTTTCGTACAGAGCCTATTGCCTTGCAAGTTTTTTCTATTAAACAGTTCCCATTAAAAAAAATAGATTGTAAAACTCATAGATTGCACATGAATTTTGAATCGATTCTAAATCGTATGTATTAATATTTTTCAACTAAAATACGTTTTAATTCTAGTATTTTCTAACTAAGAAAATGTCTGTGCGTTTCTCCGTTCACACATACACAAGCCAATTGAAATAATCTGATTGGATTTCTGTGCAATTGGTATAGATATGTAGAACTATTCACATCGTTTGATCGGCAATCTCATATAATTTACGTCTAAATATATCCAACGAGTGAATTTCCTGCTGTACATACAAATAGCTGTCCGACGCCATCTAGTGAGGATGGGGTGGACCACGAGACCGCCACCCATTTCACATGCTTATTTACCATGGCACAGCTGTGTATCACGTGATTATATCTCAGCCAATCAGATCACGAATAAAATAGTTCAATACGGCATCCTGGCACCCATCACTGTTTGACAAAGGGACTTAATGTCTATGGCGCCCTTCGCGGGCTCATCATATTTATCCTTTTTTCACATTCATTTTAATAAACGAATAGAGATCAAAACTCTTATAGGCGAAATTGAAAATTCGAAAATTTAGTATGCATTAAATATTTCCTAGATTTAATGAGATAAAGCAAACGATATTATTTATTCGTTAATAAATACGAAGGTATGTTGGTACTCGTGATTAAAAAATTTTAAGTTTTTACTAACCGATATTATTCGTAGAAAACTTGTCATTCAAAAGTTTCAAAAATAAGTTAAAAAGTCATAAAAGTTCTAAAAATAATAGTTTTCTATATCCTTCATGATGTAAATGTAACGTCGCACCTTAATTTTAACTATTCACAATAAGTTTTTTTTCAATTAAGAATTTATAATTGTCATGTTCTTACTGAGTTTGTTAGATGGTGTTGCTATCACTCCTCTACTTTTTTTTTGGAGTGAGAGCATTGCTTATCCAGATGTAATTGAGACTCCGAGAAAGTGAGAGAGAGAGAGAGAGAGAGTCTAACGTGAGCTCTTTTAAGAATTATAAGCTGACTAAGAGGAATAAAGTTAATTTTAAGTATTCACTTTTATAATCTTTTTCTATTGATGTTTTAAAAACTCCATTTAGTTCAAATCTGTCACGTATTTTTTCTTTAGAAATATAGTTTTCGCATCGTATTATGAGAGCTCGTACAAATTTTTTTTCTTTATCGAATAAAATGGCTAAATCAGTAAATAAAAAGAATAAATAACAATATCTAAATCCATAATTTTTGTACAAGATATAATATTAATGCTCACAATTAATTCGAAACATTAATGACAAAAAATGTTAATTAAAACTGTAATTATTGAATAACAAGCCAAAAATATAGATTTTGAAATTCATTCATAGATGCTAATTAGAAGTAATAAAAGAAATAATGTTGTTACTTAAAACATAAAAATTTTATATAATTAAGAAAGTTAATATTAATTGAGAAAATAGAGGAAAAAATGAGACTAGTAGAGCAATCTCTCAAGATTGGGTACGTACTCTGAGGCTCACGCCCCCGGTTTTCTCCACGCCTCCGCACCAATTAGGGCCCGAAAAACAAAAGACAAAAATGGAAAGATCTCAGTCAGCCAATTAGGACACTGCTGTTGTTTCCACTCTTCTCAATTTTAAAGGGTCGAAAAAGGGATTTTTCTTTCAGCCACCCCCAGGGTTTAAAAGGGCGCATATACGCGAGTAGAAAAAAGCAGTCTCCCGGCTACCGTAATCTACAGATTCGATCTCAATTTATACCAATTTTGTAAAGAGGAATAAAATGTCAGTGCAAAGGAATTATTGTATACAACCAATAAAGAAAAGTAAGTCGAAACATTCTCTTTAATTTTACTTCGACACGACTTTAATTCGTCTTAGTAGAATATTGCAGCATAGTCCGAATATGCTACCATAAGAGAAGTGCGTCGTTTTAAATCAAAATCTTTTTGTTTGATGTGAGTTTATCAGCAAGGTCTAAAATATTCACATACAAAACCCGATTCCACTGAGTCACGGTGCTCGCTGGAAGTTTCTTGTAGTAAAGAAATTAATACTATCGGGATTTCGCGAAATTAGTAGCACTCATCTCTCCAATTCTCTCGTCCCAGTTCAAACGTCGTTGCGCAAATTAAAATAGAGAACCTGAGATAACGTCTGCCTCAGACGTTCCTGAGAAAATGACCTGGACTTCACAAATAACAAACTTCGGTGAACAAAAAAATTCAAGTAATTTCTTTATTGAGGTATCAGTCGATTTTTATTTTCATGTTAATATAATTCAAACAATCAATTCATATTCAATTCATGCCAGCTATACCGATACACTTTTCGAATATTAAATCTTAAATATCGTCTACAAAAACTAGTAATCTTTCATGAGCACTAAACAACTGAGTACGTGGCTATCTTTCAGCACTCAGATCACCAATAAACTGTCGTAACTTTCCAGACCAGGATGACAAGGAATATTATTTGTAGATATTTTAATTGCATTCAGCTGATAATAATAATATACATTTAAGAAAAAGCCATTTAAGCATTTCAATAGTATTTAAGAAGTGGTTTTGACAATGTTTTAAAAATATTTTACCTTATATTAAACAAAAGCTGCCGCATTTTGTACATTGCTGCAATGTTTTGTAACTTTCTTCTGGTTGCCAAACAGATCGTAATGTTTTATAAATAATTTTACAAAACCTTTTAGAAACAAAGCTTGTCAGCTGGAGATCTTCCATTCACTATTAAATTTGTATAGTTCTGGTACTTTTTAAAATAAATCAAACAGTAGTGTGACAAGGTTTTATTATTTAACACTACAGAAGAGCTAAAATCGTGTATAAGCTTTGAAGAATGAATAGTTTTTAATGTTTATCATTGTTATTGGGTTATTTAGTAATAAATATAATTCAAATGATTTTAAGAATAAAAATGAACATAATTTTAGTAATAAAAATTCAATTTATTACAATTAATACGTGTCCTTTTGAAGATAATGCAAATAAAAGAAGTAAGCTGCAATGTTATTGTTATTTGAAAAACTGTTCTTTTAAAACGCTGTAGAGGTACACTTGAATAAGCTAAAAAATAAACTTTTCAAAGATAATTAAACTTTTATTACTGTTCTAGTAAAAAGTATATCAATCAGTAGCAAAAAGAAATTAATTAATGATAGTTTTCTTGTTGAATACAATAAATTAGCCACTTAAGATTTTTTCAATTTTATTTTCATGACATGACAGTACATCTTAATAAATCATCAAACTTTCCAAAATATCAATGGTTTTTCTTCCGAATCCTTCCCAGTTGAAAATTTTAAGCAAATTAGTTCGCTTGTAGTTTATTTTCAAGAAATATTTCAGGATTTACAATTTTTAATTTGAAATAGAAAACCAACAAGAATCATATATTCCTCTTTTTCATGTGCGCACCAATGAACCACAATGAAACAAAGAATGTCATAAAATAACCTTTTATATAATCGACAAGTGATTTCGAATACCTCATGAATTTTATTTGAGATCTACTTTTTGAAATTTTAATTGGGTATCGTATCTCGACGAAATACTAATGCTACGTATTATTATGAGTATCTGTTTCAACACAGACCTTTCATACATCAAATATCAATGCGATTCTGTCCATCTACTTCATTACAGTAGCCATCAACGTGCGTTTTCCATTCAATATTGATTTGTTAGTAATAATTTTCTTGATAATTTATACCTTTTCCTTTTATTTTAGTAAATATAGTTGCCACTAAGAGTGTATATCATTATCTAAGCTCCAAATATGAACCTTTATCTTTTACTTTATCGTGACATCTCGTGTATAATGAGAACGATAATAATTTTTCAACTTGCCTTGTGTTTCGCTAGCACTGATTCTCTGTATCAATCACATAGAAAGTAACAAACTGACTGATTTAAAAAGCCATTTCTTTTCCTTCGCTTTATCGAAAATGGAAATATGGTCGAGAAAAATTTATTTTTTCGTAATTAATACGAAGAACACTTATACAGAATCAGCTCCGCTGGACACTAGGCACAGATGGGATTATAATATCTTTACAGCAGTAGAAATTACACGGTGAATTATTCGAAATATGTTTATAATGATGCGATTGCAATACAAATGCAGAAACACACAATTGATTATTTACTTTATTTTATCACTTTGCAAATTATGTGCGCTCGATCATTTTTTCTAGATCGAGTGAAATTATAAATTTTTCAAGGTACTATCATCAGATTGTACATGTAAACATTTATTTGAAATGATTTCAACACTGAATTCATATTATAAAGTCAATAAATCGTGTATTTGGCGTGGCAAACAGGCAAATATACCATGAAAATATTAATAGATGCACATAATCAAAAATAATCGATTATATTTCAGAAAGTTATATTTATAAAGAAATCTTTATTCTTTTTGACAATAATAGTCGCTTAGTTAAATAAAAATTGAATATGCTATAAACAAATTGTTTATCAACGAAAAATGTAAGGTGTCGATGCGCTATGCAAGTAATATAATAGATAATATCAAAGTAGTCAGTGAACGCATACACAAACTACTTTGCGCATGCACATTTTTATACTTTTAATCGATTGAAATATTTTAATTGTTTTACCATTTTTTTCAGCTAAGACAAGAAATAATAGGAGAATATATGTTATATAATATTTAATAAGAATATATAATAATAGGGCCCACGTTATATTTTAACTACATCGATAATTACTGATCAAGTGTTACTTTTTTTCTTCATTTTTTCAATATATTTTTTTCTTTAATTAGATATATTTCGTGAATCCTACCATATTTGTTATTATACTTGATAAATATATACGCACATAAGCAGAAACCTATGCTATGTATTACGTGAAAACTTAGATGATAAAAAGTAGTGAGCCGTGGTAATGAAAATATATCGCTCCAAAAGTGCGACAAAAGAAAAACAACAAAAGGAAAAAATAAGCTATAAAAAAGTAGCGATTGTTCTTGAGAGCGTCGAATAATTCAATTCAAGGCGCTTTGTTCATTTAATGCCCATTGTTGCAAGTACTCCGGTCAACTCTCAAATGTACTTTTAAAGTTGTAGCAATATTTCATTATTATAATTACAATTATCATTATGTTTATAATTAGTACGTATTTCATTAGTAAATATTCATTAGTAAATATTGCGTTTAAATATTAGTAAATATTCAAACACAACTTGTCTGAAACCAATTCATTTTTTGTTCAATAATAATTTGATTAACATTCAAAGTTAAGTAAAATAAAAAGCTATTTAAAGTTCTATTAAGCGAAAAAGAAAAAAACAAGTATGCTTTTTTGATTATTGAATAATATAAAATTGACAGATACTTGTGCCGCGATAGCTAGTACATATATGAAATAAACGAAGGATACAGTGAAAAGAAAAATTATACATTTGATAAGTCGCGAAACGACATTGTAAATTATTGCAAGTTTTTTTACTTTTTCTCTCTATTTTCTTCTTTTTTTTGCTAACATGTATGTATTATATAATATTAGAAATTTATTATAAGTATAAACGAACAATCATTTGAATGATTTAGTTTTCTTTGTTTCATTTTTTTGCACGACCGGTCATAGGCAGAGTGCGTGGGCCCCTAATTCTATGCGTTTAGTGAAAAGCATGATGCGCTACCAAGGCGCTTTGCTTAAACGTTTTTCTTGTTATATTTGTTTTTTTTTTCTATTATCGTTACAATAAACACGAATTTCATCAATACGTGATTTTGTTTCTTTTTTTTGTTTTCATCTTTGTCGTGTATTTTCTGTTTACTATTGCGTTTGCTTTTTGTTAAAATTTTTTGTTTATTCAATTATATAATATCAGTGCCACTGCTACTGATGAATGCCTCATGCATCTGAACTGTTTTTAATTTTTATTTGACTGATATCGTAAGTTCCATCAAGAGATTCGTTTTTATATTTCAAGAATGAAGGTAATCATTCACGATTCAGTTTACCCAACAAAGCGTTAAGTGGCATACACTTTTGAGCTGAATGGTTATAAGTTATATTTATATAGTTTCGCTGCTGGTGGATTTTACATAGACTGACTCTTTAGCTCGTTAATTCATAAACTTAAAATGTATCTCGACATAGTTATGATTTTTAGTTTAGTGTAGAAATCATTTTTTATTGTTGCACGTTGAAGCAGATTTTTGAAAGTGCGTCCTCGGTTAAATCTAGTTTAGAGAACGTGTTTTTCAACAAATCACGAGAGTATGTCTAATATTTAGATCAAATTGGCTTCCGTTGACATTGACTTTGTTCTTAGTTTTTGTAAAACTTTTTCCTCTAAATCTATTATTGAAGTTGCGCACAAATTGTGTCTGCCTGTCTTCTTGGCTTTAAGTCCCTTATATTCCGAATTCGCGAACTAACATCATCACTAAGCTTCTTTTTTACACAATTTTTTTTATTTCGTCTTCATTGTCTTAATGCATTTAGTTGCGATAACAAATCTACAAAAATATAGCATTGTCTCTGTACTTATCACTTCTCGCTATATTAACTCAATATACGTTATTTATCCTTACTCGCTCACTGCACATCTCGACACTATTTACGTTCATATTCACAATCACATTCTCATAGATCGCGTTTAGTGCTGCTACATTTTTATATTTTCTACGAATCGATCTGCTCTCTAATTGGTATCGAAATGAAAGAAGAAAAAATTTCGGCACACGATAGTGACAACATTGTAATGTTCGAGATTAGTTTGGATCAAAGCAACACAATTATAAGCTTAGTGCGTGATCAACACACCTAAGAGTATTTGCTATTTACAACGATCGTGTCTTTGCTACTTTTCGCTTGCTTTTCTTGGGTATGTACAATAAAAAAAGTATCCAAAGTTTCTATTACAATGTTTCTCGATAATGACAATACTTAACCGCCTTCTCGTACATCGCAGTGTTTGTTACATTTTCTAGATAGCTCGTTAAAACTGAAGCAATTAAAAAAAATAAAAGTTGTAACAGTCCACTGCGACGACAGAGCAGCGAAAAAATCAGCGTAATTGGATAAAAAAATATCTTCGCAAATGGTACATACAAAAAAACAAGCGGTAGCTTTATCTTTATCTCTTACTCCCACACGCACACAATCACAAAAATATCCCAGACGCAAATGCAAATAAATATATATTTTCTATATCTTCATGTATATAGTGACGCTGCGGCACACGGGCGCAGAAGCCGAGCGATCTCGGATCGATCTCACGAATCGGCGTCCGCGTGAACACAGATCCTTACGCATATTATTATTACATTATATATCACGCGTACGTATGTAAAACTATAATCACATCGTCTTTTAAACACACTCCTTTTTAGTGCATAATCATCTTCTCGAGTTTTCTCATTTTCTCTCACTTTCTCCACTGGTAAAACAATTCATAATCGGTCCTTCGTTCATGAGCGCAAAATTCTACCCGTGGGTTATATTATAGAATAATCATCGTCGTTATCATCGTCCTCTTTTTGCGTAGAATACGCATAACTTACGTATATAATAATCTACGGAGAAACTCTAACCTAAATGTCTGTATAAATATATATATTTTACTTATATGAAAAGCATCAGTCTCCATGAGCGCTCGGACTGCTATGTCGATAGCTCATTCCGTGTATACGGCGCAACGTGTATATACATATAGTTGCGCCGCCGGATGATGGGCATTCAATGTGTAGTAAAAATGTGAAAATGAGCTATCGTGACCACCGAGGTGAGCATTTCATATAATACCGGAAAATATATATTTTCATCGTAAAAAAAATAATCACGCTTCTTAAGTTTATATAATTAATCATCTACAGCAGTTGACGACTCGTTTTTTGTCGGTAAAATTAGCGCACGCACATACATATCATCTTTTCATTTGTTATGCATACTCCTAATCAGTCAGAATACATTTTCCACGTTGGTATTTTTATCAAACGAGCAGAGCAGCCCATCAGCATAAGCACGACTTTCTAGCAATAAAATCTTTCGATTTTTTTTATCTCTCGTATACAATTATTTTTCTTTTTAGAGTCTCATACTTTTTTTGGCAGTGAGGGACACGAGTTGTGTTAGTCGACAGTCGTGAGATGGATTACGCGTCTAATTCTTCACGGCGCTATTCAATAATAATTTTTTTTGGCCCCGCCGTAGTTCTACGTGCAACAAGTCGCTGGCTACTTCTTACAAAACGATTGTCAGTGTCAACGTCTTGAGCGACGTAGAACTAAATAATTGGTTACAGTCTTGAGTCATATTCGGGAGTAATTTTTTTTTCTTTTTAGCACGTGGAGCACTATGCATCATAGTCAAATATTGATCTCGGTCTCGCACAAAACTTCGAAAAAGAAGGCAACTCACAAATGTTTTTGTTTTATAGTGAGCCGGTGCGAATGCGCGGATTCTGTTATTTTATGAGCTTTCGTGTAGATTTTGACAGGCCGCCCTAAAATGTGCGGCATGAAGAGTGGCCATTCCAGCTTGACCTCTGTTATCCAATGCACCGTCAAATTGGTTCGGGTTCAAATTAAGATAGGCAAATGTATTCCTGTAAGATTCGAAATTTTGTGTGAGCTGTTTTGGACATTTTTCGTGTCGCGGTCGCGTCTTTTATTAATTAAATCAAAATTTCAATGCTTAATTTTTTTTACTTTTTTCAATTTTTCTCCTCGTTGGGAAAAGCTTAAATTGATACACTTACGAGAGTCCACTAGCAACACCGTCGTTTCTTCTTGACCTTTCGTTATCTTTCGTTTTTCTAATGGGAGCCTTCTTTTTAGTGGTAGCCTAAAGATACAATATAGACGCGGTGTTTATATAAAGTAGTTATAGAACTATGAACGGATGGCGGTTTATAATAAGTTATGATATTCTATCAAATAGCAGTAGGCACCTTCATTTGCGTCTTTTTACCGCGACCAGCGGCACCGGCAACCGACGTTCGTCCGTTGCCTCGTGTTGGAAAGGTGGCTCGTTGTCCTGGTACTATTGGATTTAGTCCTCGTGGAATACCGTATTTCACGCCACCGATTGATGTCACCTGTAAGTGGAAAATCTGCTGGCTCAGTATTCTTTATGTCTTGCTATAACCTCGTGCGCCTGTTTTTAATTCATTGATTTTATTTATAATTGTTATCCTTTTTTTCTACACATCAATGTATTCGTATTTCGATCAGAAAAATTATATGCATACCGTACAATGTGATAATAATTAATTTTATACAAGAGTGAGGAACGAAACAGACTTCAAGATAACTATAGATACTAAGTAAATGCTTTGGGTATTCGTTATTAATTTTAGATATCACGTGCATTATGATGTAATTATTAATTAATAACAATAAGATACAACATTTAAATAAATACGAAATCTTTATTAGACTGTGTTCACATGTATTATAATGAAATTTCAAGCGCTACAATGATATGCTTACAAAACAGATGCATGAGAAACGTGCATTAGAGCGTGACACTGACAGTTGTTTAACCAACACCCAAGAACATAATGATTCAAGTACAAATTGTTCCGTTATTATTATCATTATCTTTCTTTTATACACTACACCAATGACGAGTTCCACGGGAAATGAAACACAATGAGCACAACAATTTAGCGTCGCGACTGCGCTAGACTGAAATTCTCCAAGTCACATTATTAAAAATCGGCAGTTAGCTTCAATAACTTTCTGGATTTTAATGAAATCATGCAGAAAAAATAAATATCTCCATGCTCAGGCAAGAAAGAAAAGGAAAAAATAAGTTATTGAAGTTGCTGCGACAAAAAGGAAACTACCGTGGGACAGTAAGCTCGAGACTGGCAAAATTGAGACGCTGTGATTCGGCATCACCCGAGCCATAGACTTGCTGTCTCACGTACGCGCCAGCGCCAGCACCGTGATGATAATAATAGAAAAGCTCGTGCTCTTGCTGGCCTACCTGTGGCGGAAGTCGTCCTCGTGGTGGTCCCTGTAACGTGGTTGGACCTTGAGGTGGTAATCTACCGGGTTGACCGTAGTTAGCACCCCATTGACCGACAACTATACCGGCGACTTCAAGTTGACCGCCACGCGAAGGCACTGGTCGACGCATCAAGCCACCTCGCTGTGGCCCACCAACCACGTTTCCTACGCGACCGCGAACCAAAGTTTCAGAGATAGGCAGACCGGCTGGTGGAATCGGCTGCGGCCCAATTACTCGAATACCAGCTGAAAATTTATTTATTGTTTCATAGTTTGTAGTAATGATTCTAACTATCATATTTTTCTTATTTTCTCACAGTTTTCACTCTAAATTTAGTTGTGAATGATTTTGTACGAATATTTGACAATTTCTCTAAAAGCTGCTTAACTTTTACACTCAATTGTCAATGAAATTCGAGAAAAACTGTAATGTTTCAACTTTTAGGAGTCATAATATCGTAGTAAAATATAATAAGAAACGAAAATTGTTGAATTGACTTTCTTTCCAGTCGAAGACACATCAACAAATAATCGTATTAATATGTTAGAATTTTAGGAAGGGCTACAAATATAATATAAACCATAAATATTGCATTACCTGGTGGGACGGGTAGAGGTGGTCTGGCGAATACAACGTTAACTCCCTCGAGGATAGCTTTTCTTATTCTTTCGACTTTGACAACGCGTTCAATGTGACCGCCGCAGAGCTCCAGCAGATTTTTAGCGATCGTTGCTCGTGCAAGTGTATGATGGAAGAGCTTTCCATCGAAGTACAACCAAGGGCAACACATTAACCAAGGAATCGGTGCTCCACATGCATCGTTCGCTAATAGAGCAGTCTCCACACCAGCCATAAATAAACTGGCCAATTGGACTCCGCGAGTCGTTACAAGCGATATCTAAATAACCGAAATGATAATTAGTATCTATTTTAACAAACCGATGAGTTTTTTCTTGATTAATGAATGTGATACCTGCAAGTCTTGTAGATAAGGAGCGTTCATAAGCTCAGGCGAAAATGCTTGAACAATAAAGGCATCTAGTTCCTGGCGTCGTAAAATTTTTATTTTATCAGAAAATGTCATGATGTATCTAAAATCAATATCAGATTGTTAATGACTGTCTGCAATGAAAATTAAAATAATTACCCGAACAATTTTAAATTAGCTAATTATTACCTTAGTACACAAGCCATAACCAATAAATGTTGTGGCACATAGGCAGTATTTAACATAAGTGCTGTATCAGACTTCATGCAGGTTAAAAATCCGCGTAAACGACGTCTCTTATCATCAATTCCAGTTCTAAAAATTAAGTATTAAAAATTAAGATAATTTACTTAATAATTTTCTCTTGAAATAAATCGATTATAATAAACTGTGTTACAATTTGCTCACCCAAACCATAATCGCTGAATGGTTGGAACACCCCAACCAATTTGTTCAGCTTTGACTGATTCTGGAGTTTGAAATGGATTTGCTTTGGACCAAACCCATTCTTTGATAATGACATCTGGCACTTCAATTTTGTCAGTTTCTGCATAATGCAGTACACTTAATTACCAAATTAACAAAATTTTTGAAAAAATTATGAAATCAATTTACTAACCACCCTTTTCTTTACTCTTAGTGGCTAAATACAGGCGATGATGCATGTTGAAAAGAATGGCATAGACCATCTGTCTAACGGGTCTATATATAACATGGATTGATGGGAATTCTCTGTGATTTTCATCTTCTAATAAGACTGGCAATTTAATCTCACCAGCAGTGAGAATTTGATATATTAAAGGTGACATCAACCCCTTCTGATGCCTCTCTGATGCGGTTCTTATTACTTCTGGTACACTTGCTGGAACCGTAGTACTTTTTTCTGTTTGTTTAACAGAATCTGTGACATGAGCTGGAGAAGTGGCTGATGAACTACTACTTGAACTGGATGAACTAATTAAGAGATTGTGTGTTCCATTTACTGTGTGTCCATTATCTATAAATAAAAAAATGTTCATCAATAAGTTATTTATGCTTTAACAAATAAGTTTTTTCTCTTACTGTGGTCTTCTTCTGGCCGAGTAGTTTCAGTATCACCTTGATTTAGTACACCTGGCGGTTCTACAACAATTTCCGGAGCTTTTGTAGCATTTGCAGTCGCTTCTTTGTAAGCATTCAAACTTTCTTGTTCGCTTTCAGCTGTTTCAGAAGCAAAACGTGCCATTTCCATGTTAGTTTTCTCTTCATTAGTAGGAGCTACATCCGATGCATTGGCCTGATCATTCTGGATTGTATCTATAAATGAAAATTGATTATGAAATACACATTAACATGCAAATAAAATAATTTAAAAGATATCAAATGTACCTTTGGTAGGCTTGATGGGCTTGTAGTGTGAAAAACCATCCTTTGTTCCATTTACATAGTATTGAACAGATTGTTTGAACCTGGAGCATCTAGAATCTGTTAGAGAGCCAAATACTTTTTGTGTAACGTCATCTAACTCAATAGATGATAAATCTTTAACAAAGTTTGCAACTGCTCGCACAGTCTGGTCTATATCCATCTTGTTTGTACTTGGATTCAATTTTTTATAAAAACTTTGTAAATCAGTTTCATTCAAAATGTAATTTCCAAGGAGTGCAGCAAAAATACATAATCTTTCAGCAGGAAGATTTAATCCTTGTAAAACTTCATTAACAAAGTATTCTTTTGTGTCAAGAGAACCCTGAAAAAGTATTTATTATTATTAAAATCACACAATTCAAAGAAAATTTAAAGCAAGCATCATACTTTATATGTTAATTTCAACTGTTCGGAAGAAAAATATCTAGGAGGATCAAATACAGCATATTCAGAATCATCAGCAATAAGACCATGATAGTGATTTTCTCTGCAGAAAGTTATAACTTCTTGATGATGATCATCCATACTGCTTAGCTACAAAAAGAATCCATGTAATCCATCTTGTATTTTTGTTAGCAAATGTTACCTATAAATTATTTTAGAAAATACTTACAACAGTTACATTCAAATGCCTCAAAGCCATTCTCAAACTGGTTTTTAGACATGCTGGAGCAATCCACCAAATTTTTGGTGGAGGTGTACCTTTAGTTGAAACATGTTTCAATACCTAAACATGTACAAATAGTTAAATAAAAGTACACATACATAAAAGATAATAAATATCCTTACATTATTTGCTTTGAGTCTGGTATTTAGCTGATTTTGAATCCAGTCTGACCTCCTGGAAGTCTCTATAGAACCATTGAAATATACAGCCAATTCTAACCCTGCTGCTTCACTTTGTTGCATGAGGACTGCAAGAAATTGGATCATGCGATTCCATTGTCCACCACAAGCCCAGTCTGTAAATAAGAGTTAAGCATTAAAGTGACCTTAATAAGATTTAGTACTTTATATGATAAAAGTGAGATATTTTACCTGAAAAATAACCACCATACAATCGATCAAGGCAACATTCTCCATCAAGAACTAGACGGAATTTAGTAGTTGAAAATGATTGAGTTTGTCCTTTGCCAATTCTATTACGTTGTTTCTGAACTATATTTCTAGCTAATTTGAACAAATCAACAGGTACTGCTGAACCTGGCACAGAATTACTATCCAAAAAAGCTTGTAATGCCTGAGTATTCATTTTGTTAAATTTTCCAGGACACAATTTATGAATAAGCTAATTGTACTTTCACTGTTCAAAATTTTCTCTATACTGATAATTTTATGTCATCTGATTTTTGAAAAATCTCCAATCTAGGATGTGGAGAAAGTCAGTTTTGATTTAAATAACCAGGACCTGAAATCAAAAAAAAAAACTTAGTTTACAATTTAATGTATAAAATTATTAAATGAATTGTCCCAATATGAAGATTTTCAATACCTAAAAGAAAGTAAAGTTAATGAATTAATTTTTTTCTTATTAAAACATTCACGATCTACTAATTAATCATTAATTGTTTCATGAAAGAGCTATCAATATAAATATGCCAATATAAAATATAAAAATATAAAAGATTTCTTTACACAAACTGCAAACTATATATCGAGAAAAAAAAGAGATAAAATTTCGAGTTTGAAAATTGAGGGCAATACCTCGAAGTCGCTTGTGCATCAGTTCTTTTTCCCCCATGACTATAACGGAACAAATAATCGAATATCATGTAATAAGGTTAAATTGCCTGACTCAGTAGTAATTAATCGGACTGGTAATAGCACCGAAAAAACAAAAAGTTAAAGAGATGCAAGCATACATACGACACTGTACTAATTGATAACAGTGAATGAATAATTTGGAGTGGTATAGAGCGAGAGTAATCAAGCGAACGAACGGACGAAACTAATGAAGCGACAAACAGTGCACAAAAATGCATGCTTGAAAAATTTGATCAAGCATGCATGATAGACTGAGTCAGAAGTCATAGAGAGAGAGAGAGAGAGAGAGATAGAGAGAGAGAACGAGAGAGAGAGAGAGAGAGAGCGAGAGAGAGCGAGAGAGAGCGAGAGAGAGAGAGAGAAAACGAGAGTTGGGGCGCTTGTACCAATTGATTGGTGTAATTGGAGCCGCGACAGTTCTCTTGCCTGCACACCAACGACACACGCAGCTGCACATAGCTTCAGTCAGCTAAGAATTATCTAACAAGTGAGCCAGCTGCAGTAGCCTTGCGAATAAATGTGAAACCATTACCGATTCAAGTGCTCAATGCGAGCTGAAAAGTAATCGAATTCGAATGTAATTCTGGAGAGCGTCCGGGGCGTGGAGCCGGCATGGCCGCGCACGACACGATAGAGCTTTTGCACATATCGGCTTACGCAAGTGCCGCTGCTGCTGCTACCGACAGACCACACAATCAATTTCTCGTCGGCGACGACTGTGATATATCGCACTCGTATATTATCATCTATGTACCTCGAGTCAAGACGAGTCATCCTGCTGCTGCACAACCCCTCGGCGTTGACGACGAACACACGAAAACACACGACAGCGGCTACGGCGGCACTCTTTTTTTACATGTGACGTGCCCAAAGCTGTTCTTTCTACATACCTATACGTACACTCTCGCAGACCTGTCGCAGACTGCCTGCACTCGCTCACTCCGGCTATTCGAAAACGGAAATGAGGGCTGAACAAGCATCGAGCGCCGCCGGGCGCCGCGACCTAGTCTTGCGGCTTGCCTTGCTTTTACTGCAAATGAACGAACTGTACAGTGTACACCGCAGGAGTTCGGACAATTTGCCGCCATGATTCGTTTATTCGAAATTTATCAAAATTTTACTTCTTTTTTTCTTTATGATCACTCGAATTTTAACATTTTTTTTCGTAACGATATTTTCATAGCAATTTATATTTTAATTAGTCATGAGAACTGATCAAACAATTTAGATTCTGCAAATTTTCAACGTATTTGTAATTTTAGAATACAATAGAATATGTAAACGTTTTGATTTTATATCGATGACGTATTTATTTGTACACCTATATCATTTCATATCGAAAGTCGAAATAAATTTGAAATTGTATTGAATACCGGATATAGAGGGCGTAAAACTATAAATATAAATTATTAGAACTATTCATTATAAATAAAAATATTATAAATAAAAATGATTAGCTTACTAATTGTATTTATCAGAAAATAATTTAATTATTAAAAATAAATCATGGAACAAAATGCTTAGACTAAGTAATGGTTATGGGAAGAAGAAAAATTATACTTTCAATTCAAACATATTTTTAATATTTATTTATACAAATACATTCTCACTTACGAAACATCTCAGTATTATCAACATACAATCATTTCAGGCAAACACAACTATATTTCTCTATAACTTATTGGAAGAGCAAACCAAGTAAAAATAAATTAAATAATGATCAATTATCCTTGCTGACTAACTTAAAACTCTTATGTTACATCAAGGATCAGTACAATGAACAATTGTAATTTGAATTACTGGTTTGAAATATTTGTACTGCAAAATCATAGCTTGAGTAAAAAGCAGAGTTTTTTTATCACACACTATCTCACAAAACTGGTGATTTTACAGACTAATCCCAACAGAGAGAGAATTACAAGAGTATAAAATTGAGAATCGAAGTAACTTAAACAGAATTGCAACTTTAAACGCTGCAAACATTTCCAACTCTATAGTTAGAACTATGCATTGCATAGCAAAAGAAAATTTATATTTTTCATTTAAATTTATTACAACTCATCGTGGTCCTCATTATGTTCTTTGTCTTCATCTGCATCAATTTCAAATTCTTTTTCAGTCTCATTGTTATCTTCAAATAGGTCATCTCCTTCATCTTCTGGAGCTTCATCTAAAGGAATACCTAAAGATTTCCTCATAAGTTGTTCAACATTGCTAGCAAAGCTGGCAGTTTCCTTGAGCATATAACCAGACCTCAGAGTTGCAGTTTGGAACATCATTGTGGCAATATCTTTAGTTGCTTGATCCTCTGGATCAGATTCAACTCTTCTTAACAATTCCCTGATCAAAGGATGCCTTGGATTGATTTCAAGAGTTTTCTTCTGGTTCAAGTAATATGTCTTTTGTGGATCATCAGCTTTCTGGTGGGCATTAGAAACTGCTAACCTTTCCATATTACCAGTCCATCCAAACATACTTGCAACTAAAGCACAAGGAGAGTCTGTCAAACGTTCTGATAACTGAGCTTTGCTGATATGATCTTTTAATTCATCATTCAGGTATTTGATTAAAGGTTCAAATGTAGACTCAAGTTCCTTTTTTCTCTCTGCAGACTTAGCTCCTTCATCAAGTGAAAAGCCTTCCTTAGCAACATTCTGGAATTTCTTTCCATCAAATTCGGGAACAGATGACAGAGCATATTCATCTACAGCTTCAATTAAGTACAATACTTCATATCCTTTTTTCAGCAGGCGTTCAGCAAATGGAGACTTCTTAACTTCATCAAGAGAAGCACCAGCAATATAATAAATGTGCTGTTGGTTTGGCTTCATGCGAGATACATAGTCAGCTAATAATGTGGGCTTATCTTGTGCTGAGGTACGGAACATGAGTAATTTTGACAATCTAGCACGATTCTGAGCATCTTCAATAATACCTAACTTGATATTAGTGCTGTACTCTTTCCAGAAATCTTGGTAATTTTCTTTAGGAATCTTTTTAATCATATCAAGAACTTTACGAATCAATTTCTTCTTAATGATTTTAATGAGTTTGTGCTGTTGGAGATTTTCTCGAGAAACATTGAGGGGAAGGTCATCACTGTCAACAATACCTTGGATGAAAGCAAGATAATTTGGCATTAAATCATTAAATTTATCAGAAATGAAGACTCTTCTAACATATAATTTTATATTATCATCCTTAGTTCCATAACGGTTGAAGCTATCACTTGGTTGAACCTTAGGAACAAAAAGTAATGATTTGAAAGTGACTTCACCCTCAGCAATGAAATGAACTTTAGCCAATGGTTCTTGAGAATCTTTTGTCAATGCTTTATAGAAATTGTTATATTCTTCATCAGTGATTTCAGATGGTTTGAGAGTCCAAATTGGTTTAGAATCATTCAACAATTCCCAATCCCAGACTGTCTTGTTAACTTTCTTTTTCTTCTTATCTTCGTTATCTTCCTCTACCTTTGCATCCTCATCTTCTTCAGTTTTCTTGTCTTCTACTTCTTCAGCCTTTTCTTCCTGGTCTTCTTCCTCAACTTCAATGGTCTTGCTACTCCACAAATAAATAGGGAAGTTGATAAACTGAGAGTATTTCTTGATCAGGTTCTTGATGGTATCTTGTTCTAGAAAGTCAGAAGCTTCATCTTTCAGGTATAAACTGTAAATAAATATTAAATTAATTTTGTGTTAGCTTTTAAGTTAAACAAATATTAAATACTTTATATTATAGTTTATAAAAAATTGACCAATCCCATCTTATCATTTACTTAGAATCATTTAGAAATCTAATGTATTCATTAATTAAAATCTACATACAAACTAAATGGTAATTAAACAAGAGGCCTTATGACCAAGTTTCTTAAAAATGTGTAGTATATAGAAAGTAAAGATAATTTTTTATTTTAATAAGAATAATTAAGAACACACCTAATAGTGGTTCCTCTCTTGAGTGTGTCACCTCGTGGATCATCAACAATGCTGAAGGTTGAACTGTCAGATTCCCAAATATACTGCTTATCATCATTGTGCTTTGTGGTTACAATAACTTTGTTAGCCACCAGGAAGGCAGAATAGAATCCAACACCAAATTGACCAATCATGTCATTCATTTCTTGAGCATTAGATGCATCTTGCATTTTACCCAGAAACTCTGCTGTACCAGACTTAGCAATTGTACCTAAGTTGTTTATGAGATCTTGTTTAGTCATACCAATTCCAGAATCTGTGATACTTAAAACCTTATTCTCTTTATCTGCTTTTATTTTAATTGATGTATCAGGATTAGTATCAAGAATATTTTTATCAGTGAGTGCCAATAACCGAATTTTATCCAAAGCATCCGATGCATTGGAAATCAACTCTCTGAGGAAAATTTCTTTGTTGCGGTACAAAGAATTGATGATGAGTTTCATCATTCGGTTGACTTCTGTCTGGAAGTTGAATTTCTCAGCCTTTTCTCTCAATTCTTTCACCTGTGCTACATTCAGTCCATCAAGTTTGATAGCTTCTTCCTCCCTCTGCACAACTTCATCGTCTGAAAAATTTCAATTCCAAATGTGTTCAATAAAAAATTTCAATGGAATTTAACTTGACAATGTAAATATGAAACTTACCTGTGCGCGAGGCCTCTCGACTAGATCCAAGGTCTTTCTCAACAGTTCCAACCTCCTCATCAATGAAATCCTCCTCTGCAGCTGCAAATCCTAAAAAGAAAATCAACGAAAAATAATTAAAACACATACTCGATTAATAAATTCGATTTAACTAGAGATCAGTAACTGTTGTAATAATTTTTACCACCAAGCTTATCATAATCAAATTAGCACAAGGGCTTAGGTCAAATATACAAAGTCACAATGCGCTGCAGAAAAAGAAAGGTAAGATGGTAGAGTCAGTGTCTCACCTGCAAGCAGCAAGAGCGATGCGACGACGAAGGCGGATTTCTTCATCTTTGGACAAAAGGAAAATCAGAATTAAAAATAAGGAAGGTCAGCTTGCGCGTGCAAGCACTCGCACTTTGAAGAAAACCTCGTCGGACAGACTCGTCAAGGGTCCGCACGGCAACTATGCTGTCAAAGCAGCGCGGCGCGAGTCCTAACTGTATTTGATGCAATGGAGAGCGAGACGTGGTAGATATAGCGCGAGCCAATCGCGACGGCCCACGCGGCGTACGTGGACCAATTGGCGCAGCGCCGGTGGCACCTACTATACAAATGTCCTCAGACCATTGGGCTTTGCCTAACAAGCCGCGAAACTCGAGAGCTCGACTCTTTCTAGAACATTCCCGTGGTCGAAGACCCGCACATCGCACTCTCGAATGTTCAAAATCCCTTTATATTACTTTCTTGATTTTTCAGAAAAGGAAATTACGGAAATAAGTATTTCTCAATTGTTTGTACTTCATGAACGTTCGTCTGAAGCTTCAGAAATGGACAGTATAACCGACATTTAGTGGTACGGAGGCTTATACGAATCGTGTAATACTTTGATTTCGGATTCAACAAGTAGAACTTACGCGCAGGCATAAAGGTATCGCCACCAATCCGTAAATGGGCTTTCCCTTTATGCTAGAAAATTTATATCCAAACAAAAGCAATATTTTACAATTGCAAAGTCTTTACTTTATGCTTTATCGATCGCTAGATTCAACCGAAAATAATATCAAAGTTGTAACTATTTGCATGACAATACGACTTCTTTATGATCAATAAACAATGTGGAAATCGACGAGGTGTTATTGATTTCGGGTCTTTCACGGGCATCGCGAGTATATGTATGTAAACAGAACGCGCGCTGTCGCTGTTTTTCAATAAAACGATATCGCGACATACATATACCCGTCAATTCGCACGTACTTCATTATATTATGAGGCAATCCTGCAAAACTGGCAATTTGTTCCGAGTCCCCGTCCAGATGCATGTTCCAAAATGCAACTCAGCTGTTTTTCTAGATGATCACGACTATTTGACTACTCGAAAAAAATGCTTGTCACGAATTAAAAGATTCTTTAGCAAATCGATCGCTATAACTTCGTCGACGATTGCGAATTGAGGATTGCTCTGTAAGTAGCTTCGCTATCGCTCCGGAAATATAACGTTATACCGAAGCAAGTGATGTGAAAATGTATCGAAATATAAAAAAAAATTGTATCGAGCAAGCCCCCATGCACAGTGCCGTTACAGTTAGGCGCTATCACAATTACGATATTGCAAATCCAGAAACTGTACTCGTTGCTTGACAGTCCCTTCACAGTGGTGCTAGCCATTGTGTATTACGCCGAAAATGCACTCTATAACTTTGGACATTGCCGCGAGTATTTTGCTGCTGTCCGGTGTCCTTTCGATAGGTCTAGTGCTGAAGAGGACACCGACATCACTCTTGAAGTCTCCCAACTCCATTCTGTCCATTTCCGATGTGTCCAGCTCCGTTTTAACTGCCGTGTTGGTGCTTCTTCACCAGTTTTACATCGATACCGACCACAACGCTGATCATCGAATCGATCAACTGAACGATGCTAGTTACTTTTACGAGACTTTTGACAAGAGTAGAAATAACCACGATGGCAATTCCTCGAGCAACAGTAATGTCGCTGTCGAAGAAGAATGCGATTATAGAAGTGTCCTGCTGCAATACGCCACCTTTCTCGTTCCGTTCGCTACTGCATTTATCTCTCTAATTAGCTTTTCAATGAGCTTTTACGCGAACGCAATGGCAATGAACTGCCGCTGCGCTGAATTGTCGAACTGCCAGGAAGATTTTGAAAAATCGACGGAAACAAGTGAACAAGATACTAAAGCGTTCGAAGGTACATCGGACTCACGAAAATCTGAGATTGACGATGAAAGCATTCGACCAGATATTAGAAAATCCAAATTTTTCAACGGGAGCTATACCAATCTCGGCATCATTGGTCAATGGCTAATACCAGCCCTTTTCACGAGTGTATTTCAGTTTGGCCAGTATCAAAGAATAAACGTTTCCAGTGATGCACAGCAAGAATTGATTTGTGCTATCGCAGCCAACTTTCCGTTTGAAAATTGCATTGAGAATATCGACTCTACGTCAGGAATTTTAAGTGCACATTCTGTGGCAAGTTATTCCTCGATCAACGATTACGCGAGTAGTGAGGATAATTTACTGGGGCCTCATCCAAATTCTACTGAAGTGTCCCACGTTCTGTCAAACATTTATAAAATTGTGCAAAGTGCCACAAGCGACTCGACAATTTTGAATGCTACTTTGCCCGTAGGCCATTACAACATCACGCAGCTTCTCGACATTATGAGTCACAAACAGATACAACATTTGACGACGATAGACCAATTGATAGAAACTGACAATCGTAAAGATTCAAAGGAAATACCATTGCGAAATGTTGGCTTGACGGGTGCTACGAAAACGTTGATTAGCAAGAAACCAAAATCTCACGTCATGCATTCGTTTGCTAATAAAGTTTCGAATGATCATGAACAACCAGAGTTGAATAACACGCTGATTATGCAATGTTTGAGGAATCGCTGTATGATATCAACAACATTCTTAAAGATTTATTTGTTCATATTGCTCACTTTGGTTTATTTCGCTCCAATATTCGTTTCAGCTCTGATACTCGTAAAATCTTACCACGAGTGTCGAGCGGTCACAGAAAAGTTAAAGGAGAGTAAGTCAAAATTAGGATCACAAATACAACATTGCGAAGTAGCTCGAGAACGAACAGCAACTGATACAAATACTCGACAGCAATCCAATGCTTTAAAGCTCGGTTGGTTTTCAGAATACGCGAAAGAAGACATAGGACAAGAAGTAGCCGAGGAAACAGATCGGAGCCGATCAACTGCGACAAGGGCTGCGCTTGAGAAGATAACTTGTGAATTGAGAAATGAAACGGATAAGATGCGCAGTCTATTCAAAATTTTTAAAGTCAACGCATTGCTTGCCGTGGCATTGTGGACGCCGTTCTTTCTGCAAATTCTTTCCAAAGTGTTTCTCTGCAGCAATGTTCCTAATTGGCTAATGGAGACTACTTTCTTGGCTACTATTGTTTTTTCTATATTTAAAAATGCTGTAAACGTAAATTTTATTAAAATTGACGCAGATGCTAATAACGTTATTCATCCCAGTGCATTTAATTTATTGTAACTTTTTATTTCTGATTAATTATCAAAGATACTGTGCGTAAATTGTGTGCGTTATAGTTGGTGGAAATATAATAAAATTCGTGTAACCAGACTCATTGACAATGTATTACTTCATTTTTCATTGCTAATTTATGCCATGAGGTTTCCGCGATAATCAAATTTTTTCAAAACGTGCACTAACAAATTGTATTAGATCATCTTTTATACTTATCCAAAATAAAATTGCACAAAATTATTAATGACTTTGAAAAATTAATTACTTTTATTTCATTTTCATACCCTGATGTATTAAAAGCTTATTATCTCACATTCAATACATCTTGGATCATCTGTAAGTGTGACTTAAAATACAAAAGGTTGTAAATTAAAAAGTCAGTAAAGTTTTTCTTCAAAAAGTCTTATTGCTTTACAAAATCCAGAAAATATAAAAATTTAAAAATACTCATTACTAATTCATTGCGAGCATTATGTGTAAATAACTAATCAGATTGCATTCTATCAATATAGAAATAATTACACAATTTTTAATATTATTAAATCAATAAAATTAAATACAAAATACTTTTCATATTTCTAAAGAAACTATGTACAGTTGTCATGAGATAGTTGTTTGATGTCTTGCAGTAATGCAAATACCTACTTAGTTATTATATTACTATATTATTTATAACGAGATCATCATTAATGAAGTTACGCGAATAATCAACTCGAAATAAAGTAACAACATTAAGAATTCATAATACCTAAAATTCGGTATTACAGTCGTGACGCGAGTCTATTGAGTCCTGTTCTCGCGTAATGTAATACCCAGCTTAGCGTATCATTTGTAATGACGCCAAACATTAATTTCTCACAATGAACTATTTAAAAAAATCTATAATATACAACCTCACTCCATTGAAAGTTGTGGGTAGTATTTTGAATATCAAAGTCTTTAAAATAGCAGTGTACTCATACCACCCATTTCACTTTGTTCCTTAACAAAAATTTCAAAGTATTGATAGATAATAGTGACGGCCAACAGAATACCAGTTCCGGAACCGATAGCACCAAGAAAATCAGCCAATACGGAAAGAGCTCCAATACACAAGCCACCGAAAGCAGCTGCAGTTGGGATGTATCGATTCAGTTCATGAATCAACGATTTCTCGCGATGACCTTGCATTACCATTTGTGATTCTTTCAGTTGTTTTGCAACCTAAAGGTTACAGAAAGAAACGATTAGAAGAAAATATACTAACTTAACTAAAATTTTTATAAGCATAGTCGTATTATTGTATTTACGTCTTTAGCAGAGCTTCCAGAAATTTCAATCCAGCTCTTTGAGAAGAATGCACAAGACCCTAACATGAAAATTATGTAAAGAACAGCGTGAACAGGGTCTTGAACAATATGTCCAACAGATTCAGGTGGCGAGAGATAGTAACATAGCCCTCCAACTGGATAGGATCTAGCTGGACCACCACCACCGATGTCAGACCAAACTCCGAGTAAATTCACAACAATGTTTCCATGGAATTTGACGGCCAACATCTGAGAGATGACATACAAATTCGAAACCAACGCCGATTGCAATATAATAGGAATATTGCTGGTGTAGAAAAGTTTGATAGGGTAGCTACTGTGCTGTCCACGATACCGCGCAGATTTTATGGGAAGATCTACTCTGAAGCCCTGAAAATCACAGAAAACCATAAAAAACATATTATTTATTGAATCTTATTATTTTGTTTTATGAGAAGTGAATGTTGCAAATATATATTATAAGATACCCATTGAGATGCATCTTACTGACATATATTTAGAACTTGATTTACTTCCATCAAGCAGCCAATTCCATTTATAAAAAAACCATGGAATGGTAAGAGTAGGAAGAAGTGAGATTGCAAAACAAATAAAAATATATAATTCAATTTACCTGGAAATATATGACTATAGCAAAGACCAAAACCGTGGCCAACAAATTCATTAAGTTAGGAAGGTTTTGTCTGTAAAAAGCTTCACGTAGTGCTCTAACTTTATCTTGTCTAGTAGCCATAAGATGGAATAGAGCAATAACTGCACCCTCAAATTCAGTACCACGTCCAGTATTGACAGTGGCAGGAGAGAAAGCTTTCCATACAATAGTTTCACAAATGTTGGTGGCAATGAAGAGAGAAATACCACTGCCAAGACCATATCCTTTTTGGAGCAACTCATCGAGTAGCAATACAATCAATCCAGCAACAAATAACTGAACGATAATCAAGAGACAAACTCCAGCTCCAATTTCAGCTGGATCTCCATACATGCCGGTCATGACATAGACAATGGCTTGTCCAACAGTGATGACCATACCAAAGACTGTAAACAAGAATAATTTTTAAATAAATGTTTGAGCTTATTGCTGTTTATAAGTGATATATGAAACTGGAACTTACGCTTCTGAGCTCCATTGAATAGAGCTCTATCCTTTGGAGTATCGCCAACCTCAATGAACTTGACTCCAGCCAAAAGTTGCATGATGAGGCCAGATGTTACAATTGGTGAAATACCAAGTTCCATCAAGGTTCCCCTGTTGGAAGCCAAAATAACACGAATCCAGTAAAATGGATCCGCACTGTCGGAAGACATGATTCCAAAAAGAGGAATCTACAAATAATTAAAAATCATTGTAATGCATGTTAAATAAAATTGAGTAAAATATTTGGCTTGTACTTACTTGGCAGCATACTAAGAAAATGAACAGTGTAATTGCCGTCCATAGTACTTTTTCTCTAAATTGAATCTGCAATAAAAAAAAATAAGAGATAGATAAATGAAGATAAGTGTGTCAACAGTCAATATCCTGTTCCAAATTATTTTGCCGACCAGATGTTAAAAGTGCAAACATGATTTTCATCATTATCAAACGTACATTCGTACACTTGTGCAGAGAACGAATAGATTAACGGTCGGTCAATAGTTAAATTGCAAGAGACAAAAACACAAGTGAAACAGAATGTCACATGTCAGAGCGGGGCGAAAAATAAGGGTGTGTATGTGTTTATACGTGCCTTACGCTGCGGCTTCTCAATCTCCGGCAGAATGCTGCAAAACGGCTTAATAACCTCGAGGAACTTGACTGAAAGCACACATAAAATCCGTAAAATAACATTGGCAGCGTCTCCATTGTACAAACATATTATGTATGTAATTTATTATAACTTACTCGAATGTAATAGTATTTGAATTGTACTGATATATACTTACTACCCATGATGATGATGGTGATGAATTAAAATTTACGAGTTACGGTGAAGAAATCATTCAATGAGTGCACGGTCGATTGGAGCGTTAAGCGAGCGATTTCGTCGCGTATTTTATCTTTAGAAATAAGAACGTCACACACTAAACAACAGCTAGTACAGCACTCCTTGCTCCTTGCGGCTAACAGCATATTCAGGCTACAGGGACACTGGCAGACGACCGTAGCGGCGGCACTGTCGACGTGGCCGAATAAAGGTGTATTTACATATAAGCTGTTTCTTAATCCTTGAAATCCTTACGGGTTGCACATCGTTCTTAATTTGCCTCTTAATTCTTGTTTCTTAATTGTTCCATTAACAAATTCGAATAATTATCTTTTAAATGCTTAGAATGCATAACGAAGATGATCTTTCCATATGATAAATAGCGGATGATATGATACGAGTAACTTATAAACATATGACTGTTAAAAGCAATTAAGAATGAAAATTAAAAAGTTGGCATCTATATGACTATGCCCCCTAATCTCTGTAATATGAAAAGAAAGCGCAAGGTATAGATCGTACCAAGCTTATATATATATAGATTGTAGATTTATGCATCCCATAAGGAAGAGAGCGAATGAGAGACTTCCCATTCCATCATGCATAATTTATACAAAAATGTAAAAAAATATGATTGATATATTTTTATTTGTCTAATAGAAATGACGTGCCATCATCAAATTCTTTTATTCACTATTTCCAAGCAAATCAATTCATTCTTTCGATTATGCGCGTATTGCGCACATACGTAAAGTGGAAATTATATCGCATGGAAATATTGGAAATTATAAATTATAAAACATTTCTATTCATAAATAAAGTAAAATACAAATCGGTGTTTTCATACTGCAAATTATAATCATCGATCATACTTGCGCTTGTCTAGGCTCAAGGTACATAAATAACTAATACACCAAACGTCAAATGCTAAGATGTAATATATTGAGCTCTTATCTCCAACTCGAATCGGACCATCATCGACGCCTTTTATTTTTGATTCATGTTCATTATTATATATGTATCTACATACTGCCAGTCGAGTGAAGAATTACTCTCGATTAAAAGTGTTGGAATGTATATGTATGAGTCATTGAGTCATACATGAGAACAAAAATCAATCTCTATTACGTCTTAACGAAAATTCGAGAAAACTGTAGTGTAACAAGAACAGTCTAGTATGTATTGTACTGCCGTTCTACCATGTAGTCGTGCCTTTCCTAGTGCACTTTAAATAAAGAACTTACATTTAAAATATAATTCCATCTTTAATTATTTAATATTCACCCTATAAACAAAAAAAGAAATAGATATCTTGCTTTCGAAGTGCTTATCTTTGAAAAAATAAATTTCATTAAATTAGGACTTACATGTGGTGTTAACTAGAAAGAAATAAACACGGAATTACGAGCTATTGCAGACACGGGTAACTTCGAAATCGAACGGCTGCCATTTCGTCAAAGAAGCTTGAAACGTCGGGAACAAAATTCAGCTTATCGTTCAAAGTTTTCCCGAAACAACTGCGGTAGAACTTTTCTAAAATACAATTGTGGGGTCGCAGACTTTTCCAAAATCTGCACCGCACATGTTCCTCAACCCTTCTCTTAGTTTTTCCGATAAATCGTAAATCAATATCTCAGTTGATTTACGATTTATTTTTTATGATGTCCGACAAGCGATCAGTTCATGGAGCACGTAGTGCAAACAGCCGAACCTTTTCGTCTGGGCCTTTTTTGTAGCAGGCCCGCGCGTGCACTTTTTTCCACCAGATTTCCGCTTTTTTCTTTTCCCTCTCCGACGAGTAAAAGCATTGAGTGTTCTCGGGGAGAAGGAGAAGCAAAAGCCTGGCTAGGTGGTGCATCCAGGCACCCCCGCGAATGACCAGAAGAACGCGACGTCTCGACGAGTGAGCATTGCCAACTCCTCGCCTCGCTACAAACATTCTGTACACGCGCGCATATCTCGCGATATCCGGTAGTGCTCGCCTGCGCATAGCACACTCACTTCCAACTCAACAATACAGTAATATTTATACAGTATCAGTGTGTTTTAATACTTATTTTCAACGATCGCACCTAACATTCATTATCTCTCCTTACGCCAAACCCAGATCCTAAACAATTAATTTATTTATATAAAGTGCGATCTAAAAAAATTATTCTATTTCTTAAAGCAAAATCTAGAAAATTTTAAGCAAATTTTTATTTTTCGACACTCCGTGCGGAAAGTGCGTTTTTCTCGCACGCTCGGCAAAAAACGTGCGTTGAAAAACGCACTTTCCACACGTCGTATCAAAAAATACGGTACGGCACATGTTCGCTTCGATCGGGCGTAAACGCCACACGAGACAAGAATCTACTTTCCCGCACTTGTATCGTAATGTACGATTTCAGTCTTATATCCTCACTGATAGAATAGATAACAAGTATAAAATATAGACACGTAGCGTACACATTCACTAGTATACGAGTGATTCTTTTCAAGAGCGTCGGTAATATAGAACTTTAACATTAAGACGTGAAGACGATTTGGTAATTCATCCTCCATCGTTCTACTGTTTTCCTGATGATCTTCATTATCAAACGCCACACGAGACAAGAGTCTACGCTTCGATACTCCGTGCGCAAAGTGCGTCTTTCCCGCACACTCGGTCGGAAACGTGCGTTGAAAATCGCACTTTCCACACGTCATATCAAAAAATACGCTCGCTTCGCTCGGGCGTAAACGCCACACGAGACAAGAATCGACTTTCTCGCACTTGTATCGTAATGTACTATTCTCGCACTTGTATCGTAATGTACTAAATCGTAAAATCGTGAAATAGTACTTTACTATCCAAGTGTGGGAAAATAGATTCTTGTCTCGTGTGGCGTTTACGCTTGAGCGAAATGAGAAAGACGGGAAAGCGGGAAAGACGCACTTTGCTTACGGAGTGTCGAAAAGTAGATTCTTGTCTCGTTTGACGTTTGGTAATGAATCATCATCAGGAAAACAGTAGATCGATGGAGGATGAATTTTCCAAATGTCTTCACGTCTTAATGTTAAAGTTTTATATTACCGACGCTTTTGAATCGTACACCAGCTAAAGTGGACGCTACGTGTCAATATTTTATACTTGTTATCTATTCTATCAGTGAGGATATAAGCTTCTTTTATTGTTTGAAGAAATGTTTGAATTTACTGTTTGAAAAACAGCACGTAAATATTTTTTCAAAACATTAAACATCTCAAGTGAAATGTGATACCACTTGAGTCTTTATATTGCTTCCGGTAGCTGAAGCTGATAATCAGAATAGTAGTTTTTTAAATTATGTATAGCAAATGAGTCTCATTAATGGCAATATACCTTTATATGTTAATGTATTAAATTTGTTTTAAATTTGTTTTAAACAGTTGCAAAGCTATAAAGTTACTTGGAACTTGTCTTACGGTTAACCATGGATTCCTTCATGATTGAATATTTGTTTTTTTTTTGTTTGAAATAATTTGCTGAACTAAGAATCAAATTTAATCTGTGGGGTCGCAGACTTTTCCAAAATCTGCACCGCACATGTTCCTCAACCCTTCTCTTAGTTTTTCCGATAAATCGTAAATCAATATCTCAGTTGATTTAAGATTTATTTTTTATGATGTCCGGCAAGCGATCAGTTCATGGAGCACGTAGTGCAAACAGCCGAACCTTTTCGGCTAGGCCTTTTTTGTACCAGATTTCCGCTTTCTCTTTTCCCTCTCCGACGAGTAAAAGCATTGAGTGTTCTCGAAGAGAGTGAGAAGAGAAAGCCTGGCTAGGTGGTGCATCCATGCACCCCCGCGAATGACCAGAAGGACGCGACGTCTCGACGAGTGAGTATCGCCAACTTCTTGCCTCGCTACACTCACTCTGTACGCGCGCGCATATCTCGCGATATCCTGTAGTACTCGCCTGCGCATAGCACACTCACTTCCAACTCAACAATACAGTAATATTTATACCGTACCAGTGTGTGTTGTTTATTTATTCAAATATGAAGTATTATTATGAGAAACTTTATTAATAATACATAGAATAAAAAAATGACAGTATATAATACAATATAAAAGTAGCACGTAACGCAGTACGTGATAACACACACAATAATTGAAATAGTCTTTAGTTCATTAATAAGCACTGTAATTAATAATGTATGTGAAAACTGTCTATAGAAAAGTGCGACTGGCTGTCGCGTCGGCTACTTCCGGACTGACCGCTTGCCTTGCACTAGAGAGAGTGCATCCTTCGGGACTCCTTGAGAGGAAGGAGACAGGGCCATAAAATAAGGGCCTCCTACAAAGCCATAAACATAGCTTTCCTTTCCTCATTGATGTAGAAGTGTGCATGTCGTTGTAATATTCCAACAGTGTGTTTTAATACTTATTTTCAACGATCGCACCTATCATCCATTATCTCTCCTTACGCCAAACCCAGATCAAAAAATCATTTTTAATTGAAAATTTATAATTGAACTAGAACAAAATGTATATTACATTTATTAAATTAAATTACAACTACATTGGTATATAGATAATAATTTTTGATCGTATAAATATTATAAATAGTCAAACCAAGATATTAATGGAGACGAACTTTTCGAAGAAATCAAACTTTAATAGATATTTCACTTATGAAACTGATGCATGCTTGATGGCGCACGGACAGTTGTGCACGGTTTTATTATACACACAGACTATTATGCACAGTAATATGGCGTGAATCAGCGTATATCACTTCTCACGTTATGTTATTGTGCACAATAATTTGCGTGTACAATAAAACCGTGCACAGTCTGCACGCGTACTTGATGATTAATTACATGGCTAAGGTATTTGACTTACAAGTTGGAAGTCGCGGTTTCGCACCTTGATAACATTTATTGATTTTTTTATCCAATTTTCTATTTATATTGTTGTTATCTATGTATTTCGCTGGATTCGATAAACATTACCATAATTTGTATTGCTTTATTGACATTATTTAATAAAAATTCTGTTTTAATTATCGGCTTTAGCTAACAAAAGCAATAAAGAGATTCCGCTGCTTTACGTTTCTCTTTACATGTTTTATGTTTTTTTCGCAAAGGCATTTGCTTCGAAAATGAATTACTGATCTTTTCTCAAACCGATAATAGATAGAC